GGCATTTAAAACCCGGTTGTTAATTTTCATCTTCTGTACAGCGACATAATATTATTGATCGACTGTTCATCAACTAATCCTACGGAGCACTATTTTGGAAACATAACCTATATATGTATATGTATATGTATATGTATATGTATGTACATATATGCCTCTCATAATCATCTATGCATACATACATACATACATACATACATACATAATACAGTCAACTGTCTCAATTAATGCTTGATCAAGTGATCATCACTAGTTTGTAGTAAAAGAGTCAGCTTTTATACAGCTAATATCATCTGCTAAGATGGTTCTTATCAAGCAGTATTTAATTCCTCTAGCCAATTTGGACAATCTGTCTTTTCCCCAGCTACATTGGTCTCCCTCGAGAGAAATTGAAACAGAAAAATAGAAAATGACTCCCAATTAATGTCTCAACTCACACGATACTTAGCTTAAGTATCACACTCCAGGGTTACGAGTGTATTAAACAGTTGATTTAAGAGCAAGCAACCATCCCTATCACATTAACCTGGAAAAAACACCATTAAATCACTAAATAATTCATATCCATATATGAACCCTTAATTTCATGCATTTGTCCAAAATCTGCCATTAATAAAAAGTTAAAAAAAAGTTGTCAAGTATTTTCATTCTTGTAGAATATTTAACCAGTACTAAAGGTGGCAAATGTGAAGTGGCATGGATCCACTCCCACCCATAAAAAGTAGGATTATAGGTCAAGTCTCTTTAATACCAAATTCAATATAATTCGAATCCGTCATAGCAGAAATTTTTGAATTGGATCAACCCAATTTGTGGATCACCCATAGGTCAACCATTGTATTAAATTTTTAAGTTTGGAAAATTCTAATGTAATAAAGTTAAGTAAATTTCTAGCCTTACCAGAAGTAAGTAAACTAAAGTTAAGTAAATTCTATGAAAACATTTCAAGAGATCGTTTTGAGTGTGTTCCACATGGGCCTTTGTTGTCTCTTCTAAAGTTTCAGTTATGTATCAATGTTTTCCTTACCAAAAAAAAAATCAGTCCCTAAACTTTTTATATTTGATCAAGTAGACTCCTCTTCGAATAATTCAATGAGATCAAATCTTCCACTCCGATTTTAAAAGGTCGAAATGATACTAGCTATATGCATTAAAAATATAAGATAAGAATTTAAAATTTATCTTTTCTTTTAATATGGTTTACATTTAAAACGAAGAAAAAACATTAAATTAGAATGATCACAAAAGATTAAAACCTTAAAAGTTAAAACAAAGAAGCTGATGCCTAAGGATAAGCAACTTTTAAACTTTTGTACTATTACGAGAGTATGATCATCAACTAACAAAGCAATAATATATTGATAAAACGAATTAATGTTGATACTCGGGTGTGATTCAATCTCTGATTCATCAAGAAAAAATATAAAATATTTATTTATTTATGAGCTCCATAGTTTAAACTTTCTTTTTTACATATAATTTTTAGTTTGATACATATACCGTTTAATTTGTTTTGTGACTTTTGTATTTATATTTTCAAATATAAATTATACACGTGGCATCATTTGGAATTTTTACAAAATATTTTGTCTCGACAAGTTATTTATTAAAGATTCTATTTAATCAACCTTCAAAAGTTTAGGGACTGCCAAAATATATATATATATATATTCGATTTTGAAATTTCGAAAGATACATTGAAACAATCAAACCCTCATAAGGAAAAACTAGATTTTTCTCCAACTCTTGGGAGTAAATTGAAATTAATCATTTTTTTTTTTTTTGAGAAAAAAATCCTATATTAAATATGTATACAAGTGTGGATTACAAATATACTCTTAGGAATGTATACAATACAAATATAAGTTCTTGAAAACAAAGAAACAAGCAAACAATTTGTAGCTAAGGGGAGGGAAAGCCAGGCCTGGAGCACGAGGCTAGCCCCAACTATAATCTGTAGCCCATGACTATTTAGTTAAGGGGAGGGAAAGCTGGGCCTGGAGCACGAGGTTAGCCCCAACTAGAATCTGGAGCCCATGACTATTAGTTAGAGGTTAGGAAAGATGGGCCTGAAGCACGAGCTGGCCAAAACTAGAATCTGTAGCCCATAACTATTTAGTTAAGGGGAGGGAAAGCCGGGCCTAGAGCACGAGGCTGGCCCAAACTAGAATCCGTAGCCCATGACTATTTAGTTAAGGCGAGGGAAAGCTGGGCCTAGGCCACGAGGCTAGCCCCAACTAGTATCTGTAGCCCACTGCGATCAAATTAAGTTGTATGGACTAGTTAACTGGAGTTTTCGTAGCTGGCTCGCTGGGCATTTGCCTTCCAGTTGAAGTTAAATGGCTTCGGTTTCCGATGGCAATGGCCCAATTACTTTTATTCACGAGGCCTAGTAAGCCTGTTTCTTTGTTGTAAAGTGGTTTTTTCTTTAGAAAGTTTGATTTTCGAGAAAATAAAGTTGTTTTTTTTTTTGGCAGTCTCATAGAAAATTAGTTGAAAATTAATATTTCTTTCTGAGTTATTAATCTTTATATATCAACTTTCTTTGTACTTTTTCATTCATTGAGAAATGAATAATTTTATTATGTACCATAAAAATGAGTTAAAAAATAATTTTTCCATGTTGGATCATATTGAAAAATAAATTATATATAAAATTTAACAAGTAACATGTAACATGTAACATGGGAATGCTTCTATAACTCAAATGACATATTTAAATATAAATAAATCCATGATTCAAATGAAATATAATTTAGTGATTATTTATTTTATAATTAATATCGCAAGTTAAGCATTTAAAATAAAAAATAATAATAAATGGAGTATCTTTTTTATGTACAAATCACCTCTACCGATAGCATCAAATCATGAAACGTATAAATAAGGGGAAGTTAAAGCCAAAGGAAAATGTAAAGAAGAAAAGGAGCGATGGGATTGGACTAATCATAAAAATAATAACCCTACCCCCAAAAGATAGCAACTAAGGGGAAGCCAACAAAAACAACAATTGTTAATCAATGACTAATTGATAAGGATAGGATATTGAAATTAATTGAAACAAACACGTGCGAAAAGCATAGGAATGGGAAAAATAATAATAACTTTATCTTGAGAAGTCTCGACTTATACCTAACATATTACTTATTGTTAATTGAGTCTCAGATCTTTTTATTTTTTTTCAATTTTATCCCACACCTAATAACAATATCGTCTTTTTATTTAAAAAGTTTCATTTTAATTTGCACGTGTTGGTTAAGTTATTCCCTATAAAACATCGAAACAAGATTCCGTTCGTCTTAAACGACAATTTGATCATAAAATCATAATATATTTTACTTTTTTACTAAATGTGTACAAAAGAAATTTATTAATTTTATAATGAGCAATTAGAAAATTCAAATCGTTGGGAAAAGAAAAAATAATTTCTAGTGCCTTGCATGTGTCTATACACATATGGATGTAATGGCAAATAATTTAATATATAGATTGTCGTATTAGAAAATATTTTGAAATGTACGACATCTGATATCGACGTGATGCACTCACTAATATGTCCAGTAATGTAATAATTAGCACGCTAACCTAATGCATGTGACATATATACGTATTAATTAACTTATTAAATACTTTGTATTATAAATATATCAACTTTTATTATTTCTTAATTAAGTTTTTTTTTTTTTTAATTTGAAACTTCATTTTTATCCGTTTGAACATATTAATTTGTTTGAAATCGTTAATTAAATATCTTTTGTTTAATTTTTGTCCATGTTTCGTTATATTCCGACAGACTACTAAATTAAAATAGTTTTATATTTTCGTTCAGCAGGGAAATTTTCCTTTTTAATTTTTATGTGCAATATGAAATTAGAAATAAATCTATTATAAATATTAATTTTTTTAAAGGAATATGAAATGGAAAAAAGAAGGGACAAAATTGAAAGAAGACAAAAGGATCGAAACAGATGACACATAAACACGCGGCGAAGCGAGCTCTCACAGACCGGACACCACTGTGAATGAATCTGGTCGACAAAGTCACGCACAATGGTCACAGAGTCTCACTCTTTATCTTTGTTTACGTGTAGTTATATTGTCCAAAAGGCAAAATATACTTTATCTGTCTTCCTCCTTGTTTAGAGAGAGAGAGAGTCTCTGTTCTTGATCAGTTCTAGTTCTTTTGTGTCGTCGACGCACATGTGTTTCAGTTGAAAATGTTGTTGTATATAAAAAATAGCACTGCTAATTGTGTAGACTACATGGTTCTAGTAGCTGTAATTAATTAACATTCACATCTCCGTTTGCTTTGAGTTTGAACTGATTTGAATTAAAAGAAGCATTGCGTTTTTTTTTTTTTTTTCCTTCACAATACTCCCATCTCCCTTCCTTCTCACCTTCTCCTTAATTACCTGATAGCAGCCATAGCTGCTGCCTGCCTCCCAGCAGAAATCAAGCAAATTAGAGAGTGAATTAAGGCGTTGGTTTGTCTGTGAGTTTAATTTGGATTTGGTCATCAATCTTTCTTTCCTTTTCTTTTGCTCTTAAATCCGTTTGAATTTCTTCTTCCTGCTCTCTGTTTTTATCTGTTTTCATATTACTTTATTTCTCTGTAGGATTTGGATAACCTCTGTCTCTCTCTCCCTCTCTACATATATATATATATATATATCTCTTTATGTGTGTGTGTGCAAGAAATGGAAACAAAATTTGGGGTTGGTATTTGGTTTCCTTCTTAGGCTCGGGTATAATAATTGCAAGAAATCGCCAAAACAACTAGCTGGATCGTCTTTCTCGTCATTTTCTCTCTATTTGAATAAATGAAATGGTCGATTGAGTTGCCTGCAGCCTGCTTGTCTCTCTGCCTAGCTAGCTAAGAATATTAAATTGAGTGAAAAACAGAGGCTACTCACTGCTACTACTACTACTTAAGATCAAGAGAAGTTCGGGAGCAGTAAATTAGTGGTATCATTATCATCATCATCAACAACATCGTCATAATGGACGTTAGTGCTAAAAAAGGGTCATCGTGGTCTGTCTCTGTGTCGGTGCCTTCAATCACTCATCAGCAGCAGTACTCCAATCTGGAACGCTTTCTTCAATGTGCAACTCCAACTCCTCCTTCTAAATTCCTTCCTCAGGTACGGTAATCCTTATTAATCTGCCCTTTAATTTCCTCCTCATCCTTTCTCTTTCAATTCTAACATATCTTTTTCCCATATATTTATTATAAACGAATATAATTAAAAAAAAAAAAACACCAAGGATTGGAAGGATTATTTGATTATAAATTTATAATTAAATAATTAAACAAATTATCTTTTTTCTTAATTTATCAATCATATATATATATATATATATGATTATTTTTTCCCTTTTGTTTTTTGTGTTTCGTTTGTGCCTTCATCAAAGAGGAACTAATAAATTAAAAAAAAAAAAAAAAAGAACGGCAATGCTGCTGCTAAATTTGGTAGCCGCAATTCAATCATCGACTAGGGCAGAAACAGATGACTTTTTGTTTTCTTTTCTATTTTCTTTCTTTTAGGTAAAAAAAAAAAGACTGATAAGATTGATAACGCTAGTATTTAATATTAATTTGCTCCATGATTGTCCTGTCTCTGTGCCGTGGTGTGGGTCTAAGCAAATTGATATGATGTGTCGTATTGTCCAGGGATTGGCCCATTTTCAAAATGGTCTGATCCAGTTCTAAGTCGTATGCTTGACGGATGCCGCGAATATCCTCTTCCTCTCATTAAAAAAAAAATAATATATTTCCAAAGATTTGATAAGAAGATGATCTGTACCTTTCTTTCTTTTTCCTTTCTATGACCTTTTTTCGGTTTACAGCCACATGAATAATTTGCCATATGTTTCCCGTTGCTGAAACAAAGTGCTCTACCACCTTCCAATTCCATACAACAGATAAATGTTTTGGTATTCACTACGTTTTATTTTTCAGTCCTTTTGATGTTGATGCCATCGCCCAAGAGGAAGAAATATCTTCTTCCTTTTTTTCTTTTTTCCTTTTGGGTTTTTGACCAAGTCATTGCTGTCATTGTATCATATGGTCCCTGGCCCTCTGGACCCCTGCCATGGATGTTGTATGGACAGATTGGTAGTGGGATCATGGACGGTTCAGGCAGCCATTCATTCATGTCTCATTTTCAAATGCATATACTATGGTCCCATAGGATATGTATTCTTGTGTTGTTGTTTAACTCCATGATATTTGCTAAGGTAATCGATTGCATTCATGGGCATGGGGACTAATTGCATACTTCCCCACTTGATTTGCAGAGTTTTACATTAAGTCCCATTATATCCATTTGGAAGAAGAGCAATGAGACCAATCAGATCAATCAATTGTATAGAAATACATGCTAAAAGACCGAAAAGATAATAAAGAAGGGAAAAAAAGAAGGAAACATTTTTTTTTTTTTGCCTCCCAAAGATGATTAAAACAGCCAAGCCATCTTAATTCCAAAAAGAACAAAATTTTAACACATTTAACTTAATTGAACACTAAAAATTGGAAGCCTTGAAGATGCTCTCGTTTCAAATTTTTATTTATTTTTGTGAAAATTTGCTTTCTTTAATACTTTGCAGAGCTGCATGCATGATCTAAATAGCTTATGGCAACCACCTGGGACTAAGGATATAGTTGAATATTTCACTTTGGGAGATTTATGGGATTGCTACGATGAATGGAGTGCATATGGTGCTGGCACCCAAGTAGTCTTGAGCAGCGGCGACACCATTATGCAATATTACGTCCCTTACTTGTCAGCCATTCAGATTTACAGCAACAAGTCAGTGGTGGCTTCCAGGTTTTGTTACCTTTTTTCTATTGATCTTTTACCTACCAAAATTTAGCTGATAGCAGCTCCCTTATATCTGGTGATTTGCGGCAGTTAGGTTGAGCTACAGTGCTTGTCTTCTTGTAGGAACTCAAAAGAGTATAATGATGTGGTCGAATTTGAAACTGATTCTTGGAGCGATGGCAGCATGAGTGATAAACTGTCGAGGTCTCTAAGCAACAATTCCAGCAAGACATGGGATACCATTTCTGAGGATTCAAGCTTTGACCATGAGGGTTCTTTGTCAACGAGGGATAAGCTTGGCTATCTGTACTTTCAGTACTTCGAGATATCTTCTCCTTATTGGAGGGTTCCGCTTTTTGAAAAGGTTACATTTTGTTCCAGTTATTGATTTCCACTTAACACTAAAACCCCTATAAATTGCTATAGAATGATATGCTTTATCTTTATTTCTATACGCCATTCTGATCCGTTATTCCTTTTCAGATAACTGAATTAGCCAGGAATAATCCGGGATTAATGACACTTAAGAATGTGGATCTTTCACCGGCAAGTTGGATGGCTGTTGCTTGGTAAAATCGATAGGTTTCCTTGATTCATTTTGTTTTTTCCATGGTTATCTGGCATTTTTGAGTCCAACTCCAACGTTTTTCCTTTCCGTAATAAGGTTATAGTAACTGTGTGGTCGCGATTGTTGATTAGGTACCCCATATATCACATTCCATCTCAGGGAAATGAGAAGGACCTGTCAACTAGCTTCTTGACTTATCATACGCTGTCATCGTCTTTCCAAGGTATCTTACTAATGTTTTTCCCACACGGATGATGCAGACATATTGTGTTACTACTCATCGAACACAAAATCATTCTTCTTCTCCATTTTGAGCCAGCTGGCAAAACTTATCACCTACCATGTTTTTCCGAGCATTGACTTCACCAATTCCTTCAACAACTTACAATTTGCTGATGTCTCCTAGTATAGTACCCGAAGAAGTATTCAGAATCCCAAAGAGAATTTAGGCCATCATATTTGATTTTGGGCCTAATCTAGATTTTTGCAGAGCTTATTGACATCAAATCCCATGAAGCCATACCGACTTGTATCTAGTACATATTTTAAGTCATATATAACATTTAATTCATGTGGCTTTGTTCGATGTTGTTGGATGGCTCTAGCTCTGGCTTGCTCACTGTTGTTTGCTTCCATGCCTCTCCAATGCCAAGGAACTTTTGGATTTGATTTGTTTATGGCCATGCGGACAATCCACTCTGTGCTATCCATCTAGTTTAGAGTTAGTTGCTGTCACCTAATGCGTATAAGTTTCTTTGCCTTTGTTGGCCTTTGATTCTGCAGATTGCGTCAACGAGGATAGTGACATTGAAGCAGACGGGACAGTAAGTAAACCAAAAGGAGAAGGAAATGGCGGTATTTCCCTTCCTCCCTTTGGTCTGGCCACATACAAAATGCAAGGGGATCTTTGGATAAATCCAGAGACATCCGATGACGAAAAAATGGTCTATCTCGAAAGTGCTGCTGATTCCTGGTTGAAGCAGCTAAATGTCCACCACCATGATTATAGCTTTTTTACCAGCTGCCACTGCAACATGTAAATTGGTTCGTCCTCTAACTTGTTTCCCTCCTAGCCAGGTTTGTTCATCTCTGCCACTGCCATGTAATCAGTCCCTTTTTGGCAGTTGCGACTGCTTTCAGAAACTAATCAAGTTTTGACATTAATGTGTAACTTTATGAAGCCGGCCTACTTTGGATAAGCGTATATGTAAATGGTTTCTAAGTCAATGAGCGTTGAATAAGCCACGAAAGTTTTGTTAGAGGGGGAGTTTGTTTTGTAGACTGAGCTGGTTTCCTTGGCAAAGAGAAAGAAGAGAATAGAAATGAGTTTGTGGATCGACAACTTAGTTCCAGGATGTCCTTTTTCTTAATTTCTTGTATCTTGTTATCTGAACTTGTATCATAAGGATGGGTTGCTAGTTTCTATGTTTGTAAATGGATTTGTTCTTTCTTTCTTGTTCAGAATTTGCACTTTACTACCTCTGTGAAAAATCTATCAGTTATATGGGCAACACGGGAAAAATGATGTCATTTTTGATTGATTGAAGATGGAAGAGATTGAAGTGGAGGAGAGAGACATTATAATCATTGAAAAAAGAGAATGGACCTTGTCTTCCACAGCCATGGGAACTAGATATCGTGGTAAGGGTTTTGGAAAGAGCGGTAGGCTAAAAAAGCTTTATGCAATAGACTCAAAAGTCCAAACTATATTGAACGATATTGAGCCTTTTTATGTTATTAGCTTGAAATATGAGTTTTACCTTGTCCATTTTTTCAACAAAAAAGACCATGATGGTCCATGCAATTTTTTTGACACAACTCTGGAATCACAGCTTTCGTTCTTTTCTGAAAACCATAAGGAGACTGTCCATCCAAACCATTCCTGAACAACATAAGCCATAAGGAGTAAGCAAGTAGAGACCGAAAAGGCTCAATTTGGACAAGGACTGAAGACAGCTGACATAGTGAAGGGTTCAGCCCAAAAGAGCTCATCCGCAAGTCATATTGGGCTCGCCGTTGAAAGCATCCAGCCCACAAATGTTAGCAGACAAAACTCATCCCGCCATTTACAACACCCAGCCCGCACTTTTCAATTTCCAGCCCCTTTTTTCATCTCAGTCAGCCAGCCCATAGCCCGTAAATCAGACAACTTAAACAGGCCCGACATATTCCAACAGAAAGACATACGATAGCAAGGTTTGTTGAGGGCAGCATCTCGTCCATGAAGCAGCGTGATGAGGACATGGACAGCAGAAGTGATTCAGAGGTGGAAATAGATGGAAAACTGGAGGAAACAAAAGGGACGATTTTCTTTTTCAATCAGTTATCAGATGGAAAAGAAGGATGTCCCTTTTTTTAATTTCTTGTATTTTGTTATCCGAACTTGTATCATAAGGATGGGTAGCTAGTTTCTATGTTTGTAAATGGATTTGTTCCTTCTTTCTTGTTCAGAATTTGCACTTCACTACCTCTGAGAAAATCTATCAGTTACATAGCTAATAGGGAATTGATGGATGTCGATTAAATTCAAGACAAAACCGATAAATTTGAAATATTTTTGGGATTCCATTGATAATCTGATTGAATTTAGGTTTCTCCTTTCTGTTTCAAGCATATTCCTGTAAGCTAGCTTTGTTGCCCATTCAAACACCAAGCTCTTGCCTCCAGTGGAAAGTTGAATTAATTTTTGGTCAAATATGTAGAGGAGTAATGGTTTCGATAATGAGAATTGTAAAGCTCTTTCGCCTCTTTTCACTAGAAGGTTGCAGAATTCAAAAGCGAAAATTCCTTGCATTCACACTCTTAACTTTCGCGCCCCCTCATAAATTTAGTATCCAAGTTGACCTCCAAGCCATAATTTTTTTATAAGAAAGTAAAAGTATTTGTTTGGATTAATTGAAATGGCTCAGGCATGAAAACAAAACCTTTCGATTTGCTTTCTACTGGTGTGGTCATGTGTTGTCGGAAGCAATCCATGTGCATGGTCCAACCAAGCTTTGAGCTTCAAATTGCCAGTCCATTCAACAAAGCAGACTAATTGCATTCAATTTTATGGGCCATATTATTTTTTTATCATAAATTTGAACCTCAACCCCACCCCCCTCTCTCTCTCTCTCTCTCTCTAATAAATAAATAAAAAAAAAGAGACTAATTGCTTTCTACTGGTTGGTCATTGTTTTTGCCAATGTGAGAAATATTTTTATTTTATTTTTGTTTGACCATAGAAAATTCTGAATTTATAAATAAATATATAAGGTAAATTTCCAAATATGCCAATTGTTTTTTTCTTCTTCCTACTCTTTTTTTTAATGAGAGAAGTGAAAAATACAAGAATGGATGAAGTAATAAATAATAATGGAAAAGAGAGAGAGAAGGAAAGAAGAAGAGTGGCAATTGTTTGGGTTCCTACTTCCTAATTCCTGTCTACCCGAACCTTCATCCTGTATCGTACAGTACACGCGTGTTGCTGTGCTGCTCTTCTCGTTATTTTTTTTATTATTTTTTTTTTCCTTCTGTTCAAATCTATTATTTTTTATTCTATCTTTTCAAACAAGGAATCCAACAAGAAGATTGAATCCATAGCAAAGCAAAGCAACGCAAAGTTGAGAAGAGAATGAGAAGCTGATTCTCTTCTTCGGCAAGCAGTAAAGAAGAACAATTGTTGTAGTAGCATTACTATTCCTTATTGTAATAACATTCTTTTCTGTTTTTGACTACACTCCACATGATTTGCAAATTATTGCTTGATTGATTTCAGTAAATACGCTCTGCCCACATGCTACATAACTGTTACCCATTTCCTTCTTTGTTTGTTTTGACTCAATTATTCTCTCCATACTAGCAGTCAGTCAATCTCAGATTACCATTAACACTCTCTACTCTTAGTTTTTATTTTATGTTGCTGATCAAATCATTTGATTGACTGAAAAAGAAAATAAAGAAGGGAAGGGAAGATGGGGATGTGGTCCGCGGTGGTCATATTTTGTGGTGGCTTTCTTTCTGGCCTGCTCACTCTTGTTGCTTTACAAGCTCTGGGTGTTTACTTCTTGATTAAAAGATTGAATCGAAAGAGTCAGCTTCAACAAAAACAAGCATCACATTCTTCATCTCCTCATCAAGAACTCGATCCCCAACAGTCCCTTGAGTATGCCTATAACAAGAAGGTCTCTCTCTCTCTCTCTCTCTCTCTCTCTCTCTCTCTATTATCTTTCAATTGCTGCTCACTAGTTTTTTACGTTCTTCTTTGAATTCTGGTCAAAATAATACCTTTTTATTTATTTGTTGTGAAAGAATGGTACTTTCTTGTTATAATATGTTCCTTTTGATTTGGGCATTGATTGCTACCAAATGGGGCCGTGGGTTTTGGTTCTTTCTTTTATTGAATCAAATTCTCTGCCTCTAGGGATTACTCTCTGTGATTATCTATGGTCTTCCGTACAACCTTTTCTTTTATTAAAGAAAAGAAAACGATACTTTCTTGCTATGCTATGTTCATTTGATGGAGCAACTGCTGCTATTAATTAATTTAATATCCCTGGGTTGATTCTAGTTCTTTTCTTTAACTGGGTCTCAAAGAGCATGGATGTTTTGCTAGCCTTCTCTATTTCAGACCACAACTGAATGGCTCATACATCTCTATTTCTCCATTTTAAAGTCTTACTATTTCAACGAAATAACCCCTATTCACCTTCTCATTGCATGCCCCTTTATCCAACAATTGTAGGGTTTGTTGTCTTAATGCTGCCCTAGAAAGTGTATATGTCTATCAGAATCATTCATACTTTTGTCTTTTTGAAAGAGCTTTAAAGAAATGCATATTCACACCCCAATCATGCACGTTTAAACTTATAATAGATCATGCCTTTTAGTAATAAAAGTTTCTTTCTTTTTTTCCTTTGGCTGATTTACTTCTATGACTCAGGGAATTGTCTGGGTTCTTGAATCAGATAAGGTTCTGAAAAATTGGCCAGTGGAAAAAGTACCGAAAGATCAAAAGAGGAAAAAGGAGCTCCTTGAGGTTACTCCCATTAAAAAACATGCTAAAATCAAGGATAGGTCACTCATTTTGACAGATTCTGGTGGTACGCATAGAATTGTCCCCTTGAAAGGTTGTGTGATAGAAGCTGTTTCAGCTACAAGCCTTCCATCAAGAAAATGGTAAATACTGTCTTTACGGGACACTTATGGTTGGCTACTAATATAACATTGTATGGTTTTACACATTCTAATCATTCAGTTTCCTTTTTAATGCCTTTTGGGGTTGGTTTTGCTATTGACAAGTAAAGGACCAAAGGCTTCTTGCCTCCTACTTGTCTGTGTGTTGATTTTGGCTTAGAATTTAATATTGGGAAAGGAACTCTAGCCTGATAATTCAGTATGGTTATTTCTCATGCGTGGCTCCTTGTAGTGGCCGCAACCATCAAGATTCCCATTACCACATAAAATGTGGGCAATGTAATGGTCAGTGCCATTTAAGTGACACATTCGTTCAGATATCAACTTCTTTGACTTCACTCATCAGTTTTAACCAGTTTGACCAGGGCTGAAATACTTGATTTTGAAACCTTACCAAGATTCCTTATTACTCAGCTCAGTAGATTCAAATTTTGCATTCATTTAGTGTTAGAAATATGTGTGTTACTAAATGCATTTAAAATAGCTTAAGTGATGGATTCCTTTTCACCCTTTATCTAAGTAGAAACATGACTCATCTCTGTTGCTATGACAGGGCCAAAAGATTTCCAATAAAAGTGGAAAGCAAAAATTCACCAATATATAATGCAAGTAAGACGTTTTTTATTTTTCTTGAGACATCCTGGGAGAAGGAGTCATGGTGTAAAGCCCTCCGCCTTGCTTCAAGTGATGACCAAGAAAAACTTAACTGGTTCACAAAGTTGAATGAAGATTTCCACCGTTATTTGACATCCTTAAGCACAGGATACCCGTCATTTATGAAACCTTCAGTTGGGTTCTATGCTGAGCCAATAGATAGGGCCAGTAGGCTTGACAGTTCTGAATCGAAGGTTCGCCTGTTTTGGAAAAAGCTTGCCAGAAAGGCATCAAAGACTGGTGTAGAAAGTAAGGTGACTTCCTTGTTAGGCCGTGAAGAGAGAAAGAATAATGATAAATATCATCCATCCTCTGACCCAGCTTTTACCGGTAGTGTGGGAAAGAATGCCCCAGCATTAATTGCACCTATCACCTTTGAAGAAGAAAATATAGCATCAAGTTCATCATCAACCTTTTCTCGTGCATCAAGCCAAAGCCAGTTCTCAGCCATTTCTGAAACAGACATCGATGAAAGGTTAAATATTGATGACGGAACACTCTGCTGGAACTTGATTATTTCTCGGCTCTTTTTTGATGCCAAAAGCAATGCAGAGATGAAGAGTTTAGTGCAAGCACGGATTCAGGTCTACTATCTCCCTAATTATATTCAACAACATTTATTTTTATCCATTGAAGCATGTTAAGTTCTGTTATGTGTAGATGATGCTTTTGCTTGTAGTTTTATTATCTGCAGTGTGTTGCAATGTTCGGGATTGGTCTATCAAATAATTCCATTTGATGTAAATACAATTAAAAAATACAGCCTCAATACGGGTTCTGTTGCATACTCGTCCTTTGGCCTTCACAAATTCTAAATGCTTGGACTTTTTACTTGTGCCCTGATTTATAAAGTAGATAGAACTCTTGCAACAGTGAATATATCCTGCTTCCTTCAGAACTTAAGAACTGTGGTCAAAAGGAGAAAATTCCACAGGCTAGGGAGAAAATTTTTATAATTTAATTTGGCAGGAAGGGCAAAATATTTCACATTATTACACGTAACAGGTGTTCTTTGAAGAGCATGCCTATGTTTTTTTTTCTTTTTTTTTTTTTAAGATTTAGATGTATTCAGACATTTTTCTTTTCTAATTTGGGATAACAGCGAACATTGTCAAATATGAGGACTCCCAGTTACATTGGTGAAGTCATATGTACTGCTCTGGACCTTGGTAATCTCCCGCCTTATATTCATGGTATTAGGGTTCTTCCTACACACGTGAATGAAGTATGGGCATGGGAAGTTGACATCGAATATTGTGGCGGGCTGGTCTTAGATATTGAAACAAGACTGGAAGTTCGTGACCTAGATATGCTGAAAGGTGTGGTGGATACAGACTCAGGATCCAGCTCTGGTACGGATGTTTCTTCAGACCTTCTGGAAGGTTTTGAACATCTTGGAAAGCAGTTGAATCTTTCTGAAGCGACGGTTGATTCACAAGAATGGAAGGATGAGGGTAATCCTAAGCCTGGTAAGTATGGATTCTTACTGCCTTAAATTTTGTATGCTCGTTTGCAAGCTAATGCTTTCGAATGTTATAAACTCTGGTGCATGGAGATAAAAGCCCTGTATGATTGTAAAGTTGTAATCAAACTTTCGTAGTGATTCCCTCTAGGATTTCATGCCGTTCGAAGAGTCTGGCAACTGTATTTGACTGTCGTCTGGGAAACAAAATACTGGAATGCTGCCTAACTGCTTTTTGACTTTTTAGTTAATTCAGACCTTAGTTGTGGTGATATTATTTGAATGATGATAGTATGCTTGCACATGGATGGATACATTCATTATGCAAACAAGATAACATCAGAGGATTTCAAATATAAACCAAATCTAGGATCCTGTTCATTGTCACCTGGAAAGCCCTAAATAAGGTCAACTTTTCTCCAGGTTGTGGTTTTTTCACATTTCTCTGTTCATGCAGGAAATGAGTTGGTGTCTTTCCACTAATGACCATTGAATATAATCCTCTAAAGAATTGTTTCTTTGTATACAGAAAATAAAAAACCTATGAGGATGATATGGTTATCTGTTTAGCCTAGTCAAGATAGATGCATGACATGCATGGCCATTGAATTATCCTGGTCCATGTAATATCATCTTGAATTAGGAAGCAAGGAGGAGGTAGACGTTTGTCAAGATGATAAACATGTAAAATTCCTTTATTCCAGTTATTGCAACTGTGTTAATGATTAATGCTGTTCTTTATTGTTGGTTTGTGCAGGAGGAATTCTTAATCGATTGATTTAATGAAAATTTACAATAAACAATACCAATTGACTCTCATCTTTGTTTGCTACAGATAAATTAAAGGACCCTAAGAGTGGTATAGCAACATCAACGAATGTATCTAAGTGGAAGTCCATTCTTAAGTCTGTTGCGAAACAGGTCTCACAGGTTGGTAAAAAAACCTTTTTCTGTAGATATAGGGTGTTTCTTCTTACATACGAAGACATATACATTGTTATTAGACGGTGTTTCTCCCTTTGATTAATATGAATTCAATAGTGGTATTTTCCTGTAGTTCAGGATTTTCCTGTAATTCAATATGAATTCAATTGATTATCCATTGCAGGTGCCACTCTCTTTGTCAATAAGGGTCGCATCCCTTCGTGGAACGGTGCGATTACATATTAAGCCGCCTCCTTCTGATCAGTTATGGTTTGGCTTCACTTCCATGCCTGATGTGGAGTTTGCATTGGAGTCTTCTGTTGGGGAACACAAGATCACTAGTGGACAGATAGCTGTATTCCTGATCAATAAGTTTAAGGTATGGAACTTCCTTGTCACATAGGAGTACTCTTCAGTATTTTTTAAAATTATCCTTCAATACATAAGTAGTCATCAATTGGGTCGCTATGTTGCTTGACAGGATGTCTGCATTAATGACTATGCAGCTCTAAGCAATTATATCTCCTCTTCCTCTAGAAATCCATTTTGCACTCAATTCATTCTCTTAAATTGCCTTAGTTTGTTTGTTTTCCTAACTTGGAAAACTTGACTTAGCTGTAAATTCTTTCCCCTTCTTAATAGATATTGCAAGCAGTTCATCATTGCAGTGAATCACATCCTGATTAAACTACTTAAAAATCTCCAACACTATTTATGGTGTGTATGGTGTTTATGTTCGCCGATGGAAGCATTTTCTTATCACAGCTCCAAGTCCCCTTTATTTGTATCATTTGTTTTTGTTGCATTGGAAAAGTTGAGGACTCTTGCTAGTCATATGTAAGATCGACACTTTGCTGAAACTGCCTTTTAGATGATCAGTTTGTGAATCTTGGAATTGTTGTCAATTGTGATCTTCCATCAGAGTGCTTTTAGTTTGCAGCACATGTTTGGAATTTTAGGTACTTCTATGGAAATAGGATAGGATGAATGATAGATGCTAGGTAGGTACATCTGATGCTAGCTAGTTTCGATAATGCAGGCTGCAATCCGGGAGTCAATGGTTCTTCCAAACTGTGAAAGTGTTTGCATTCCCTGGATGTTAGCAGAAAAGAATGACTGGGTCCCTCGAAATGTTGCTCCTTTTATATGGATTAATCAAGAAGCCGCTAGTGATAATGCCACTGCACTTGAACTCTTGAACTCCCAAATTGATGCAAAAACCAAGATCGAAGTTGGCAAGGGAACCTCATACGAACATCCAGAAAGCAAGCATAAAAAAACAAGGAATACTGAAAATGCTCAACCACCACTTTCTGATTATTCAGATGCATTGCCACGCCCATTAAGCTCTAACAAGCCATCAATGAAAAATGACAAATCATCGCAAGATCTAACAAGTCCTTTGTTGGCAAACGGTGAAGCAGAAGAAACTGGCCAACAGAGCAGTGGGTCTATCTCGGAGAGTCAATCACCATCTAGGTCTCTGATACCTCTGGAAAAACAGACTCTTGCTGTTGAGGAAGATGATTCAAGACCAAAGAAAATGGGAAGGAGAGCAAAGATGTTTGATCTAGGCAAGAAGATGGGAGAGAAATTAGAAGAAAAGAGGCGCCATATTGAAGAAAAGGGCAGGAACATGGTTGACAAGATGCTAGGACCATGAAAATTGCAAAACAAGTAGAGACTGTTGGGAGAGACACAATATGGTGGCAAATGCTGTTTTTATTCATAGAGGAATGAAGGCATCAATCTATTCACATGCATGATATATATTTTTGTGGTGCTGAAAAGTCCTTGGGTACAAAATTTCATTCACAGTTCTTTCAAGAGGAATAAGATACAGCTAAAAAACTATAATTGACAATAAAAATAGGTATATATAGAAAAGGAACTCAAAAAGACCTTGAGTTTATATAGATAGGTATTTGTTGTAAGAGTGACATGATTAGTTTCGTTCTAAAGGGATGTTGGCTCATCTAATTGTTGTATCGTGCCATGACTCCCACTAACAGAAGGATTTTTCTTTTCCTTTTATGTGTAGTTATTCTCTAATCATTGGATTTGTTTCTACCTTCTACCAATTTTATCACTGCTTTATGGTGGCCGTAAGAAGTACATTTACTTAATGACGAAAACTGTACATGGATCTCAAATAAACCAGACTAGAACTTTTATTGCTCGACTCGTTTTGATGGACTGAAGTTCAGCTAAAGCAATGTATTGGTGGAGGAAGCCAATGTATTGATGGACTGAATTTCCACACGTCCTTCATCAAATTCAAAATGTGGATTGTAGACAATGCAGCCTATTTTTCTCTTCAGACAGAACACGGCAAGTTGTTGTGTTCTAGTTCTGCTGAAACAAGATTCAGCATCAGCATTCTAAGTTTCTAGACCTCATTATTCTTACATTCTGTCGATTACAAGAATATACAACAATTGAAAATATAAGGTAACAAGGTGCACCCTGAAATCCCGGGATTTCCTTAGTATTTTTCGATTCACTTCGATATCATGTGATTAGTGAGACAGTGATTTGGCAGCAGAAGAGTAAAATCACCAGAAATCCTTGCACGAGCATGTACCAGACTCAAAATGGTGGAAGCGGGAACCATCTCTCACAATAAGATGCCTACCTGTAATCTTTGAGATAAATTTCAAAGCAGAATGGCAATCATAACAACTGCGTACGTTCTTTATGATCCTCAGAGTTGATCCTGCCTCGGTACTGATGAGACCAAATGCAACAGCCAATCTCTCACTATGAACTTTCAATACTTCCTCCTTCTCTTCCCTTTCTAAGTCGTGAATCACAGTATCTGTTTCCGGAACATATCCAGCTTCTGCAAGTTTTAAATTTATTTCCTCTAGCTTTTTGTAGATATCAACTGACTGAGCATGCTTCCGATCTCCAGCAATGAAAACATGGACAGAACCATCGATCTCAACCTGGCTCCAACCAGGTACTTTAACCAACCCTCTGTCATTCATCAAGCTCCTTGTTGCGGCAGCCTCCTTCCACTTGCCCATGGACGTATATAAATTAGCCAGTAATACATAATTACCACGGCTTCCAGGATCCAAATCTAACAGCTTTCTAGCTGCAAGCTCCCCCATCTCAAGATTGCAATGTTTCCTGCAAGCACTAAGAAATGGAGCCCAAACTTGAGCTTTTAGTTTGACAGGCATCACTCTAATGGTTCTCAAAGCCAATTCAAGCTGGCCAGCTCTGCCAAGAAGATCAACCAAGCACATATAATGTTCTACACTAGGTACTATTCCAAAATCCTTCTGCATACTTTTAAAAAACTTGAGACCATCTTCAACCAATCCAGAATGGCTGCAAGCCAACAATATGCTTGTATAAACAACAGCATCCGGCTTTATTCCTTGTATTTCTTGCATCTTGTGAAAGAGACCGAAAGCCTCTTCTCCCATCCCGTGAATGGCACAACCATTTATCATGGAACTCCAAACAGCTAAATCCTTATCCGATACCCTCTCAAACGCAGACATAGCCTTGTCTATACTTCCGCACTTGGAGAACATGTGTATCAAAGAGGTCTGTACTTGCCTATCAGAATGAAACCCATTTGCTAAGATGTACTCTTCAATCTCTTTGCCCATGTCCAATGACCCCAAGTCAGCACAAGCTGACAGGATAGTAGCCAGAGTTGCTCCATTCGGTTTAATAGCTGTCTTCAACAGCTTCTTAAAAAGAACCAAAGCTTCAGCAGGATAACCCATGTGTGTGTACCCACCTATGATAGATGTCCACAAGAACACATTTTTCTCATGTGCCATATCGAACACTTTTCTAGCTGAGATGAGGTCTCCACATTTTGCGTACATGCTGAGTAGCAAGTTATCTAGAGGATCTTTATTCTCACATCCACATTTTACTATGAGAGAATGAAGTGACGAAGCTGCCAACAAATTCCGTTGTTGTGCACAACCTTTAATGAGGCTTATAAACACTACCAAGTCAGGGCTGATGGAACTAACTGTTCTCATTTTATTGAACATACTGAAGGCTTCGACTACATTCCCTGAATCTACGTAGCCACCGATAACTATTGTCCAAGTAACGACTGATTTCTCATGCATCGAATCAAGAACGGCATGTGCTTCACGGACTTGACCATATTTGATATACATGCTGATCACAGCATTGGTTAGGGGTATGTCATCATAGGTATTTAAGAGTCCAAGTTTAAATACGCAACAGTGAATAGACAAGCCTTGTCGAAGAAGAATAGAGGTGGTGGAAAGAAAGCTCAGAAATGTGGTGGAACTTAGTTCCAAACCAAGAAGCCGCATTTCATGAAGCAGTAAAACGGCTTCGTGGAACAAAAAAGAACGGCAATAAGCAGAAATGATGGAGTTCCAAGAGACAACAGTTCTCGTTGGCATTTCATCGAACACTTTTCTTGAAGAGGGCAGGTCATGGCATTTGGAATACATGTCAAGGAGAGCAGTCTGCACAAAGACATAGGCTTGAAATCCCAGAAGGAGGGTATGGGAATGGACCTTTGTCGCGTCACGTATGGAGTCAATGCTAGAGCAGGCTTTGAAGACCAAAGGGAAAGTGAAGTCATTGCCATGAAGTCCTGTTCGTAGCATAGAAGAATAGTGGTTTAGAGTTTGACAGAAATGACCAGCGTTGGTAGAATCCCGGATAATCAGGTTCCACAGGTAAACTGACCTTCTGATTTGCATTTCGTGTTTTTCAATTTTTCCATTCGTTTCTGATAAGAAAGTAAGTAAGAAGAAGAAGACGGTATAAAGTAGCTGACGGGCTTGAGCAAAGAAACGGGCCAACACCTGGACCTCCGCAATTGTTTTTAATGTCCTTAATCCTTGTGCCATTTTACACATCAGTCCAAATTAAATTATTTTTTCAAATAGTTTTAAGGATACATCATTCAAGGGAATTTCATTGTTGATGTTAGAAAATAAAAACATGCAACTCATAATTTAATTTAATGACCGGTAATGTATTATTACCATCGAATAAGTAAAATGTCTGAGCAAATTAAGCAACTAATACAATTAAACTCCTTTTTTTTTTTTTTGCTTCTTCGTTGCTCGTCTCTTCTGTTTTCTTCACTTCCAGAGTGTCTTCTAACCAGCTTTTGAACGTATTATTACGATTAAAACAATATTATTACTATTGCTGGGGAGTTAGGACATACATTTTAGAAGTATGAGAATCCAAATCTGCTGATATTTGTCCTTTAATTGATGTCTCGTTCGAATGCTGCAAAACAATTAATTAATTAACAAGTACATATAATTGATAGTAATTAATTGATTAATTGAGCATAGATAACACCCATACCATTAATTACTAATTAATTAATAATAAAATGAAAATGAAAGGGTTATTAGTATAAGTATATTAAGGATGATCTCACCGCCCATAAATCTCTAGCAGTGACAGTAGTTGTTGAATCAAGGCCTATGTCAGACCAGTAAGCAGTGACTGTAGCTCTAGAAGAACCTCTATTCCATAGCACCACTGCTACCTTCTTATTGCTGAGAGGCCCAGCCCACACCTGAAATGCATTAATTGCATACGCATTTTCATTAATTAATATACATATATATATATACACTACAATGATAATATTATTTATCAAGTATTTAGCAGACCTCTAAATCTCCATTCTTCTTAACCTTTTTCCCCTGCACTCCAAGCTTATCTGTCCACATGCAATTTAATGAAATTATTATTTTTTTTTAATTATTAAAGCAATATATAAACTGTAAATGCCATACCTTGATTAACTTCAATAACTTCCTTATTGCTTAATATTTCATGTGTTTCCTTACTCATTGCTCGAACATCACATCCAATTAGAAGAGGGGCCTGTAATTAATTAATTAAAATAGAAAGAAGCAAGATCGATGATTCTTCACAAAAATATATCTTCAAAATAAGCTAGCCACATAATTAATCAATTAACCTTGGCTAATGCCCATATGCTGAAATGGGAGCGGTATTCCTCTGTTGTCATGCCTCCATTTCCAACTTCAAGCATGTCAGGATCTGCGTATATAATATTAATTTATATTTTAATCTTTATCACCATGCATTAAATTATACTACAAATGCCACTAGGAAATTGTGCTATTATTATTATAATAGTATATATTACGTACCATTCCAACCTCCAGGTGCAGCATACGATGCCCATTGATCGTTTTGATCTGCAAGAGATGTCATGCTGCAGGTTTCCAAATTCATCACTCCATATACTTATTACGAGTTTTTGTATTTTAATTCATTTCACGAAAAGCAAACAATATATATATCTACACTCACGCACCTGTCCCAATTATCTCTAATGTCTCCTGTTGTTCTCCAACTATTTCCAACCTCTGGTGCCCAGGTTGCAGGGTCTTCCTGTCCCCTAAAGTTGGTTTTTTTTTTTTTTTTTAAATTAAAATAGTGGATGGGGCACTGAAATCGTAATTAATGAAAGAATCCTTACCATTCACATAGAGAAAAGAAGATGGGCCTTCCGGAGTTTAATAAGGCCTTGCTCATTACTGGATATCTCTCCTTTGGGCTTGATCCATCATTGTTACAATTGTCATACTTCAAGTAGTCCACTCCCTTCATTTTTGTGTTTCATCAAGAAGCAGCCAAATGATGAAGTAACTCTACTCTGTTTCTGTACTTATTAAGGAACATAAAAAATTTAAAATGGTTACCCAGGAAGCAAAGGTTTTTGCATCTAGTTCCTCGTGCCCTAATGATCCAGGCATTGTTTTACTGCATGTCTGACTCCTAATCAATTCGTAAGCCACAATTAATATTCAGTAAAAAGAAGTTTAGAGCATTATATACATATATTATCTTAATTTTCCATATAATACAGACATTGCAAGTACAATTAGGTCATACCCAGCATCAGAGTAAATTCCAAGCTTCAGCCCTTTTCCATGCACGTAATCTGCCAACGCCTTTATTCCTGAGGGAAACGTCGAAGCTTTTGGAACCAGCTTTCCCTGGCAAACAAATATACATTCTTTTTTTCAATTTCCAATCCAGAAGATACTCAGCTCATATTTACGCACTCCAAATATATATATATATATTTAGAAGTGATCACAAAAGTTAAAAGAGGTAAGTACCTCAGAGTCTCTGTTAAGTTCAGCCCAGCAATCATCTGCAAAATTAATACACATATTGTTCGAAAAATTCAAGGATTAGACAGTAAATTATATAAATTAATGAAGTTATAGTTGATTGATTACCTACCTAAATTTATGTGTTCATATCCTAGAGCTGCAAGCCCAGATGAAACCATTGCATCCGCTGTCAAAACCATCGAGGGAAAAAATAGTTTTATTTTTAGATTTTTAAAGAGCCGGTTTTCGAATAATCAATAATATCAGTTACCTGTTTCCCTAATCAATTTCTCTTCAATGTTGCAGTGAAAATGGTTCCAACTATTCCATCTGATCCATATGGGTAATCCATTTTCAACGTTAAACAGTATTACATAGCTAGCTCATGTATAGCAACCATAATTAAGAGGCGAGGAAAGGAAAATAAAAAATAAAAAAGAAGAAGAAGAAGATAAACAATATCTTTGGCAGGCTAAATAATAATAATATATTTTTCACATGTTTCTAGCCAAGTGTAAGGCATTTTTTTTTATGTTTTTGTTGGTGGGGATGGTTCGGCTACTGATGGATTGATATAGTTGGTGAATAATTATATGGACAAAATCGTTAACTTCTTTCCTTGAATAATTGAGTATGCAATAGCCAATATGCATGCATATGGTTGCTTCTCCAAAAGAGGGAAAATAAGAATGATTGACTATGGTCTGCTAATCCACTACCTACCATGATAATATGGTTCGTCATCAATAATAAATTAAATTTTACAGGTGGATTAATTATAATTAAAAGTTTTGACAACCTATTTTGGAGTAAGCAATGGACTTAACTAATTTCTGTTAAAATCCTAATTAGAACAAGACATTAATGCACCGACATATCTTTTTTTTTAATTACTCTTTGAGTAATTAATCTTTTTATCTAAAAAAAGATAGATACTTTTTATTTCTTAAAAAAAAAATTATCCTTTTTTAGCTTTTCATACATTTTAAAAAAAGTCATTAATTTTTATGCTATATTAATATTTTTTTCATACTTTCTTAAAATATTCTTTTTATATTAAATTGTTAATTATAAAATATAATCATGTACTATTTCATAGAATCAATATTAATCTAAACAAAAACTCTATTCAAAATTAATTAAGATGGTAAATCAAAAGAAAAACCACTAAGTTAATTGACAATCAAATTTAAAACAATTATAAAAATAAAACACTATATATATTTTCAAAATTTTAGAATACAATAAAATTCTTGTAGAAACAAATATTTTTCATGCACAAAAATTTTCATTTAAAATTTTTATGTTAAATATATTTTGTATGTATATATAAAGAGAAAAATATAAAGAATATTGATTTTTTTTTTTGTTATTGAACAACAAAAAAATAGAAAAAAAAATTAATTTTCCTTTATCAATCAGACATATTATAGAAAAATACTTTATTTAAAGTTTCGATCAAATAAGGATTTTAGGATAGATATATATACTTAATAAGAATTGTGAACAATTAAGCCAAAAACGAAAGGAGAGTGAGCGGTAGGGAAAGGGAATGAATGGTACCCCATGGGTGGTGTAAGACCAAGTCCATTTGCCGAAAGACTCCTCCTCCGAAAAATCAGATTATTAGAACTTGAATTGGAATATCCGTATCCGTATCCGTCTCCGTCTCCGTCTCCCAGATTGATTGGACGAGCAGCAGCAGCATTTGACACCATTTGCAAGAAGACGACGAAGAGTAAGGCAATCACTCCCAGCTGCTTGCCCAGCATGAGATCAGTAGGTGCAGATTGATGATTATAAGCCACCATAGTCTATATATTGTTTGTGCATATATAGACGCTGCTGCAGCTAGCTAGGAAACTGAAGTTAATTCAAATATTCTCTCTCTCTCTCTCTCTGTGATCTCTGAAAGAGAAGAAATAAGGCTAGCTGCTGCTGCCCGCTGGTATATATTTTGGTGGAAGATTTGCACAAATAGGAATCATTTGTTGTATTTTTCTAGAAAGAACAAACAAGAGATGGTTGGTCTACAGCTCAGCTTCACTACGTACGGCTGTGCCAACCACATATGTCTCTCTCTATTTTATTTTAATCTTACGCTAATAAATAAAGAATACATTACCATATTGATTTTCAATCCTTTACCAAAGAATTCGTATTCTAGTAGCAGTAATTTCTTGTAAGAAAATTATAAAAATTTAATTTTATTACAGCTTTGGGTGCGTTTTGAGTTGGTGAGTTAAATAATAAAATATAAAAAAAGATTTCTCAATACTTTGACGCATGACATAATCTCCTTCTCTGTCACTCTCCCATTACTATATAAATATATTTTGTCTTCAGACTTGGTGTTTATATATATATATATATATATCAGAAGACAGAAATATTGGGAAATATTATACTGTAGCCAGTAGGTGCAGTCTGACTCTGAATCACTGCATTATTGGATTTATGGAATACAATTTTGGAAGTCTTTGTTAATTTTTATTTTTCACAGAAAGATTATTGTCTTTAATTTTTTTTATATATATAAATTAAAAATTTGTTGATTGCTATGTTATATTAACATTTTGTATTTAATTTTTTAAAAAATATATGTTTTTTAAATTATTAAATTTAATTTTGATAGAATCAATATTTATTACATATATTTTTTTGAAAATATACCGTTTAAAATTTTGATAAGAGAAATATATATAAATAAGAATGCAAATAATGAAATAAATAAATAAAATCGTCCTTTTCCTTATGTTTCTTGGCTGATACGTACCGCTAAAGCATGCCATGCCGTATATAAACGGCTCATCTCTACTTCTATTTATATTTATATTTATATTTACAATCGTCATCTTTGTACTTTCTTTTTCTTGTTTTCTTTCTCCTATTTATCGTGTACTGGATTTTTGCCTTTTTGTTTTTTATTTCTTTTCCTCTGTTCAAACTTAAAACCATAAATCAATTTATACTACAACCGTACGTTGTATTAGTTTGGGCTTGGATGCCCTGTACTGTTCTGTGGATTGGGCCTTTTCATACCTGAACATTTTATCTGTTCTAGACTGGGTTTTTCTTTCTTTATGGGCCTCAGTAAATTGGATCCATTCAATTGAATCTTATTCTAGGCCCATCTCATCTGTCTCTGTCCCTGTCTCCGTCTCTGCTAATTGAAGGGAAAAAAAAAAGAAGATAAGAAGAGGTAAATCTTTAAGCATAAATTCTATTAAAAAAAGTTATATACTCTTCCAAAGGAGAACCCCACCTTCCCCCTCATCTTTTTCACTTAGAAATCAGCAGAATTTTCGTCTTTCTTTCTTTTTGCGAGCTTAATTTTGGTCCATTCTGATCTGATTGATATACAGGAGGCATGGTGATGGTGATGGTACTGATGGTGAGGTCTATTACCATCCCTTCTTGTCTGACCTTATGTCAGAGACCACCACCCTCTGCCTCTAATTATCTTTCTACACAAATGCAATTCAATAGAAACTCAAGGAATCATTGCATTACGAGGCCTCAAATACTCCCTTGTGCTGCTGATTCTTTCGGGGATGCTAGTGGCTTCAGGGTCTTTGTGCTTTCTGATTTACACACTGACTACCCAGAGAACATGAAGTGGGTCAAGTCCTTATCAACTAAGGCCTACAAGAACGATGTTCTTCTTCTTGCTGGTGATGTTGCTGAGACTTACCGCAACTTTCACTTCACTATGTCCCTTTTCAGGGATAGATTTCAACATGTCTTCTATGTTCCTGGGAATCATGATCTTTGGTGTCGCACCGAGCCAGAGGGCCAACAACATTATGTAAGCGACCTTGTTTTAGTTTCCTGCTACGCTTTTTATTCTCATTTGTTTCCTTTTGTGTAATTATGTAAATTACAATTCTTTTCATCATTTAAATGCAAACCCACCCCCCCCCCCCCCTCTGAATTAGTTGAGTTCTATGCTCCTCCTTATTACCTGAACAACCAATCATGGAGCAGTTTGGGCGTCAGCTTCTTGTCTAGTGAAACTAAACCACTGTCCTGAACCCACCTTTCTCAATTATTGTAAATGTATTGACAAACCGAGTTGACCTCTTGATGACTGATTTCTGTGTTTTAGAACCTCAATATATATGCTTCCTCCTTTCAACTTTTTCTCTTGTCCAGTTTGTTTATTCAATCCTTAATAACTCTAGAAATGGCAAACCACATGACTTTTTGAATTTCTGATACGTAGAGCTGTTTCCTATCAATCTTGATGCCAAATTAATACGTATGTTTCGACTGTAGCGATCACATTGCTATATTTAGTTCGAAACATGTTCTGATTCAAACCTTGTTGTCTAACTCTTTTACCATGATATGCAATCCTTTTTTTCTGCTAACGAAAATTATCATCTGAATAACTAGTTTTACTGAATTTTCAGCTTGATTCTCTTGAAAAGCTGAATAAATTGCTTGATGCTTGTAGAGGACTTGGTGTCCAAACCAGACCAATGGCTTTAGGTGGCCTCGGAATCGTACCTTTGTTTTCTTGGTACCATGAGGTAATTGGTCTGCGAATCCCTATTCCTGATGTTTTCCTTTTTTTAACTTCTAAGCTAAAGAGCACCAATGGCTGGTCAATTTAATTACCAATTCTTTCTTAACGCACAACTTGCTTTTCTTGCAGAGTTTTGATAGAGAGCAGGACATTTCTGGCACAAGAATTCCTTCTTTGGAGATGGTGATTCACTTTCTTTTCTGCTCGTAAGGTTTCAAAAACTTTGATTGCAACAATATCACTGTCTAGAATTTGTATGATTATGATGCTTGATTTAAATTTCATACGGATATAATGATTTAGTTCTGTTTTCATGCTCGATAGTGCATAGCAGCCATTATGTTCCTCTGCCCTTTGCCATTAAAGGAAAACAAAAGTTCCATAAATTGAAGATCATACAACTAACATGGAGTAGATTGAGTTAATCAATCTTAGTGCCCAGATGGTTGGCTCTTTAGCATCTGATTTCTTAAGCTCTTCCATATTGACAAAAGACAACTATTCAAAAATACCTGATCTGATTGGTTATCTTGGTGTAAGATTTTAAATTTGCCGCACCTAAGGCATTGATGTGAGATTTAGGGGTTTGTTCATGGTTTCATGCGTTGGTGCTGATTCCTGTAGATCTAACCATTTAAGTCAAGAGGAAAGGATGAAAGTAGAACAACCTGGCATCACACTGAGTCACTGACTAGAGTGAACCCCTAGGTGTTTATGTAGGTGATTCATGCTAATAAGGCTTTGTGGATGCTATTCTTTAGGTTTGTATTGAACTCCTTTCATTTGTTCATTTGCTTTAGTGTCTGTCTGCTCTACTTCACAATCAAGTGGTTTATAGTTTGTGACTTTGTAAATGCCCGTAATCCTTTTCTGGGTGCATATATCTATTATATTTTTTCTAATTGTAGGTATGCAAGGACTTTCATGCATGCAAATGGCCAACGGAACTTTCAAACAGAGATACTTCTCTTGCCTCATACTTTGATGCAATGAATGAAGAAAACGAGGATGCAATCAAAATGATAAAAAAGAAATGCACTCAAATAATTACATTCTCTCACTTCCTTCCCAGGTTAGTTGCTCTAAAAATCTTATTGCAATACTTAGAAATTGTTCCTTAAAATTCAAACTGGGTAAGAATCGATGGCAACAAACTATGAAGCTTGCTATTTTTTTATTTTCATTCTTGGAACTGCAGTGTTTGTTCTTAGTTTTCTTTAATTGTTAGTTTTTTATCATATACAGGTTCTTCTTCGTAGAAGTCTCTAAATCTAACTCCTGTTCATTAAGCTTGGATGCTTTTTTAAATTAATATCATTATCGGAATTAGAGCCCAGTAGAACTGGTATATAATTAAACGTCAAATGACTCAAATCAACCACTAAGCATTCAAGATTTTCTTAAGGAGTAAATTATTGATCACATTCTTTTCTTGAACCCAGGCAAGAACTCTGTCCAGAGAAGAGGATGCTATTTTATCCAAACCTTCCAAAAATCATTGGTTCTGATTTTCTCGAGGTTCGCATAAGGTCAATTCATGGAATTGAGGGGAATGCTTCTGCATGCCATGCATTTGGTCATACACATTTTTGCTGGGATTCTGTGCTTGATGGTATCAGGTAAATCCATTGCTTTGACACAAAAGTTTCAATGGCAGTGTCACTCAGTTTTTTATGTATTTGGTGCCTGAGGAAATGATATAATATGAATCTTGAGTCCGTGTTTGCTAAAATGCAGACTTGAGTTGCAAAGAGTGAAGATTCAAAGAGAGTAAAAACTAACAAAATATGGAAAATGTAGAAAAATTGTATCATGTTGAGATGCAATCATGATACAACGTGGCTGAAGGATATAAGAATAAAAAATCTGTTCAGTTCCCAAGATTCTAGGTGATGGATGGCAGGTTTGAGGGACTGTGAGCAGTAACATGAATTGTCTGTATTACTAGGATAAAAGATGTATTCCATATTGCCGGAAAGGATGTATGAACTTAAAATGTGTTCTACTACCCGGTAGTGGAGGTGAATTCTATCCCCATGGATGCAAGGGAAGAAGATCTGTTATATGCCCAAACTGCTAAGAAAAAGGATGTGCGCTGACTTTGGGAAGGAGGCCCCATCGATGATTGATTAGTAGGTGGACTTTTGTGGTGACCAAAAGTTTTTAACTTGTGAGGAGCTTCAGGATACCTCACTTTTAATTTTATAGTCCTATAAGTCCTTAGTGCCTAGAATCATGTAAGGAAATCCAGGGGAGTGCGATGCTAACAAATTGAGAAATTTGTGGGGATTTAAGCCTTAAAAGGCCCAGGAGAATGCAGCTATTGATGCTCATAAATAGCTGGTGGTTTAGTCAAGTTCTGAAAGGATAGTTTCATGACCACATTGAGGCATGACTCATTTTGTTTCATTATTTTCGTGGAGCATTGAATATATTGTGAGCTTGGCCCCGTGTTTAGTTTTCCTGTAGACCTTCTTCGAAGTGAAATGAGGTTAAAATACTCGAAAGAATTGCATAGTTTCCCATGGATGATCATCTTTTATGTGTTGATGGCTGGGGTTGATTGAAATAAAATCTTGATTTTCTAAGTTCTATTTGGTAAGGTTGATTACTAGGATTAAATTATTCATTTCTTGGAGGTATGCTGAAGATAATTGTACCAGATCGGGGTTGAGAGATGTTGCCCATGTGATTAGTTGTGGTAGGTCATGGAACTGGTATCCAAGACTATTGGATTAAGTTAATGAGAGCATAGCCTTTTGGAGCTCCAGAAGGTGAAGCTGCATGGAATTAATACAACAAGTTAGCGTTGTAGGCAGGTTGCAGGGGACACAGAAAAGCACCATGAGAGGTTAGAGAGTAAAGTTACGCGTTTCAGTAGTTGCAATGTAATCCTTGTTTAGCTTGATACCTTCTGTGGAATCTAATCTTCCTAAGTTATTTTTTTCCCTCAACTTAATCATGTTTTCATGCATTTGAACGGAGATGAACATTGAGAAATGAAAAAGGATATAGTTTATTAGAAGTAGTTTTAGACAGAACATAAATGAAATGATGGATTGATAGATATCTTGTTCTAGATCAGGCTGGATCAAATACCCTAGGTTGCCTTCATCCAGATTTGTTGTTATAATCGTTGGAGATCAGGCTTTGAAAATGGGCGAGGAGGCAAATGTATGCACTGTGTAGGAAAAAAAGATCTTCCTTTTCAGCATGAGCTTTTCGATAACAAACTATCCACAAGAGAGACATGTTTTCATGCATTTTGTAACTCGTCAAAATCATCTTTTAGGTTTGGCCAGAGTTAGAGATGCCTTAACTGTGACTATCAGTGAGTAGTCTTGACTTCTGAAGCTGTAATTTAGTTGATTAAAGAACAGAACATAGTCAGTTTTTTAGGAGGTGCTTTAATCTCATCAGAAAGCTGTGTATTAATGCAGGTATGTACAGGCACCATTGGCTTATCCTAGAGAGAGGAAGAGGAGGATGAATGGGGGTGAAACTTGGCTGCCATTTTGTGTCTATTCTGGTGGGAAATTTGCAGATAGAATATCACCTTGTCATTGGTCTGATTATTATGCTGCTCATCCAAGGGCGCCTCATGTCACCGAACTTGCTCCTTGGGTAGCCAGATTCTATAACCGCGCATAACACACCATTCATATTCTACAGAGACATTTTTAAGTACATAGGAATACACCAGCATTGGTTGTCCTCTTTGACTGTAACTTAAAACTAGTTGTATACTTTACTGTCTCACGGTGGACAGCCCATTGAAGTAGTGTTTCTCTCTTCTTCGTGTGTGTTTTCTGCTACTGCTTTTAAAAAACTAGCATAGTAGTGAAAAAGAAAGTAATAAAATGCAGTAAAAGAAAGTGGCTGGCGCCTTTTATTTCTACGAATCATATTTCATGACACAGACAACACATAACAATAAACAAACTCACAATCACAATGTTCCGGAGCCAAAAGGCAGATAAAGAGACAAACACAGAACAAACAAAGATAATTACAGACAAAACTAACATGATGCAGATTTGATGAAGGGAGAGGACTAGTAATCTTCAGGAGCCAAGGGCTGATGCTGATGAGTATGGGGAACTACTGGCTCTGTTGGGATCACAATGTACTCATATACAAGTGCTGCCAAGCCTCCTCCAAGGAAAGGACCAACCCAGTAGATCCAATGGTTGCTCCATCTCCACCCAATTAGAGCAGGCCCAAATGCTCTTGCTGGATTCATTGATGCTCCATCAAATGGACCACCAACCAAGATATTTGCCCCAACAATGAACCCGATTGCTAGAGGTGCAATGATCCCCAAGCTTCCCCTTTTGGGATCAACAGCTGTTGCATACACAGTGTATACCAGTCCAAATGTCATTGCAATTTCGAATACAAGCCCATGAACCTCTCCAACCCCTGATTGCACATGGAATCCCACTGGTCTCTGCAAAAAACCAATAGCCTAGTTATATCACTGAGACTTTTTATCTATATCTGTAAGCTGAAGCTTATAGTTACCACTGACTGGGAGGATGGGATCTCATTCTCAGTTACGTAAGTGTCAAGCGAAACTCAAAGGGTGTTATATATATGTATCTTACCATGCCATTGGTGACAAGCCTCAACAAGAGAGCAGCGACGATAGAACCCAAGAGCTGAGCAATCCAATAATAGACAGCTCGAATAACCGAGATCCTGCCACCAACAAGCGAGCCAAAGGTAACAGCAGGGTTTACGTGGCCACCTGATATGTTGATGCTGGATGCCACAGCAGAAAACAGCCCCAATGCATGTGCAAGTGCAACCACCACCAGCCCTGAAGCCGGTGGCGCAGAATCCGTATATAACTTGTCTGCAAAAATAACCAAGATCAGTTAAAACATATGAAGTTCAGTGGAAAGGAAAGAAAAATGCCTACAGGCAGGCTGAAAATATAATACCAAGAGCAAGAATAGAGCCTTCTCCAGCAAATACAAAGATGAAAGTGGAGACGAACTCAGCCAAAGCGGCTCTCATGGAGTCAGGGTGGGTGGCCTCATCAGCCCTCCCGAATGCATATCTACGAGGCATGGTGTCTTAACCTAGGTGCAATTGCTCTTCTTCTTATTTTCTTCCTTCTTAGTACTCTTAGCAATATATGCTGTTAAAACTCAACCTGCAGTGTCCAACAGAATCCAACAACTAGCAGCTAGCTAAAGGACTAGCACTGAAGGCGATATGATCAATATAGTTTCTCTGAGCTAAAGATGAGAAAGATAGAGCAGTAGACAGTGGCAGCTACCTAGGCAGATGGGCTGTTGCATGGATGAGAAGTGGGGGTATTATAGCTTAAATCAGCCAAAGAGGGTTCGATCCATATGGACACTTGGAGGATGGCTATGAGTCCATGTTGACACGTATGGTTATATGTGCTAGCTCTTCATTCCAAGTGTAGCGGTTTCTTTCTTTCTCTTCTATTAATCCCTATCACTTGCGATATGCCTTGCTTTCTAAGTACTACTAGTCATCACATTCACATGTATATCCGATCTTTCTGAAGTTGTCTGGGCATGGGTTCAAGCCTAGGCCAATCCTGCAATTGTACTGATGCATGTATTGTGTATTCACTTCACCAAGTTTTTAAATAACTCGGTTGGTCGAGGCCATGATCGATGGTTAGCTTAGCTTAGCTTATTATGGTAGATTTTGTTGATTGATGATCCTGGTTGGGCCTGGGCTTTCTTTCTTGACACACTGTTGGGCTGCTCATTGCTACAAATTCTTGGCCCGATTCCACACCAAACTGGCTAAAAAACAATTTTGGAGGGATTATTCTTTGCTTGCATTAGCCCTTGCAACTTTTATGTTATGTCAATGTCATGCTTTGCATTGTAATTTCTTTTTATTATTGAAACTATAGAATAAAGGTAGACTAGACAATTGGAATTCATTATTTGTTTTCTGCAGAGCTTAAACTGATACATGCATTAGAAGATCAAAACCAATTTTCAATACAAAAATGTCAGTCTGAAAAAATCAATCTATTGATGTCATGAATACACACTCGATCTTGTGGTGTGCTTGAAGTTGAGACAGAGCAATATTTCTTCCAACCAATCCTGAAATTATTCAGGCCCTTGCCTGTTGCATGGTTAGCTTAAGTTGAACTGAGCTCCAAGCCTCAACACTCAACGCTTAATTAGCACTAGAATGGGAGTTAATTTGCAGAGCTTCAAAACAGTCTCTTTCTAGTCATTTTCATGGTTTGTTCGATCAATCTCTTCTATCGTTCTCAATACTTCACTCATCTTAGGCCGTTTTTCTGGTGCCACATCTGTACACTGCAGAGCAATGTCTGTCAGCTTCAACATCTCATTATGCCCTTCTCTTGAAGCCAATATCTCTACGTCTAATATGTCTGTTGACCAATCATTATTCACCACCATTCTAACCCAATCTGAAAGATCATCCTCTTTTTCATCGTTTCCAGCTGGTGAAGTCTCTCCTGGAATCTTCCCAGTGATTACCTCTAATAGGATAATGCCAAAGCAGTATACATCAGCTTTGTGGGTTAGCTTTTTCCTTTTACAGAATTCTGGTGACCAGCCAACAGCTAGCTTCTCGGATGATTTCCGAGAAGGCAGCAGAGGCAAGAAGCCATAGTTTGTGAGCTTGGAATGGTAGCTTTGGCGATCTCTGTGGATTAGCACATTAGATGATTTGAGGTTGGCATGAGGGACCTTGTGAGAAGGTAAGGACTGGTGAAGGAAAGCCATACCCTTTGCTATGTCTTTGATTATTGACAGTCTCGCAGCCCAATTCAAAGGGATTCTTCCAACTCCTCTATTCTCTAGCACCAACAGATAGAATATGTCAGAAGATAGGCACTTCTTTGCAACTTTGTCGTAAACTACGAATCTGGAGGACCAGAAATTAACACACAAATAATTAAGATGCAAGATGGAAAGGGAGGGAACTTGAACTAACCATGCAACAGCTCAAATAAACTTCCATCTGGTACGAACTCATAGACAATCAGCTTTTCCTCCTTGGAATAGTAAAAGGAGATGATCTGCACAAGGTTTTCGTGCCTCATCTTTCCCAGAAGCTGCATCTGCTGAAGAAATTCCTTCTTGCTCAAGTTGTTCATGTACTTTACTCTCTTAACAGCAACAACAGTACCTGATTCCAGGTTTGCTTTGTACGTGGTCCCAAAGTTTCCCTTTCCTAACACGTTCGCAGATGCCCTTAGTAAATCATCCAAGTCAAAAACAGGTATATTCTTGTCGAAAAATTGTAAATCTACTCTTCTTTCAGGATCCTCAGTGCTTACGGAATGCTGCATTTTCTTGTCTGTCCACCCTGGAGAATCATCATTCCCTAACGGAAATTGAAACATAGAAAATATAAAATTTTAAAAAACCTATGTTGTAAAACGATCGAAAAATATAATCAATCACGTAGCAAATTCAAGATAAATCAGTATGCGTTATACTTACCTGCCGGCCGTTCTTTTGGTGTTTCCTCTTCTTGTGCCTTCTTATAACAATAAAAGAAAACAAACATGATCATGAATGGAATAAGAGTTGCCACAACCGCAATCAAAACAATGATCCAAGTTGGAAGCTTCCTCTTCTTGCTCTGTGGTGGATTTACAGGAGGAGATGGAGGTGGAACTGGGCATGGTTCCAATGGAATCCCGCAGAGATTTGAGTTGTGATCATAGGAGCTCTCCGAGAACATCTGAAGGACATCAGTGTTAGGAATGAAGCCTTGAAGCTGGTTATAGGACACATTGAAAACGGTCAACTTCGGTTGATCAAAAGGCGGTATCTCCCCATCTAAATAATTTTGTTGCAACTCCAATTGTTTCAAGTTTGGCAATTCAACGTAGTCAGATGGAATAGAACCAGTGAAGCGATTGTATGAAAACAAGACAGATTCCAAGTGCACAAGATTGCTGAGATTAGGAAGAGGTCCATAGATTGAATTGTTTCTGAAACTAAGATTAGATAGGAAAGTAAGGTTTTGTAAAAATGCAGGTGGGAGGGAACCTGTGAGCTGGATTCCTTCAAGCACAAGGCCAATCACATGCCCATTTGAGCAAACAATGCCTGTCCATTGACTCGAATTCTTGTTACAAGGCGGTCCCGTCCAATTTCCATGCAAATCCAAAGTAGAACTGACAGAATCTCTTATCTGCATCAACGCATATCTTTCTTCAGGAAAGTACTCCTTGCTTTGATACAATGAATGAACAAACATGGTACTAATTGATATGACAAACAAGACAACATATGTTGTAACAACAAATATGTTGCTAACAGCTGAATTCGTGATCATGTCTTGTGAAAATGGAGTAAGGAGAAAGACATGGGATTGATTGGTGTGGTTGAAAATGGAATTACCGATGATGAGAAAGATTAAAACTTGATCGAGGTGGAAGCATTAACTACTTGCATACAAAAAGTCATGCCTTTTCTTTAATGTCAGCATTAGTACTAGAGATTGACGATGTGGGCAAGGCAAGGTTGCAAAGATTCCAGAGTTTTGCCTGACACAGAATTAATTAAGCGGAAACAACAAAGAATTTATTAAATTGCATATAATAACAACGTGACAGCTGCTTGCTTAACTGGTATCAATTGTTTAGCTAGCTAGGGTTCATATATATTTTTTTAACCCTAATTGTTGTAAAGACTTAAGACTGATCATCGGCTGTTCCTGGTCATGAATGAAAATGGGATTTGACTATTATACTTGTAATTACAAAACATGGATGGACCTTGTTTTTATACGTGGAGGAATTAGACGAAGGAATGTCAAAGAAGACTCTCGAGCATGTATGGCAGAGGCACCAACTGGACATTGTCCGATCAATATAATGCGATGCCACTCATTGGCAATCACATCTCCTATTAAATTTGTATAGATGATTAATTAACTTAATTGATAAAAGCATGGTTAATTTTATGGCCATGGGAACTTAAATCATTCGAATTTAAGAAGGAAAAAAATACATATTTAGATGTTATATATAATTCGTTAATATGTTTTATGCATATTGAGACCTTATATAATTTGAATTTTTTTATTAAATTTTTTTTTATCTAATTTAAGAATTCTACTTTTATATTTTTGTTGTTTCAAATCTTCGCTAATAACAGCTTACCATGTGTGTGCTATACCCAATAACAGACTTGCCACTCACCAATTCAATGACCCAATTTGAACCCACCATGACATGTTGAAAGCTCGTCATTGATTAGAGTTTGTCATGTGTACTCACGTAGTATATTATGGTCTAAAACAATAACAATATAATAATAGAATTTTTAAATTGGACAAAAAAAAAAAAACTTAGGATTTCAATAAAAAAAATTCGAATTGTACGAAATCTTGATATATACAAAACTCATTCGCTAATATTCAAATTTATCCAAAATAATTGAACAGTATAAAAATATTTATAACAAAAATAAATGTATGAAAATTGTAATTTATTAATCCAGTCCAAAAACATTTTTCAGTGTCATATAAAAACAGAGAATGTTTGTCACAAAATAAACATCAACACTTTAAAAATATGTTTTGTGTGCTAACAAGGAAGATGTTCGACCTTTTTATTCTTATTAACAGGCCGCGGCCCAAAAAATAAAATGAGGAGCGAAGGTTAATTTTAGGCCATGACCCAAAAGATAAAATATGAATAAAAATGGGCTATTGTTTAATGAAGTATTTATTCTCCGAGGCCCAAAACCATTAAGCATTTCTCTTATGAAGATTAATTTAAGCAATCTAGCATTAATTTGGCGGCACCTCTTCTCTCATGTCATTGTCCAGTAATTTTGAACTATTTCCACATACAAAATTACCCCCTCCTTTTTTCTTTTTCTTTTTTTTTTTAATATCATTCACAAAATCATTATATGAAATAATATGAACTTATGCCCTATGGGAAAAATATTGTGGGAAAAAGTTCCATTATCTACAACTTTTTTAATTGGAAAAAAAAAATTTACTTTTTATGAATAATTTGGTGTTTAGATTGTTAGAGTTAATATCATCACCTATCCTTATATAATAGGTCAATTTTTTAATATATTTTTATATTTTAAAATAATTCTATTATGTTTTTACGGTTTGAGTTGGTCTTTAATATATCATTTTAGTCAAATTTTTCCATTAATTCTTTTGCATATATTTTCTTTACGTACCGTGGTAATTCATTCAACTAGTTTCAATTTCAACTTCAATTTTGTCGGATCACATATCATGTGCAAGTCAATTGATTAATTTATGATGAATTGACGAAAGTTTTGATCAAAAAAACTAAATTAGAAATAAGTTCAAATAACATAGAAATAATAAAAATTGTTTTATGGTATAAGAAAAGAATGAAATTTTATTATATAAGAACAATTAAGTGAATGTATTAACCTAAATTATTAGCTAGTTTACCTATTTTTATATAAAAGCACCATCAATGTTTATGTGCATGCTAAAAGCTCATAATACACTGACAAATCGTTTGGGAATTAATGGCATAATATAGAGAATCAATAATATTCTTGACTATATATAAATTAAAAATCAATATCACCTACTGATTAAAAATTAATGCCCCGAGTACTTCCTACCAATTTTCTTCACTATATATCAATTAAAAATCAAGATCACATATTGATACCTTCTACCTAAATTGACGACTTTTTTCTATTTGTCCAAACCTTCTCACCATGCTATCAGGTGCTCCAAGTTTTTATTCCTCTTTTATGCCAACACACTTCTATAAATAGCCATTCATTCTCCTATTTTATGCCAACACGCTACTGATTGTTAATAGGCATCCCTTCACTTATTCTAAGCATCTAACAATCAAGTTTACCCCAGTGTAGGAATAAAGGCGTCAAGGATCATTGTTAAAGCAAATATTTTGCTTGTTCATAGTCTGAGATTAAGAATATCGATCAAGGATCGACAAAGAGATCACACACATATATAGTTAGGGTTTGTAGAATTTTTGGTTTGGTACCATACTTGACAATTTACAAGAACGTACGCTTTCACCAAATGATAGTGGCTTATCTTAATACTGTTAGTAGTATGAAAAAGCTCAACAAATAAAATTATAGCGCATGATAGATGTGTATGCATTCTTATTAATTTACTCGATCAAGATCTATAGGAGATCTATCGTTAGTGGTGGTAAAACTACACTGTTAAAACAAGATGCTTAAGCACTCAAGAGATGAAAGATAAAAGTGGAAAATGTCATGTTGGAGATAAAGACTACAGTTGAGGAAGAGATGTTGAAGCACATTAGGCATGCTAAAAAAGCATAAGATATTCTTGCGACTCATTTTTATAAGAAAACAAATATACAGAGAATAAGTTGATGTATACCGGTTATCAACACAGAAGATCAAGTGACAAATATTTACAGCAAAGGTCGACTTGGCGAAACCAAAGTCATGATATTTCGAAAAGAACATAATACGGGAAAGATTTGCTGTGTCGAGGGAAAATGTTAAAAATCATTACCGTTTATCAATTAATGCACCAAATGCTTTCACGTAAACTTTCTAGTTGCTATAATCTCCCGCAACATGCTTTTATGGGCACCAAACTTTTTGTCCTTTATGTCATCGCACTACTATAAATAACCATCCCCTCTCCCTTCTAAACATCAACAATCAAGTGAGCCTTCGTGTAAGAAAAAGTTTTGTGTTATTTCAACAACATCATGGAAGTTAGTGTGATTTCAACAGAGATGATCAAACCCTCTCCTTCACTAGCAATTCCTCATCTAAAACCCTTTAAAATATCTCTTTTGGACCAGTTTATTCCAACATTTTATTCCCCATTCATCCTTTTCTATCCGATCAAGAACGGTGCTCGTGATCACTACTTCAAAAAAAATGCCCAAATCTCCACTCATTTAAAAACTTCACTTTCAGAAACACTATCTAGCTTCTATCCTTTCTCCGGAAGGATAAATGACAACCTTTTTATCGACAAGTATGAAGAGGGAGTTCCATTTGTTGAAACCCGCGTAAAGAGTGATTTGTTTGATTTTCTAAAAGATCCTCAGTTGGAGTTGCTAAACCAATTCCTTCCAAGCTCATCTTGCCAGCCATACTGCTTACACTACCAAACAAATACACCTTTGTTAGCTATACAGTTGAACATGTTTGACTGTGGTGGGATAGCACTTGGCTTTTCCTGTTCACACAAGATCATTGATGGACGTACAGCGAGTGCTTTCCTTAACAGTTGGAGTTGGGCCGCCAACCCTACTGGATCCAAGAAATCATCAATAGTTCCTGACAAGCTTATGGAGGCATCATCACGCTTTCCCCCATTAGGGCAACCATTGTCACAGATTGTTTCTCCATTGGCAGGAAAACTTTTGTTCGATGATGGCAACTACATTACTAGGAGATTTGTTTTTGATGCCAAGGCAATAACCACACTAAGGGCCGAAGCTAAAGGTGACGGTATTGAGAATCCATCTCGCATCGAAGCACTGTCTTGCTTTATTTGGAAATCTTGCACGACTGCTGCTAGATTAAGATCAGCTTCTTGTATTTGGCCAAGTTCTAGTTCGTCAATCGCAGCACATGCAGTCAACATACGACAAAGAACAAAACCTCGATTTTCAAAGTATTCTACTGGAAATCTTTGGTGGGCGGCAACTGCAGCCTATGAAATGGCTGATGATGATCATATGGGATTGGGTGATTTGGTGGCCTTAACAAGAGAAGCTTATTCAAATATCAACGCTGATTACTTAAATGCTTTCCAATTAGGTGGTGACGAGTCAGGGGTTGAAGCTGCAGCTGCAATATCTAATATATTTGTTCGTAACCCTAAACTGGTGTTGGAGCTCATGCCAATGATGAAGCCACAAGTATTTTGGTTCACGAGTTGGCTTAAGTTTGGTTTCCATGAGGTGGATTTTGGATGGGGAAAGCCTATATGGGTTGGTGTCTGTGGAAAAGTTGGTCCAAGATTTGGGAATCTCACCATTTTGAAAGAAATTAATCATGAACGTAACGGTGGAATCGAGGCATGGGTGAACCTAGATGAAAATTTAATGGCTATAGTAGAAAATGATCCTCAATTTCTCACTTTTGCTACACCAAATCCTAGCATTTTAATGCCCTGAAATAGTGAAATGTCAGGCCGGCAAGTCATGAACGTATGTATGTTTAATTAGTGTTTGTTTCGTTGCGAATTGTTGTCTCAATTATATATATATATATATATATATATATATATATATATGCGTGTACGTCATTACTTATATTTGGATTTTATTAAGTTGTTTTGTGTAATAATAAAATAAATGTGATTAATGTCATGATGTTTGCCTTTATGACGTAACGAAAACTTATAATAAAAAAAATATCATTTATCTGAAATCTAGATGTTAATTTATTATAATCAGTTTTAATCGGCTGAATTATGTACAAATACCAAAAAATAAACTTCAATTCTATTCATTCAAAGAATACCGAAAATTGAGATAAAACTAAAATGTTCTCTCATAAAAACTTTATTAGCCAAGAAAAAGTGACATTTTACTGTCTTCAAATCATACATAAATAGTAAATTTTGACTAAAACCCTAAAGCAATTCAAAAGAAAAACAAGTACTAAAAATTCAAAAAAATAGAAAAAATCCTCAAAAACAATAAATGTGGATTTTAAGGGCCTAAACGATATTTTTTTTGGCCAAAATCATCTCAAAGTCATTGCAAAGCCAATGAGTTTTGATCGTTGGCTCATTTGATATCGAATTAGGTCCAAAAAACCTCAAAATTAGACTGACGAGCTTTTGTTTAGTTTTTATTGTGCTCATATTGTTCAATGAATTCCAAAACTCCTTGGTCCGGATCACTTTATTTATTATCAAAAATTGAGATAAAAATGAGATGTTCTCTCTTAAAACTTTATTATCCAAGAAAAATGACGTTTTCTGTCTCTAAATCATACATAAATAGTAAATTTGACTAAAACCCTAAAGCAATTCAAAAGGAAAACAAATACTAAAAATCCAGAAAAATAGAAAAAATCCCCGAAAAACGAGTAAATGTGAATTTTAAGGGCCTAAACGATTTTTGTTTTTACCAAAATCATCTTAAAGTCATTAGCAAAGTTGATGAGTTTTGATCGTTGGCTCGTTTGATATCGAATTAGGTCCAAAAAATCTCAAATTTAGACCAACAGTTTTTGTTTAGTTTCTGCTGTGCTCATTCTATTCAATGAATTCCAAAACTCGTTGGTCTGAATCACTTTATTTATTAATTTTCGGATGGAGCATAGGAATATTAATTCTTGTTATTAACAGAGTGGTTCGCAGCTGCTAGACAGCTTATCTACCTGTTTAGCCTAATGCACAAATCAAACAAATAAGCAACTTAAGATTCTATTTCTAGATCAAATGAGCAGTCTCTACCAGTAAACCAACTTGCAATTCTCCCTCCTTCCTTCATATAAGTGAAAGACACATGGATATAACATTAAATTTTGATTAACTATAGCAAATCACTTCAATTTTTTGTGCTGTTTTCCATTGATAATGTTCTTGATGGACGTTGCTTTCTCACCTAAATCCTGTTAATACCAGACAGCATTGTAAGTTCATAACCAACTCAACAAACGAACTAGATGAGCAATTTCCCCCTTTCTGTTTATATAAATACTTACTATCACGCTGTAAAATTATCTACCTCTCTCTTCGAATTTCTGCTCATAATTATATCCTTCAGGATTAAAATAAACATATCAGAGAATGGCCATCTTATGGAGCCAACTTACCACCGGCTTTGTGGGTTTTGCAGGAAAATACGACAAACAATGTTGGCAAAGATGTCATTCCTTACGAAGTCACACACCCTAGCGACGACCCATTGAACCCCAAACCAGGGACGCTATGATACGAAGCCACAGAGGTAATATTTTCCTTATTGCATCAGAATCAGGAAACAGAGAGATAATATCTCTACCATAAATCTTCAAAAACCAAGGAGAGGTAGATGGTCATGCCAAAGGATAGCTGAAGTCGAGGGAATAAACTGATATCCTTGATTTCTCAACAGGTGTACACGGAGGAATGGCTTCAATGAGAAAGCATACCATGGAACTTCAACTCTGTGGGGGATTTATTTGAAAATGGAACTTCTTTTAATCAAACAAGCATAGGTAAGGCAAAGCCTAAGTACAATATCCAAAAAATGGTTCAAGGTTGCAAATGCCAAATATGTAAGGTCAATAACAAGCTCGTCAGGTGCTTTAAAGTGTTCAAATTCGAGATGCTGAGCCAAAACTAATAGAGAGAAAGATGAGCATTTCCCAACATGGACATGGACTAACTACATAAAATAAAAATTGCACGGTATAGCTATAGTTCCTAGGAGAGCTTTGGCAAGCATAAAATTCACTGCGAGATACTAGTGGTTAGATAATAAGCTAATTGTATATTTATGAAAACATTACAATTATCAATAAAAGAACACGCAACGCACATAGTTATTGATTCTAGTCTTCTTCTTCATCAGAACTTGCATATGCTAAACCTAGCAAACTTTTAACAGGATTTTCTTCAACCTCATTTTTAACAGAATATTCCACATTTGTCTCAACTTCGGGTTTGCATGGTGTTGGTAAAATGTGTCCTTTCTTTTCCTGGTTAGAGTCAGACTTGATTTTATAGTCGGAAGCATGATCACTTGAAGTTGGGGAAGAATAGTTCCCATCAGATGAGTTTGAAACTTTAGGTCGTTTTGGCTTAACTTCGACCACCTTTTTCAGCAGATCTTGCTGCCTACAATCAAGAAAAAATCAGAAGTCATCAGCACAGGAAGCTAAAAAGAATTTAACCTTTTAGCTGAATCATAGAAGGTTATGAGCATGTGGGGACAGAAATACCTAATTCCACTCTTTGGCTTGGGTTCAACACGAAGTGATAACGGAACTGATGCAGGTGAAGAATCTGCCTGACTTGCAGCTTTGTAAGCATTGGTTAGGGAAGACAAACAACAACAAAGAGAGGGAATACCAATAAAGACAGCATTGCATTAGGAAATGAGAGACTGCCGCATGATAGACCTAGAATATAGCAATGCCAAAGTAATGATCCTTTAAAATAATGGAGCATTGTAGGTCAGCTAATTTAATGCTACGCTATCACAATCCGAGGGTCATTAATAAGATAAGAAAAAAATATTGAGAGAGTTTTATTAATGGACAAAAATTAAAGAACGTTCCAGGAAATTACTGAGAAGCCATGCTTACAGCATAAGAAAAAACATAATGTGTTTACCAATGCAGCATCTGAGTATGAATTAACTTACTAAAAAAACAGCAATTGTACCCTATTTTTTCAAGGGGGGAAAAAACCAGCAGGTTCAACTAATCCATCCAATTCATACGGTAAATATATAGGATGGAAACAGTAGTGATTAGCAGATGGATCAATTTCTGAAAAATAAAGAGAATTATGAAATTGAAAAGGCAGAGCAGATGTATTTTCTAACAGCCACAAAGACGAGAAGTTGGGAAAAACTACAAGATGAAATGAGAACTGACACAGACGTTTTTCTCACTTTTTGAGATTATGATAGATCGTCACATTTATCTTAAGGAAAGACAAAGGAATACAAAAAGTAAATAAAATTTGACTCTATCAACGATGCATTAGAAGCTGCTTGGATTCAAATAATTAAAGATGTGATTAGTTGGACAGTAGCCATCAACCAAAGCCCCAAACATCCTATGCTTGAACAGGGAAAGCAAGACTTCGTTTATTTCACAGTTTGGGTGCAGGGATTCCAATTCCCCAATGCAGAGTCTCCAAATTGTAATGTCCTCAGACCACAAAAAAGATGACACAGAAATAGATTAGAAATAAAAGAGCAAAAGAAGGATATTTTAAAAGCAGCAAATGCCCTTTTCTCAGTGCGACGTAAGAGGCGTTCTGCATCCTCTTCAGCCTCCATTTGCTCTTTGAGATAAAGTAAATCATCGCTATCCAGCGCTGCATAAACAAAGCTCAAGAAGGTATATGTAAAAAAAGAAGTGGGTATTCCCAAAAAAAATAAAAATAAAAATAAACAAATAAATAAACACCCTTTGAAAGCATAGGTATAAATGTAAATCGAGAAAGAGAGAGAGGAGGTAGGTACCTCCTCGACCATGAAGGTAGCCACCACGTTCTCCAGCAACCTCTTGCATCTGGTATCAATGAATCAAAGCCAGAATCGCTGCCAGGGCATGTTATCAGAAAACTAGCTTTCAAGTGAATAATAGCATTGCATCGTAAGCACAGAGGTGAAGTTGAAACTTAAGGCAAGGTCAGACTAAGTAATAGTTGAAGAAAAGCAAGGATATGGATATATGATAATTTAGAATAGGAGAGACGAAAGAAAGCTCTAACCTTAGCAACCATGCGATGGAATGTGATATCTTCATCATCAATTACCTTGTCTTTCCCACCTTTCCCCAATTTCTTATCTGCAATTAATTCCAAATTATTAACTCTCAAAAACAAAATCAAAATCAATTACAAAATTGAATTTAAACGAAAACAAAAGAATTTCGTACCTTTCGGGTCAGTGAGATTAGTGTATTCCTTTACTTCTCTTCCAGCCATTCGTATTCTTTTTTCTTATTCTTATAATAATAATAATAATAATAATAATAAGCAAACCAGACCCACCAAAATTTCTTATTTTTCGACGATTCAAATTCCTTGAATTAGCGAATGATTATGTAATGAATCAAAAGAGTTTCTCAGTTTTTGGTGCTGGTGGAAGAAGAAGAAGAAGAAAAAGCTCTAAATCAAAGAAAAAAAGAAAGAACGAATTTTTAGTTATTTTCGTTTTAGGGCTTTGCGATGAGGTGAGATGAGGAGAGGAGATCTCACGTAGACAAAAGTGAAAATAATAGTACGATCATCCTTCATCGCCGACGGCTCAGAAGCCCAACCCAGCCCAGCCCAAACATTTCTCTACCGAATAAATAAATATTCATAAGCCCAATATAATCCCACCAGCACTCTTTATCCTCTAAATACTGTATCGATCTCCTCATCTTTTCTTTTTCCCTTTTTTTTTTTGTTCGACGGTGAAAAGAATATTTAGACTAATTTATGCATCAATCAATTTTAGAGATTTCTCTTTTAATAATTATAAAGCCGTACTTTTTACATTTGTATTATATATTTAAACAAATTTAATCTCAAAATTTAAATATAGAAAATTAAAGAATGAAATATATTTTCTTAAACACTCAGTTAACTCTTTAAAATTATTATTTTTTCTTTATGCAGAGATTTTTTCTTCTATTTATTAATTTTGTTGTTTCTTTTTTCTTTTTTTTTTTCATTCAAAACAAAATGAATGACATGGAAAATTCATCCTTTAAAATAATAGTACTACTTCTATCTTTTTTTTTCTTTTTTGGACTCCTCGGGTATTCTAAAATCAATAACCTAAATTAATTTTTTGTTATTCTGTCAAACACACAAAATAGATATAACTATTCAATAAGTTTTTTTACACATATAATGATTCGAATATGAGATTACTTGTTAAAATCTATTTCACTCAAATTAATTTCCTTGTATTACTTTTATCATTTTTGAGTTCGGTGCATATATATAACAACAACAACAACAATATAATTAAACCATGATTTTTTTTTAATAATTAATTAATTCAATTGTATGAAATCACGTTTATTGATTAGGAGGACTTGGCTATATGAAAAATTTACATATAATGGATTTGAGGGGAGGAAGGAAAGATACACACATTACATTACATATATGGTACGAGACCATGTAGCTACTAGCTAGGTATATAAAATAATTACATATATAATAAAAAAAAAAAAAAATTCCACTCTATTTCCAATTTTGAGTTGAAACGGGGGTAGTGGGATGTCGTTTTGTGAGGCGAATTTGGAAACCATTAACCAATCGAGCAGACGGAAAGAATGACATCCTATCTTCCTTAAGTTGAGTCCACCTGTTCATCCATCCATCCATTTTAACACACAACATCAATTCTAAGTTTTTTTTTTTTTTTTCTCTTGATTCCACCATAAGATGTAAGAAAAATAAGAGGAATGACGTACGTATATGTAGTGACAAAGTAGTGGAGAAACAGAGCAATTTGGAGACGAGACAACTCTGCTCCTGGACATGACCGAGCACCACCTCCAAAAGGACAGTAGAATGGGCTACTTCTCCAGTTTCTCTTTTCCTGGTTCATTCATCGTTCAACATTTGTCATTACAAAAATAATTATGAAGATAAACAGGCTTTTACAACTATCAAGACTCTGTATAATTTTAATTTTTTTTTATTGAAACCTTAAGTTTTTTTTTTATTCAATTTAAGAGTTTTATTCTTATGTTGTTGTTGTTTCGGATCTTAATATGCACATAAGCACACATGATAAGCTCTAGCCAATAATAACTTACCATGTCATAAATTCAATTACCTAATTTTATGATAGCCTAAATTGAATGATTGAATTAGTAATATGACAAGTTATCATTTGCTAGAACTTATCACGTGTGTTTACATAACAAGTTGTCATTGATTAGAGTCTAAAACAAGAACGACAACATAAAACTAGAACTTTTAAATTAAATAGAAAAAAATTTAAGATTTTAATAAAAAAAAAAATTTAATTGTACAGGATTTCAATATGTGTAAATTCAAATAATAAATACAAAGATAAACATGCAAGTATAAGGGGACAAAAAAAAAAAAAAAGGTAGTAGTACTTGATTTTCAGGGTCCATCCATCTCCATGGATTGAAGCTGTTAGCTCCCTTGTACAAGTTTTCATCCAAATGAACTGCTGAAAGAAATGGAACCACAAAGCACCCTTTTGGAATTACAAAATCTGCAATTGCAACAAATGAAAATCATCAATTTCTTAATTTCTAATTTTCTTGTGCAGTTTCTAATCAATGAATGAACATTTATTGTACCTTGGTACACCACATCTTCCTTTGCCTCCCTCATCAGCCATATTGCAATCCCCCCAAGTCGAAGTGTTTCGTCGATTACCTATTTAATTTGTGCCAAAAACAGAGTAATCGAAGAAACAAATCAAGAAAAAGAAGAGGATTTAATACTATCAGACTTAATTGCATGGGATTGGTGTGGAGAAATTAATTAATTAATTAATTAGGTAGGAGAGCAGACGATGAATTATAATATGACTTACACACTGAGTGAAAGACATTTCCTTGTAATCTTGCCATCTTAGCATTCCATCTCCATTACAATTGCTCCTTATTCTATCTTGTTCATCCTGTTTATAAAATTAGGTCACAACAAATTAATTTTTCAAAATTAAAAAAAAAATCCCTCTAAAGAGATAGGTATATCTCACCTTACATACGGATAATACATACATATATATATATATATATATAATGAACAATTTAGAAAATTAATACGAGAGTATTGCATTATAAATACACTAATTTTTTATTATTTTTTAATCGGATATATGAATTTTAATTTTGATTGTTTGAGTAGAATGATTTTTTTAAAACTATCAATCGAATATTTATGTCTAATTTTTGTCGATTGTTTCGTTATGTGGTGATGTATTCTTTGTTCAAAACTCTTAAATTATGATTTTGCTTATTCATGAGGGAATTTACCTCTCAAATTATATTATTATTTTCTACTTTTTTGATATAAGGACAACTTGAGTGTTTTCTATATAAAAATACAAAAAAAAATTAAATAAATAGCAAAATAATTTAGGAGGAAAAGTTTCCTTCAAGAATCAAATGACAAAATCGTAATTTAGTAGTTTGAAGAAAAAAGACACGTCATAAGACAACGAAGCAATTGATAGAAATTAGACTAAAAAAAATACTTGATCGCTTGTTTTAAAAAAAATTGATACACTTAAATGAAAAATAATTAAAATTTATATACTTAATTGAGAAAACATAAAAAGTTTGTTTACTTATAATGCAATTATTTCAAATTAATACTTATAATTAAGCAAACAAATTAAATATTACTATTAATTATTAAGACATAATTAATAGTAGTTAATTAGTAGGCAGTACCAGTAATTGCTGCAGTGCTTTAGGACACTGAGTGAGGAAATAAACAGCAAACAGCATAGTTTTAGCGGTCGTTTCATTCCCAGCAAAAAGGAGATTAATAATGAAGTCTGCTACTGCATCATCTGGCAAACTTTTTTCATCTAATAGCCTTCCAAGCACCCCATTACTAGCTTCTGATTGCCCTTCTTGCCCGTGCTTCTCTATTGTCTTGCTTATCTTTCTTATAATTTTCTCTCTTGCCTACCAAACCATAATATTAATTCACTGCATCAGTAACAATACATGCATATATGATATATGCATGATGCTCCTGAAATTCAACATTTCAGAGTTATATATGTTGGATACCTTCATGGCAGTATGGTAAGCAAGACCTGGAAGATTTATGGGAAGAGACAGGCAGCCATCGACAAAATCAGAGAAGAAACCAGCCATCTCGTTAATTTCTGTCTCACTTGACACCCCCAGTAGTTGGTTCACCATCAGATTAATTGCTACCTGAGAAATAGCTAAATTTTCCTTAATTTTGATGGTCAAATGTTGGGAGTTATACATATAGGAGTAGAAATATACAGTAATGGCTACTTGCCTTTCTGCAAACATCTTGTAGAAGAATGACTTGATTGTTGTCAAATTTGTTCAGAGTTTGAAGCATAACCAGTTGAATATCATCCAAGAAATGGAACTTGAGCTTCTCTAGACGCATCATATTAGATGCAATTCCATGGAGTTTTCTTTGTTGCTCTCCTTGGACTGTGATCACCCCATTTTTTCCAACCAAATCTCTAAAAGATTTTGGATAACTTGATTGAAACAATTTTCCTTCATTCTGCATTATAAACCGGTTGAAGGTTGGGTCTGCTGAAACCACAGCCCATTTTCCAAACAAACTGCATGAGAATATCTTACCAAACCTGTCCATGCCAACCATATATATATCATGAGCATGCTTATATAAATTTTCTCTTCAGAATTAATGTAAAAAGAAGTTAAATTTCCTCTTTTTTTTCCCTCTATAATAATCAATATATAGAAAGATTATGCGTACCTATTGACCTGTTGTTGAACAAACTGAGGGGGATGAGAACCAGCAACAGCATTATACCAGTTGAAGCTATCACCAATTAATGGCCAGCCTCTACTACCTGGTGGCAATCTGTACCTTGTTTTCTGTTCCTTGTTCTTCTTTCTGCATACAAGTAGATGTACAAGAAAGACGATGAATAAGATTGATGGGATCATAAATTTTGCTGAATAAATTTCTCCCATTTTCTGTGAAGGTTGGTAGAGAATTTCCAAGAAGAAAGGGAGGGGAGAGAGAGAGAGAGAGAGAGAGAGTCTCTGAACCTGCCAGAGTGCTCCAAATATTAGTTATATTTCTAGTAATTAAGGTAATCAAAGTTGATGATCACTTCTTATAGGTAAAAAACCTAAATAAAATAATTGCCAATCACTTATTCAATTCAATATTATATTAACAACGAAAAAATCCCATTTTTTATGGCCACCATAAGATTTTGGCCAATCTAACTCCAAAAGTATAAGAGATTTGGAGTTTTCAATTTTAAAACCAATCTATGTCCACCACAAGTAATAAAAAAATAATTAGTTTTTAAGTTAAACAAAAAATAATAACTTACATATTAATAATATTGGTTAGAAAACCAAGCAAAAAAATAAAATAGAAAGAGGATAATAATCATATAATTCAATATTTATGTGGTTCAATTATATGTTTATTCAATGGTTATATTATGAGTTCTTATAAGATTTTTCAATCTATTACATATATAAGAAATAGTTTCTATATTTATAGCGAGACTATTGTGCTAGTTCTACATAGCATATTAAATTACGGACTATATCCACATCGGTCTTTATAATTTAACAATACTCATATTTTCTTTTTATAAACTCATGCTAGGTTTTAAACTTTTTTCTGTAAAAAAAAAAAAAGGGACTATTTGATATATTAATAATAACTTACATATGTTAATGATATTTGTTAGAAAGCCAATCAAGAAAAAAGTAAAATAGAAAGAAGATAGTAATCATACAATATAATATTTTCCTGGTTCAATAATATATTTATTTCTAGTTATATTATGAGTTCTTATAAGATTTTCAATCTGTCACAAATACAAGAGATAGTATCTATATTTATAATGAGATTATCGTGCTAGTTCTATATAGCATATTAAATTACAAACTATATCTATATCAGTCTTTATAATTTAACAATATGTATGTTTTCCTCTCGTAAAATGTCTGGTTTTCAAACTTTCCTCCGGTGACCGGAAAAAAAAAAAAAAAAGGAGGCTGTTTGATATATTAATAATTAACGTGAAAAATGAAAAGTATAATCAACATAAACATTCGTTGACCTAAGTTTTGAAGACATGGTGTAGCCACGTTGGTTGAGTAAATATAAAACTGTTGCATGTAATAAACTATGATATAAACAATTATGCTGTTAACTTGCTACCATGTTTTAGATCATTTTATATGTACTTACGACACATGCAGTTGTTTAAGTAGCAAAATTTCATTCCTTTGCTAACTTGGATTAATTATTAATTCAAGTGGTTAGAAAAACAAGAAAATATTGCTTCATCAAGTAGTTCTCCAAACTCCAAAGTATTCCTTTTTTCAGGTGGGTGCATTTAAAACTGCACACATGCGATGACCTCCAAGTTCCTAGATAGATAGTTCTGATCTAACTTTGACCAGCTGCATTAGTTGTTGTTTATTAGGAAAAAATAGAAAAAGTAAATTCAATTCAATCGGTGTAGGTATATGTTAATTACGAAGATGAGTGAAATAGTGAGAGCCACATAGCCAAGTTGAGAGCTCGAGACTTACATGACAATAATTTGCTAGCTTTGAGCATCGTACCCCCAAAATATATATATATATGATTTAGTCCGAGACTGCTTTACCCTTACAAGCTTTGGCCAGCAATTACTCTCTCTATTCTAAACCCAAGAAATAATAATAATAAAATTTATTTAATTTTTCATGTAGATTAAAAAAAATTATTAATATTAAAATGTTGTTGGTACAATATTAAGCAAGCTAGTCTTTAAATAATTTTTTTTTATCAATATATAGAATTCAAATTTTAAAATCAAATTTATTAGAATAAGTTAAATTTTATCACTCTAGTCATACTTGTTCGAAGAAATTAAATTTTTTTTCGTTTTCACTTTAAACAAAATTAGTCTTGTCTTTAGTGTAGAATGTGGATACTTAGAAAGAAAAAAAAATTTATTAATTATTATATAATATCAATAGCTTTTGGTCATACTTTTTAACAATTTTTTTTAAAGAATTATATTTTGATGTTTTGTTTTACAAAACGAATTTAATTAGTAGTATTTAAAAAAAAAAAGAAGTTAAATCACTTAAAATTTTAACACAGAAGAAGTCAGTAAGAAATAAGATTTTTGCGATAAATATAAATAAAAAATAAAAAATCTCTTTAACCGGAGAAAGTATCGTATATATACCATCAATAAATGTGGTATAGCTGTAAAAACGTCTGCGTAGGTCAAAAATCGATAAATTTAGTTTCAATTTATGTAAAAATTGATTTTAAAATATATTATTATTTGTTGATAAAAAAGAAAAGAAAAAGGAAAAGAAATCAGGGCATTATCCACGAGGGACATAGTTGCCATTGCCAATAAATAATGTGCTGCTTGGTCAGGTTAATCATGGAGCCCCAAAAGCGACCGGTCAAAAGAAGATGGTGGTAATATGACAGTTGAAGGGTCGGAATTAATGGAGTCCAATATTCCTGTCCAAGAATCAAGGCCCTGATTTCCTGCCGCATTATATATCCAAAACTGCACCATCAATATTATAAAAATTGGATCGTATTGAAAGCCAAGACTGGCAGTAGAATTAATATATATATATATATGCCAGCAAAAACCAGCTATTGATTAGGATTTAATATACCCATTTTCCTGAACTTTACTGAAATTATTGTCACAAATTCTATATTGTATATAATCGATGTTATATTATTAAAAGTTGATATAAATTAACTTCTTTATTATATTTTTCTATTATTTTGATTAGTTTTTGTTATTTAATTTATGAATGATGAATACAATGATGATAATTTCAGTTATTGATTAGTTTATGCCATTCATAAGGTTTATCTTTAAATATTTTATTTATTATCAAGAACATTCAAAATGGGAAAATCAAATAAGACTTTGAAGTGATTCAATGTTTGAAGTAACTATAAGGTGGCGATTATTAATAAACAAGTTTCAATTTATATGTTAAGTTTAAGATTTGATTTTTTTAACCAGTTTTTTTAAGAATTCATTCTTAAAACACTCCGAAACCTTGTGTTGAAGAATTGTTTTTAACCATGCGGAAAGAAGGATTGGTTTTGATATATGCAAAAAATTATCTAAAAATATTGCTAAATCTAAAAATGTGTTAGGTGGGAAGTTTCCTTTCCAATGACCAAAAAGAAAAAAAAAGGAAAAAAAATGGCAATACAAATCCAAGTGGGCTGGCTTTATATCTTAGGCTTGGAATCGCCTCTTTGTGGGTTTATTATTTTGGACCTTTAGGTATTTATTAAAATCGAGTTTGGCCCATAGGAATCTGAAGCCCAGGGCCCGATTAATATTGTTCGGTAAGGGAATTCTTATTCAGGTGATGTTTGGTAGAAGGATAAAAACGAGGGTGAATTATTAAGGTGGCGTTTATGAGAAGGACCGAATTGATAAATAAATGAAACATAAGGAGTCAATTAGTAAACAACAAAAACCAAAATAAAATTAGGAAATGAAATAGCGGGGGAGCAAGCGGAAGACGTCAATAACTCAGATTTTATCAACAAGACAAGGCAGAAGCTAGGAAGAAGAAACTCTCGATTCCTCAAAAAAAAAAAAAACATGGTACTCTCTGTCTCTGTGTCTGTTAACACTACTTCGCCATGTGCCCTGGTAAGAACTTTTGCTCTCAACCACTTCTTTCAACTCTAATTGTTTGTTTTGTCTGAGATGTTGAATGGAAACATACATATACTTTGGAATTTGCAGAAGCTGAGAAGAGAAACCCTGTTACCATCATGGCCGAATCGAAACAGAAGCAGCAGAAAAAATAATAAGCAAGGTCTTAATGGTTTTAGGGTGGTTAAAGCTTCTTGTTCTTTCAACCCCCTAATGAACCAATCCTCAAAGATGCTCTCAAGGTACTTGCCACTTTCTCTTCTACGTCATCTCCTCCTGCTTTTAATTGGCTATTTATCGATTTTTTATTCAAGTAATTTTTTATGGGATTGACCTGGGACTTACTTTCCTTCGATGATTTTCCGCTTTCAAATTTTATGCTGTTATTTTGAGGTCTGCTTGAAGGTTCTTGAATTTGGTACACATCAGCAGATTCTTGAAGCACGAAAAAGAAACGATGTTAGAGAAGCAATTAATTTGTTTCTTTAAGAAAAAAGAGAAGAAAAGAAGCTTACTTTTTGTCTGCAGATATGTTTTCTTGGAAAATGTGAATGCCCAATCAGAAATTTAGAATCCATCCGTTGTTTATTCTGTAATAATAGATAAATAGGGAAACAAAGAAGATGAAAGACTGATATATACTTCACGTCGTGCGATATGGGGTTATTGATGGTGAGTCTGCAATGCATCCCCACATTGGTTGGAAATTATGAAGGACTTCTTTGAGTTGTTGTATACATAATTATGTAAATGGAAACAAGTTACAAATCCAACTAGAGGTGCTCTTTGTTGTCAAGCTTCAGGACATGATCAGGCTGTTGCAGACGTTAATCACATTGGTGTTGTTCATTGGGAGGGGAATGGCGAAGCCACTTTAGAGTGAGTACCAGAGTATGCCAGTTTTCAGAAACCTTGACGTGGAAACACCAATCTCCTCATTTCATTCTAGTAACATTTTAAATTCCTTCATATTTAGGAAGCATGCTTCTCCTGAAGCTTGACAACAAAGAGCACCTCTAGTTGTTGAATGCTACAACAGAGGGTACAGACATCTTCAACTGTAGAGCATACCGATTGCACATTTTTGTACAATTTATTACTTGAGAAAACATAGTCTTATAAGTCTGATAGCACTGTGATATTCTCTTGGCACTTCCTTTGATGCAGAATGTGGAATCTGCAGTCTGAACGATACGAGGTTTAGGGCTTAGGAACAAAAAATGCATCGCTTTGCTGATTTTGAGCAGAATAATGTCAGAAGAAGATATATAGTAAAACAAAGAAAGTTTTTTGTAACCTTCTAGTCAGTGCATTAGGGAAAAAGAACTTCAAAGTAAAGCTGGCTGTTAAAATGAACTGCTGCAGGCTAGCTTTGGGAGATTGCTGGTGTAGTTCTTGCTACTGTTTCATCTCGTGTGTTTGGTAGCATTGTAGAACTCATATATTAGCCAGGCTTCTCCATTTGGTTTGATTTCAAAGCATACATCTAAATCCATTTTCAACTTTTAGAGCGTAATAGACGAGTAGTCAAAGGAGATTAAGAGGAATCTGATGGCTGGGCTTAATTTATTCTCTCATTAATTGGGAACTCTGGATGACTTCTTTGATTTTTTGTATACATAACTATGCAAATGGAAGCTATATTGGTAATGCATATTGGGCGGTGAAAGGCCATACCTTTTTTCAATTGATTACCAGCATATGCCAGTTTCACTGTTTTAGAAAACTTCCAACAAAAACCAATCTCCTCATTTCATTTTAGACACATTTAAATTACTCCACAGGAAGAAAGCTTCTCCTGAAGCTTGACAAAGAAGAGCATGCCTAACTGTACAGACCTCTTCTACAACAGACCATTATTGGGTGTCATTATTGCTGGTGTAGTTTGCACCACTGTTTCATTTTCTTTTGTGGTTGGTTAGCATTGTAGAATGCGCAGCTAGGTTACTCCATTTGGTTTGATCACAGAACATGTATTTGAATCTACTCTTAACTTGGTTGCAAAGCAGGCATTTTGTTATCCAATTGAGATATTGTTGCTTCTTCATTTTGGAGTCAAGGAAACTACTACAGAAATATGTTACACCTTACGGTTAGTCTCATAAAATTCATGGAATTTCATGAGTATCTTACTTTTGTTGCTTGGTTGCTAGGGCTTTTGTCTTCTTAATTTCATGTTAGTTTAGGTCTGTTGCTGTTAAAACCTGCTCTTTGTGTGAAGTGGGGATTGGAGGGGAATGTTCAAGTTTAAATTTTCTTAAGGTTCTTCTCCTCCTTTTACTTGACCAAGCCTAAACCTTGACAGGCTTACTATAGCTCTACTCCCCTATCCCCTTGGAGTGGGGCTATTGAAGTGCTGTACAACACCTGACCAGGATTTGAGCTTCTACATTGGTCCATGGACATTGGTTTGACAAGTTGGGAATAATGAGTGGGAGTGCTTCTGTGGGAGGTGAAAGATCCATCCACAGGGTTAAGTTGGATTTTTATGACATAAGTTTCCTGTTAATCGTTTCCCACCCTTTTCGCAATTACATTCCATTTCTGTGGATCTTCAAAGTTATATTATGTGGTTTTTTTACTCTAGCATGTTCCTTGGAGTTCTGCGGATCATAATAACCTGTATTCATTTTCATTGCCTCTCCTGTTTAGTAGGATTGAAGGATTAATGCATGGTGTGTTTGCCATAGTGGTATCGGTTCTTTTTCCAAAGCAAGTCTACTTGAATTGTTTTACTGAGCAGTGAATGTATGATGTGCTTCAGAAACCTACATTCTACTTGATGTGGTTTTTTCTTTGGTTATTTTTCATTTTTTCTTGTCTTTGCTCTTGCTACGGTATACAGAACCTGGAAAAAAGGTATTGCTCTTATTAGCATCTGGGGTCTCGAAGCTATGATTTTACTATTGCTATAACTGTTTTAATGTTATTGCTTATTGCTATAACTATTTTAATGTTATTGCTTCCTTATAGGAACCAGTTGCATTCATGGGTGGGATGTTTGCGGGGCTCTTAAGGCTCAACTTAAATGAAGATCCACTCAAGGAATGGGTCACAAGGACTGTAGAAGCCTCTGGTATTACTGAAGAAGATATTGGTGATGAAGGTTCGCAACCAGAGGAAGAAGTACCACTGGAGATAGAAATTGAATAACTTTTTAGTTAGATTAGTAGATGATACAAGTGTATTGCACATAATTGACAAGCATAGAATGAAATTTGATCAACAGAGTACATGGTTTTTTGACCTAATGTCTCAAAGATACATTCACCAGGATGGATTCAAAGTTGTGCCAATGATGTTTTTTTTTGCAATCACAGATCTGCCTAACAGGCTGAAGCTACCGGAAAAAGAATAAGCTGGCGAGGACTTCTCATCAAAATAAAAGTTGCAAGAAAAGAATGACGTGAAATCACAAGACTAAATCTTTTTTAATTTCCCATTTTATTTTTGCTTGAATACTTTGGGGGTAATGCATAATTTTAGCCCTAAGTTGTCCTCTTCTATATTCAATTTCTTTGATGACAAATAAAAGAATCTCCTTTGTGTCAAGGAGCAGCTAGCTGAAGATGATCAATTAGCATTAGTTGCTTGAAATCTTTGGCTGCTTTTACAAAGATTTCGTTGTTCTCTGAGACTTCTAGAGCACTAATTAAGGGCTATGATCATTCTGGTATCAATCAACAACCTTAATTTTTTATATATTTTTTTTTGACAAACTTGGTTCTGATAAAGAGGCATGGCAATTGCCATTTAGAATATTTTCTGTCTTTGAAGTCATGAAACTTGTTTGAATCATCACTGCAGTGATGTGCAAGGCAGTCTCATCCTGGACAACAGTTTGAAATAAGTGATCCAGTACTTCAGTATAGATGAGGCGAGAAATCAAGAAAGCGATCAGCCTTTTGATTTATTATCACAAAATCGACATAAACTGAAATTAAAGATTCAGAGATACGATCATCTTAAAACAAGAGCAGTTTAAATATTACAATTATTTATATAAACTCCCTGTTGTGGTAGAATTATGAAGTACTGCAACTAGAAAACTGGTGGTGTGGTGTGCTCATGGATGAGGAGTGATCAGCAGAGATGCCTTGTCGTTAGTAACAACATTCAGGACGATAATTACAGCATACATTGGAAAGGAGCCTTTTAAAAATGATTCCATGACCAGTAGGAACATCAGTTGTTGGAGCAGGAAAATCCCTTGCGCTGACAATTTCCACACTAGTACTCACCATAATCACCAAGAGGAGGAGGAGGAGGATCAAAACAGCTGTCTTATCTGTTCTGAAAGCCATGATCTTTCTGCTCTGTGACTGTATGCTTAAAGCTTTGTGTTTTTGTTTGTGGGTTTTCATGCATGCTTACTGTCTTTATACATATAGCGTCAGTAAGTGAGTATCTGTAATTTCATTGATGAGTATCCGCCATGATCATGTCTAGACAACTGTCAAGCTCAACATCTTGATGACTCCACAGAATCTGCATGCCACTAAGAGGATTCAAAATAATTCCTTGTAGAAAAAGAATCTGATGGATCATGCCTTCCAAAAAATCAGTAACATTACTTTTTTATTCGAGCATACATATAGCACTGTCAAAATCATCACCTACCATGATCATCGTGTAAGCAGGTATATTGTCGATTTTGTCAGAGTTTGAAGATTCTAGCAAGTGGTGATTGAGACAATGGAATCTTCTCAATAATATTGTTGAGAAATGTTAGACTAATTGGGATTTCTTGCACTTATTTGGGAAAATCCTGATAAGATTTAAGCATCAAAAGCATGGTCACTCTATGAGTATCTGTAATGATCTTGTCTAATTGTCAATATCTTGATGATACCTCAGAACTTGAATGCCATTAAAAGGATCGAAATAATCAAATTAATTTCTCTGGGATTTTTTTTCCTTAAATTTATCTTTGACCAGTAGAATTAGTTTCTGATTGAACATCCCTTACACTGCCAAAATCCACACCCACCTACCGTTATCACCAAGAACAAGGGCTCAAAATTCAAAACAACTGTCTTATAATTCAAAACTTTGGTTTTTGTTGGAGAAATGGTGCATGCTCATAGCATTTCCAGGAATTATGTTTTACAGAAATAGTAGTGGAACATGCCTTTCAGTCAATCCCAAAACTTGAGGATAGCACTCATGGCAAGAGGGAAGTTATTGTCTTGATTTATTGTATTGTTCCTCTCCACATATTTCCTCAGAAGATGGTAAAAAATTTTGTAGGAGGAAATGAAATATACCTGTTCTTTTCTTAGCAAAATTGTTCCAAAATGTTTGACTAATTGGCTTTCCATTTTACATAAAGCATAATTTAGCTCAAACTTCTCCAGTCTTCTTGACTCCATTTCTTTGATGAACAAAAAATTAGAATTTCTTTTTCTCACTTATTCACTTGAATATGTTTTCATCTTTGTTTTGTAGCTATTTTTTTAGATCTTTTAAGGTATACCAAACTTAAAGATCCAGACTAATCACTCATTGTTTTGTCGGATATATAAGGTAGAAACAAGTAAACCGGAGAGTTTTTTGCATACATAAAAATTCAAACTCGAGACCATTTGCTTAAACGACTAAAGCTTCTTTTACTCAAGTCAACGATTTTGGGTTTATGCTCTTTTCATATACATGATAGATTGAGGTAGTAAGGTCTTTTATTCAGTTTGTGTGAAAAGCACTGAAGGCTATACTTGTGCATGAAATTAGCTTTGGCATTGGCAGCAAGTTTACTTTTCCATCCATATAAGTATTTAGACGGATACGATATTTATAAATCCGAATTTGATCGCATTTGATATGAGAGGTTCGTATACTTAAAATATCCGAATTCGATTATATAAATAGATAGCAGGTATAAGATATACTATAACTAATTTTGAATATCTATTAATGATACGTTAATCTATCTATATCCATTTAACGTATATCTCAGGTTCAGGTATGGTTTTTTAAACGGGTATCGGTTTCGGTTATGCGTTTAACTAGATGGGCGGGTACTCTACACCTGATCATGGACCGGGCCTGATCTGAAGTTCTGAACTGAAATTTCTTTGCTCAAGCCGCTGGCCTGGAAATCCTTGGACTCTCTCAAGAGCAACAACAGACTTGTTCCTCCTCCTGCCGTTCTGTGGCAACTCTTAGGAGGGTATCAGACTGATGGCGAGTGGTACTGTTGCTGAATCAGAAATAGAAGAAGAAGAAGAAGAAGAAATAAAGTTGGGATCTTATGACGGGAAGGTGAGAGTGCTAAGGGAAGATGAAGAAGCAGCTGCAGGGGAAATCATGCTCTTGTGGGGTATCCAACAGCCCACTTTTTCAAAGCCAAACTCTTTTGTTGCTCAATCTTCTCTCCAACTCAAACTTGATGCTTGTGGTCACTCCCTCTCCATTCTCCAGTCTCCTTCTTCATTGAGTACACCTGGAGTCACTGGTTCTGTCATGTGGGACAGTGGTGTTGTGTTGGGGAAGTTCTTGGAGCATGCAGTCGACTCTGGCCTGCTTCTTCTTCATGGCAAGAAGGTTGTTGAATTGGGTTCTGGCTGTGGATTGGTAGGGTAAAGATTGCCTCTTTCTCAATTTCTTTTCACTTTTTTCGATCTTCTTGATCATAATTTGTTATGGAAATTTGCTCTCTTAATCGGGCACGCAAAAGGCTGAATTTTTTAACCATTTAACCTGAAAATTTAGGCAATTTAAAGAGGGCCCTTTGTACTTCTTTTGGTTTTATGTAAATGAAGATGCTCAGTATGAACTGTTAGTGATTTTGGTCATGCAAAAGCTCAAACTTTTTTATGACTTGGTTGGTTGAATTTAAATGGAGATGCCTAACATGAACATTATAGCATTATTTTAGTTTTCTAGTTGAGAAAGAAGAGAAGAAGTTCCACTTTTTTTTTTTCTTTACCTGAATATGTCTCGTGTTTTCCCTTTGCAGCTGCATTGCAGCTATTTTGGGTGCTCAAGTAACACTCACTGATCTGCCTGATAGACTGAGGCTGCTGAAAAAAAATATTGAAACCAATCTAAGGCATGGAAACATGCGGGGTTCTGCAGTTGTGAAGGAACTCATATGGGGAGATGACCCTGACCAGGATTTGATCGATCCTTTTCCTGATTACGGTAACTTATTTGCAATCTTTGCCTGCTGGAGCTTGAATTGAAGTTGAAATGTACCTATGTGTGAACGACTTTTTAATGTTTATCTTGAATTCATATTCTGATAGATTTGTCACAATTCAGTTTAGAATAACATATGTTTCTTGAAATTACAAAACTTGTTCAAATCATAATTGGCAGTGATTTGCAAGAGATGATTACTTAAGGTGAATTGAATTTGCAGACAGTGTAAGACGAGTGTTTCACATGAAATCTCTATGAAGAATCAAGCACACATTTCATTCACAATAATGGTGAATAATCAACTTCAGGCGAGTTCTACCAAATGTAAATCTTAAAACATAGAATTTACCAAAGGGGAACCACTTATAAAAACTTGGTTAATATTCATTAAATTTGGTATATGTCTATTGATGAATCTAATAAGGGAAAAGGCACACAATAATGCTGAGAATAACGGCATAGAAGACGGAGTTGATCAATTTCTGGTACCAATTGAATTGTGACTCAGAAGCAAGAGTTGAGAAATAAAAAACTGAAGCATTTCCATCATCATATTAAGTTGAACATGAGGTGAATTTTTATTCAAATTGATATTTGTTATTTCATGGTCTGTTTGTAAGATTATTACACAAAATCCATGATAACATGTTGGTGCAAGTGACAACTAGTTTAGCTGATAAGTTTCTTGGAGTACTGTAACTTCTAAGAGACTAAGGATTGGGTCCTTCGTATGTCTGATGACAGGAAGGGGAGGGTCTGCTAACTCTGTTTCCATTGTACTGGAAAAGCACATTAACACAAAATTCTCATCGACTGCAAAACCTTTTGCTGCTATTTGTTGAAACAGTTTATCCAGTGTGATCTAAGTTGCTAATGAATACAAATACTGAGTTGCAAATTTGCGATCATTTTTCTAGTTGATTTTTGTCCCCTTGCTAGCAACATATCTAAAGGATTTTCTGTAATGACTTATAGACTGCAGCTCAGATACTTCATTATGTGTTTCTAAGTGACAGAGTAGCTGTATTAATAGAAAGGAATAGAAAGCATTTTAGTAAACTTTTCTAGCATTCTTTGCTATAATTGTCAAATTTTGCTCTTGGATTAGTTGATAGTTGCAGTACACTGCTCATTTTCCAGAATTTCTTCCAATATATTGGCAAATGTTCTAAACTATTGGAAAACCATGCATGTGTGGTTCTTGGAAAATCAGCATTTTAACTTGATTTATTTGCTCTGCTTTGTCAGTGCTTGGGTCGGATGTGGTCTATAGTGAAGGTGCTGTGGTAGATTTGTTGGACACATTAGTGCAACTCTGTGGAGCCCAAACAACAATATTCTTGTCTGGAGAACTTCGGAATGGTGAGAATCTCAGTCCCCCTCATGCTTGCGTGCTTTCACACACACACACACATAGGCACACGCTGACTGAAAATTGTCAATGCTCATTCCTGTTGCAGACGCTGTCCTTGAGTATTTCTTAGATGCTGCGATGAAGGATTTTGTGGTCGGGCGTGTGGAGCAAACACAGTGGCATCCAGATTATTGCAGCCGCCGGGTAGCGATGTATGTTATGGTGAAGAAGTGAGTTGAGTCATGGATGTTCCCTCATTAGGGCCCCCATCAATTTATCTTCTGTGATTGGGTTTGTTTTAAATCCTCTTGATTTACAATTTTGTAAAATTCAACTCATCTTTCTTAGAATTGAAACTCGGTTAACATAAGACTGAAAAACAAGCCAGAACACATCTGATGGTGTGCCCATCTTTACAAAAGTAAAAAAAAAAAAATTGGATATTGAGATACTCGGTTGTCAATAGGATGGCAATAAGGGGTTAGCATGTTTATTAAGTAGGTGTCAAATAGCAGCCATCTTGTTAGATACCCTAAAACTAGAACGATTGTTCATAAGAGCCTCCTTGGTTAGTGTTTATTTTCAATGAGGTAGCTGGCAATGCGCAGCAGAATCAGCAGCATCACAACAGAAAGGAATGAATTTATCACACCATGCAGCGTCAACGAGAACGGAGACGAGCTTTCCGTTACTGGTTCCGTGACCAACATCCCTACCACTGCTAAGTTCCACACTCACCATAATCATCTATCTAGAACTAAAGCTTGAAATAAGTCGTGATTCTTTTATGTTTGTCTTTTCGTATGTACAATGTGTTCCTGTTTTTGCTGTGCATCTATCATGTGCATACTCTTTAAATAAATACTTTTTAACTGTCCCTGAGATCGTTCAGGATTCAAGAAATGAAAGTGGATATCCATGAATCAGCTAGGATACTTTCTTTGTTACTATTTTCTTTTCAATGCAAAGAGGAGCATCTATCTATCACAATATCGCTTGGATTCTCATCCAATCCAACCAAGATACAACAACATGTTCTACAAACTAGTGGGATCCAAATGAATATTAGGGATGCCTCTAATGAACATACAAAATCCAGTGGAAGATGAAGAAATTCTCAGCTTTCAGCATCCATATATATATATATATATATATATACACACACTCTTGTGACCCTTCATATATGATACGATCAGTCAGTCTTGAAATGTAGCTACAGCAGCAGAGGACTCTTCATCAGCATTCCTGCAATAAAATATGTCCAAAACAAACACCTTGAATTATCTTCTATTATATATGCTCGATATTCTTACAGTGAAACAAACAAACAAAACAAACCTACCTCAAATTCTTGGTAGGAGGTTGACAGAAGATTCTCCTGGACCTGCTCCCAACATCCAAGATATCATTAGTATGTGAATACACAATTTTTTTTTTTTTAATTGTTTTTTAACCCTAATTCAAAATCTCTCCGCCAACACTTTAAATCCCCCAAAACTAGTTCAAATTTCTTTCTAACTAGTAAAAAAAATTAAAAAAAAACTTTAGCAGTAAATAGCAGGAGGGTCTTTAGGGTTTCTTGGTGATATATAGACGTTAACTCAGTATTCTTACTTACCTGTCCAACAAAGACACCAACAGAGGGAAGAGCTTCCCAAAGAGAAGCAAGTGCATTTCCTTATATATTATCACCACCACCTGATGCACGCAAGTCTCCAAGTACTGTACTATACAGGTTCTCTGGATTCTATTCACTAAACTACCTTAATATATCATCTATATCAAGCTAAGCAGCTAGGTACACATATATATACATATATCATCTATGGTCGATCGTCATCTTCCGAATTTTGGAATAAATAGAGAGAGAGCAGAGAAAGTTTCAACCGAAGAGGAAAGAAGCACGAAGGAACACAGCTGCTTGGACTTGAAAGAAATTTTCAAAGGAAAATGCTTGTTGGCCTCTTCAACTTGGCTTTTATGATTTTTCTCCTACGTGTTTGACTTGAAAGAAGGGTTCGTGTTGTTGACTAACATTCGTTCGCTGGCCTTAACATTTTAGTCATGAAACAAGAACCTCGCTCGTTAAGTATTTATTTGTTTTTGAATGAAACCTTCAAAATGGGTTCAGGAAATAAAAACAACTTGGCTTTTATGATTTGTTTTTGGCTGGCACCAAGCTAGCTTCTCGATCGTGTGCTTATGGATGATGAGCAGATTTTGATATCTCAGAGCAGCAGATGCAGCAGCTTCACCACCCATATATATGGCTGCTTGCCATTTAAGGATATATGACTAACTAAAATGTATTTTCTGCACTTTCAGGAAGGAAAAAAGGAGCTTTTTTTTTTTTTAATTATTTTTTTACTGAAATAAATATTCATAAAAAAACCAACAAAGATTAATTGCATTGACCTTGAAAAACTAATTTACCATTGCTCCATTTTCTAGAATGTCAAAGTTTAGAACCTTAATTATTAATTAGTGGACTTTTTCAAGAAACCAATAATGGACCAATTAAAAATATTATATGACCATTCTGTCAATTTGACACCAAACTACTTGGAGTGGACTAATAGTTTAGTCCTTGAAAAATTAGAAAGTTTCAGTAATGCCCATATAACCATAAAACGAGATTGACTTGGCACTTAAAAACACACTAACTCACAATTTGTTTTTTAAAAAAAAAGACAAATTGATGGTAATGAGTTCATTATCATTTCCTGGTAGAAAAACAAATTTAATTTGTACCAAATAATTTTTTTAAAGATAAATTACAAAATAAATAAATAAATTTGAGGTATCATAAAATTACAGTGATCAACAAAAGTTTGAAAATATTACAAAAAATTCCTTCAAGTTTAAGTGGACATTACAATTTTTTTTTTTTATATCCAAAATATTCTTCATATTTTTAAATCATTCCCCTTAAGATTAAAGATGTTTTGAATAATAGAAAAGAGTTTTTTTGCAATATTTTCATACTTTTAGATGTACCTCATAAGCTTATTGTAATTTACCCTTTTTAAAATTATTATCAGAAGTAATTTTGAAAAATCTCGCTGAGTAAATTATAAATTAATTCTTTTAGTTTTAAAAAATAAATGAATTAATTAATTCTTTATGTATTAAAAACTAATTATTTAATCCCTATATATTAATTTAATTATTTTATTTTGATTTTGATTCGAATAAATATAAAATAAATAAATAATATGAAAATATTAATGAGAAAAGAAGATGTATTTTAGAACAAAGTGATATTAAATCGAATATAATAAACAAAAATTAAGAGAATAAATAAATAATTTTTTTTAAAAAAATTAATTAATTCGTTTTTCAAAATAAAATAAAATAAACTAATTTATAATTTACTCCGATATCACTTCACCAACTGCCAAGCTAAAAACAAAAGCTACAAACCTACCTACCCACCATCTTTCTGTCCTGCCATCTCTACTAAATAGAAAGAAACACAGTCTCTCATTGACTATACAATTTCATTTCCTAAACCTTCAACAACATTCTCTTCTCTGCCAACAATTCACTTGACAAAACTATCAAAATGTCAGCTTCCATCAAGCAACCCAACATCATCACTTGCAAAGGTAACTCTCTTTTTTGTTCCTTTTCTATTGTCAACGTTCTGACTTGATGAAGATGATTTCTTTATCTAGTTTATTGTTGTTTGTTTAATGAATCTGGTAAAAGCTGCGGTGGCATGGGGAGCTGGAGAAGCATTGGTGATGGAGGAAGTGGAAGTGAGTCCACCACACCCTCAAGAGATCAGAATCAAAGTGGTCTCTACCTCTCTCTGCCGCAGTGACCTCACTGCTTTGGATTCTCATGTAATCCACTCAAGCCATTTCTATTCTCCTTTCTTACTGAAACTGAGCTTATAATAATGATAATTCTGTGCAGGCATATATCAAAACATTCTAAATAATGGCAAGTTGTGAAATTCATTTGCTATATATTGAATTAGATTCTAAGCTAATGCCAATGGTGTATCTTGAACTTATAGTGGGAAAAAAAAAAGATTTCTTTTGAGTTTCTGAGAAGTGGGTTCTTTTGAAATTAGTATGCCAGTCAAACCCATCTCATCAATCAAACCTAAGAAATTTATGCTCATGTTGTATTATAATTACAAGTTGTTTTACTTTTAGATTTGTAAGTCAATCAACAGACTGAGTGTCTGATATAACATGCTTGTTTGTTGCAGGCTATATTTCCTCGGATATTTGGCCATGAAGCATCAGGGTCTTTTCTGCAACTTTTCGCTTGTAATCTAATTATATGATGCTTCACATGCTCCATAATTAGAAATGCTTTATGCTAGATTAAAGGTTAATAAAATTAATGGATTTGTTGACCAAGTTCTTCAAACAAATATGCATGTGTATATATTGGTCAGTTTAATATGAATCTAGCCTGTCCTTTGACTGCTAAAACTTGATTAGGAGTTGCGGATTAAGTTGTTCAGTAACGGAGAATTTTCAAGATAATCGCATTTCATTTCACTATGTTTTGCATTGGAGGCCCCAATGCATAATGTATCTTACTAGGACTGAACTTTAATTGGTAAGATTTAAAGAAGGAAGATTGTCTATTGTGCAGTCAGGTTGACGGTTATGTTAAATTTCTACCAATAAATTTCCAGGATTGTTGAGAGTGTTGGAGAGGGAGTGACTGAATTTCAAGAGGGTGATCATGTTCTCTCAGTGTTCACTGGAGAATGCAAGACATGTAGACAGTGTATGTCTGGAAAAAGCAACATATGCCAGGTATTGGGGTTGGAAAGGCGAGGCGTAATGCATAGTGACCAAGGAACACGCTTCTCGATCAAAGGGAAGCCTGTTTATCATTATTGCGCAGTTTCAAGTTTCAGTGAATACACGGTGGTGCACACTGGATGTGCTGTTAAAATTAGCTCTGCTGCGCCTTTGGAGAAAATATGCCTTCTTAGTTGTGGTCTAGCTGCAGGTATGGTATTTAGAGTTGCAATATCATTATCAGGTCAATATGAGAGCCTTCTCTCTGTATCTTCTTAATGCATCCCCAATTGTTAAGGATGCACACACGCAAGCCAACACAATAGCAGAACAAAAGGGGTGCTTTTTTGGTTAAATGGGTAAGAGTTCCATGGCTGGAAAACCGGGGATAGTCTCTTGCCCCAGGCTCCAGCCATTGTTGTTCTGGAATTTGTTGGTTGCCCGTGTTGTTTGTGGGGGAGGGCCAGAGGTGACAGATATATAGTCTACATCCACCTTGTGGGATAAAATTGATAAGCAGGAAAGCAGATGATAACATGGCTATATCTGCAATAGCATGTGACTGTCAAGTGTAATGAATTCATTGTGATGATTAAGTGTAAGTAATTGTTGTTCAATTTCAGGTCTCGGAGCAGCTTGGAATGTTGCTGATATATCTAAAGGATCAACTGTAGTGATTTTTGGTCTCGGAACTGTAGGCCTTTCTGTAAGTTTGCCTGTTCTGTAAGTAACATATATTTTCCAAAAATCACTAGAATGTATTGTCATGTGCATGATATTGACTATTTTTTTTCCGTTTTGTGATTAGGTCGCACAAGGTGCTAAAATTAGAGGGGCATCTCAAATAATCGGTGTGGACACCAACCCTGAAAAATGTGACATAGGTATATGATTAAGCATTGCATTTCAAAATTCTTGACTCTGTCTTTATAAGCAATTTAATATCTCTGGATCTTAATGGAGATTCTCTTATGGTTGCAGCAAAGGCTTTTGGGGTAACTGAGTTTATCAACCCAAATGACTGCAACGAACCTATCCAACAGGTACCATTCACCTAAACTGGAGGATGATGAATTTCTTTAGCATATGACATCAAAAGAGTATATTGTTTTAAAGTTCGATAAAAGAGACATTCACAAGGCAGATGGATGATTAGATAGGGACGAAAAAGGAGGGCAACGATTTACAGATAGAGGATTGGTTGGAGAAACTATAACTATTGAAATGACTGCTTCTTGTACTTCTAAGCAATGGAAAATGGAAATATCAGAAGCAACCTTGATTTTGTCTTAGTTTAAGTTTGTCTTTGTGATGTTTAACTTTTCAGGTTATCAAGCGCATGACTGATGGAGGGGCAGATTACTCATTTGAATGCATTGGAGACACTGGAATGATTACAACTGCATTACAGTCTTGTTGTGATGTAATACCTTTCTTTCCAAAACTAAGGCTTCTTTATTTACTTAATCTTTATTGATTTAGATTGATTTTTGAACTTTTTGTTTCTAATTGTGTACAACATAGGGATGGGGATTAACAGTTACTCTTGGTGTACCAAAAGTTAAGCCCGAAGTATCTGCTCATTACGGCCTATTACTTTTTGGAAGAACATTGAAGGGCTCTTTATTTGGAGGATGGAGACCAAAATCAGATCTTCCTTCATTAGTAGACATGTATATGAAGAAGGTAAATAAAGCATCATGAATCCTTAGAGGAGCCTTCTTGATAGTTACTACAGTAATTTTCTGGAGTGCACTATATTTGCAACTGAAGGTAGTTTTAGCCAAAATGTTACCCCATCCCCTCCAAGTTTGATCAAAACACCTGCTTCTTTGAACCTTATCTTCTAGCTTGACAATTCTTACATGTCCTGATAGGCCATTATTGAGTGTATACAAAATCACATCTTGGGTTGCGAAATAACTGGCCAGTTTGCTGGTTGGTTGATCTAGTCTGTGTCGATTCCTGTCACGAAAAAGTGCCCTCAGTGACAAATTCTACAGTCACCAGGATCGATTGTCTATAAGTCTATTCCGACTTAGTAATCTATAAACAGAAGTATCTTTCAAATATCATATGCCAGATGTTTGTATTAACTTCACATCTTTTTATACAGGAAATCCTGGTAGATGAGTTCATTACGCATAATCTGCCATTCGACGACATCAACAAAGGTTTCGAACTCATGAGAGAAGGGAAGTGTCTACGCTGTGTTATCCACATGCCAAAATAACTTAATCTCTGGCTCAAGAAGCTTGTTAGAGGGGGAAGTGGAGGAAAAGGATGAGTGTTTATACTACGCTATGCCTAGTTTCTGGTTAATGAAATGGTTCATGTGTTACAGAATGAGTCTTTTTTATTTTTTGTTGTTCTTTGTTTCTTTTAAGTTTTGTATATGCTCCCTGCCAAACTGTCATTAATCCTTCAGGATATTACTATTGCTCTAAAAACAAAGGTTCTGCAGAAGTGAATATTAAGAAATCTCATTATAACAAAGCTTTGTATCAATCTTGTTCCCAAACAAATTTGATTTTTCAGTGGGGGCCTTTTGTTAGAATTTCTTAACAGAAAATGTACAATTAGGACGTAATTCATAATCAAATACGGATGGAAAGATCTAATTGAGAACTTATAAAGTTGTGGGGCATTTTTAAGGTTTGTCCTAACAGTTTTAATTGCTTGGCGAATAAAAAGTTTCATGTAATAGCTTTTTTTCATTCATCGAGGCTCAATACATCTATTGGACTATAAAACAAGGGTCACCCTCTCTGTTATATAATCATTAAAGAAATTAGAGTCACCAGAACTCGAACTTTGCTTCATTAGGGAAGCTAATTGGATACACAATCATTAGGCTACATTAGGCTAAACCTGCTTGTGCTCATGTAATAAATAGCTTTTAGTAAAGAGTATTTGGTCTATATTCTATACTTCTCTTTCAGATGAATCTACTGTTCTGGTACATCTGAAATTCTGAATATTTAGGTTTGAGAGGAGGTACCTTGCTCTTTTTTAATGCGGTACATGATGGCAACATGTCCTTTAATTAAAGGCCAGAATGTCAAAGGTTTCCAATCTTTAATGTCTAACGTGGGAGATGGTAATTGTCAAGCATTGAGGTCACTGGTCACCTAATTAATTTGAATTAATTTGTAGGGAGGCAGGCTGAATATAAAGATTCCTGGCATGTAAAATGTTGAAATTTGAATAGATGCTTCTTACTTAGCTGAACTACCTTGTATCTCAAGTGTCCTATGTGGTGTCATTAGGTGTGGAAGGTAAGACCTTCCCTAACAAAAAGTGCCTTGTTTCTAGGACAATATCATAGGTCATACGTTACAAGGAACCTCTCTCTACTTATATAATTTTGAATGGCATTAATATATTTTCAATGCTTTCTTACACGCTTTTGAGTGGGGAAAACAACTGGTTCAAGTAAAGAAGAGATCGGCACCATTGAAAAGAAACTCCCAAGTCTGCAAATAAGTTTCTGATGGGAGATAACCAGAAAATTCATCCCGCAGTGGATGTGGAAGCACCAGCACCAACAGCATCATTGGTGTCTTGCGGCTTAGCAACATCTGAAAAGGGTGGTTCAAGTCTGAGTCAGCGGCGACCTCCACAGCCATTACGTACCGTTCCGGCAGTTATGCAGTCAAGTAAACCATCGCAAACCACAAGAAGTTGCTGTTGCAAGTGCATATGTTGGACAGTAGGTCTCCTTGTCCTTCTATTAGTTGTTGTCGGAGCCACCGCAGGCATTCTTTATCTCGTCTTCAAACCAAAAATCCCCAACTACTCCGTTGATAGCTTGACTATAAGTGACCTGAGGCTCAACTTTGATATGAGTCTATATGCTAAGTTCGACGTGAAGATCACAGCCAATAACCCCAACAAGAAGATTGGAATTTACTACGAGAAAGATGGGCTGCTGAGTGTATGGTACACAAACACTAAGCTTTGTCAAGGTTCAATTCCAAAATTCTACCAAGGTCACCAGAACATCACAAAACTGGATGTGAGCTTGACAGGGCAAACACAGGATGGAAACACTTTAATGAGAGCATTGCAAGAGCAACAACAAACAGGACGTATTCCATTGGATCTTAAAATTGATGCACCAGTTGCTATTAAACTTGGGAGGTTGAAGCTGAGGAAGGTGATGATCTTGGGGAATTGCTTGTTGGTGGTAGATAGCTTATCTACCAACAATCGGATTAGCATCAAGGCTAGCAACTGCAAGTTTAGATTGAAGCTTTGAATCTCATCGCATGCATTGCATTAGGGTTCTTATTTTTTTTATTTTTTTCCATATTTTCCCTTCCTCTCTTTCCTTTCTTGGTACTCATTTCTGAGATCAATGATTATTTTTTTATATATAGATATATGTTTGTATTCATTGTATACTCTGCATGTATCCACTCGTTTCATGCAAAATATTTTAATAAAAAATTATTTTTTTTTTCAAGTTTTACGGTAAACGAAAATAGTTGATTAGAAGAAATAAGTATTTGGTGTTTTGTATGTTGAAATAAGAAGTGTTGAGAAGAAAAGGATAAAATTAATTAATGGTGACGTCAAAATTTATTAAAATATTTTCACCATGCACGTCCTTAAAGTCTTAAGCTGAGTTCTCTTGTTTTCGAAACAGAGATTTTCTTTGATTGCGAAAAATCTTAAGCCTTTCTAAATTGATACGGCCAGAGTTCCAGAGTTTGAAGTAACCAACAAGATCATAATGTTTAATTTAATTAGGCAAACTAATCCTAATTAATCCGGATTAGCAAATCCAAAGTCCAACAGGAATCCCACTTGCTTGCTGATTAATACTACCAGCCTATTTAAGAACCTTCAAGGTTCCAAAACATTCGTTAGAAGAAGTCAAAGCTTATACGTACAATGTCTCTCACAAAGTCTACTCACGCTGTCAAAAAACTCAAGCTCTTCAAGAATGACAAAGAATCTCATTCGTCATCATGGGAGCTTCTTTCTCTAGTGGCTCACCATCTAGACCCTAAAACCCTAGCTATTGCTTCTTGTGTGTCCAAATCATGGTTGGATTCCTTCTCCTCTGAGGATATTTGGCAGCCCATATGCTCTGCTGAATACCCTTCTGCATATAGCCTTAAAGACATAGGCCCGACTGTCCCTTATCACCGCCTATATGCTATTGCCTACACGGCGGCGTCCAAGCTCCAGTTGCGAAAGCCAGTAAAACCCGATCTGTCACCCAATGACCTCCTCTTCATCATCAATGCAAAGACTAAAGAACCTTCCACTTTGTTCACCCTATCTAAACCATGCAATGAATTCGAGGTTGATACTAATGGGATATTTAAGTTCGCTATCAACATCGATTTTGAGTCCTCGTTGAAAAAAGAAGGGATAGAAGGTATAACAGTCACATGGAACATTGTGTTAAAAGGTTGGAGAGGTATATTCAATATGATGGACTATTGCAATGGAAAGGTTAGTTTTGTTCCTGAGGCAGAAGAGTTGTTTCCAAGGAGATTCCAGTGCCGAGATGTTGCTCAAATATTGTCAATTCCAGTAGCATTGTTGCTGAGTTGAAGTTAGTATTTTGCAGAGAGAATATTAGCGATGAGGATAGCAAGGATGACAGCAAGTTTATTAGAAAAGGAAAGTTGAGTGTGGCTATGATGAACACAAAAGATTTGAGGTACCTAAGTATGGATGATGCTTTGAGACATTTGCAACACTTTTTGCTGCCCCCTGTGATGCTTAAGAAGTGAATCTTGCATGTATGGTGGCTGGCGCTGATCCAGCTTCTTACAGTGCTGCTGCTGCTGTTGTTTTTTTTTTCTTTTTTTTTTCTAGATTATATCGATGTTTTTTTTTTAGTTTATTGGTTTATTTTCAGTTTTCTTTTTTTCATTTTAATTCTATATAAGTTGACATTGTAGACTCTGATACAACGGTAATGTATGTTTTCTTCATCATCAACAAGTGTTTGCTTCCTTCTTTTAACAGTTACTATCATGGTGTTCTACCCATTACATTTATCGTGCTTCATCAAGTAGATAAATATATTCAAAAGAATTTTCTGCCCTATATTTTCTAGCAGTCTCTTCCTTATATACTCTGAATACAAGAGGTTTAGCTAAACACTAGTCAAAGATATATCTACAACGGTTAATGAATAAAGCTAAGTAATTCACTAAAATTTATTACCTAATAACGGTTCCTGAACTATCAGGAAAATCCCACCTAGTCTTTGAAATTTATGACCTAATAACGGTTCTTGAACAGTCCAAGCAAAGACCACGACCAAGATCCCACCTAATCTTTAAAAATGGCACGCTCCAAACCACAATGAGTTAATTCAGAATAGCAGATTAGAACAACCGTAGTAGTGAAAGAACCATGATGAGGTCACAAAAAAACCCAGCAAGTCTAAGTAAAGACCCTCACCAAACCCTACTCCTTCAGAATGGCACACTCCAAACAAAAGGATATGCTAAGAATGGCTGGGAGGAAAAAAAATCAGTTTGAATTAACCATATTAACAAATTTGCAAATACCCAGAAGATGGTCAACGTTATTTTCTTGTTTGCACTAGCTAAGAGTGCTTTTAATTCAAAATTATATGATTTTTCCAGTTAAAATTCATTCTCCAAATAGGGGAATTGGTGGCTATTTAAGCTAGTTCTTGGAAGAACTGTTGCAAATCACTACTTGGATTAATTGAAGCAACTATTTCATAGTAAGCAAAACGTTTGATTCCTATGTCCTATAGATGTACAGCTACTGATTAATATGAATAGCTAAATACAGTTTGTTACCTGCGATTGCTAACCACATCTATTTTAATTCCTCATCGGTCACACATTTGCATACAACTAATCACCAGTTAAGGCCCTTGGTCTATGCTCAATGGTGGGCAAAGGCATCCCAGTCTGTGAAACTGCTCGCAAAAATGCCATATTTGCTGTTAAAGTCGGAGCACGCCAATGATCACCAGTCCCAAAAACAACCTTGTTCTTCAATGCCAACTTTCTTGTTGTTGGGATGGCCATCAAACGTTCTGAAGGCCTATCTGGCACGACCCTGTTCCAATTTCTGAGCATCAGTACAACAAATCACATATAAAATCCATAGTCCATGCATCAACAACAAAAACAAAAACAAAAGCAGAAAACAAATAAATAAATAAATAAAAGGGAGGAGAAGAAATGAAATGCGGACTTGAGCAAAATATTTGTAAGCATGCAACTCAGTTTGGTTCCATGTGATTTATCCTGGTGCAGAATTATGTCAACAGAGTTTAATCACATTCTGTTAGAGAGAGAGAGAGAGAGAGAGAGAGAAGGGCTCATATTTAGCACAAGAATCCTGGAAGCAAACTGAAACACTTTCAACTAAATTGCAGGAATGAGAACCATTTACAATTGATAATTCATAAAATAGCTTCATGGAAACAGAGTTTTATGGATAATTATGTGAGATTGGTTGCTGTAAAGTTAAAACTGAGGCTCAAATATAGAGTTCATGGCTGGTTTCAGATCTTGTTCATATAAAGGATGCATGTTATGAGTGCAGCTAAGAAAGAGAAGAAGAAGCATTAAAAAAAAAAGGGGAATTAAGAAGATGGATAGAATAATTAGAAGAAAATAAATTTAGAAAAAAATAAAAAGAAAGCTGCTTCAAACACCACCCACAGCAACAGTTTCATGATTATCAAAATCAATTCTCTTGAACCATTTTAAAATAGATTCAACGGTTTAGGAAAAGAACAATCTGCCACATAACTTACGTCAAGCATTTCAGTATTTTATCAGCCCTCAGCCTCTCATTAGGCCCTCCACACAGTGAAACCAACTGTTTAAACTCTGAAAGAACACTTCCACATGTTATGCCTCTCTTTCCATGTATGACACCAGCCAGCTCTGCAAGTATAGGATTCTGAATTTCAGATTTGACCTGCCACGAAGTTGAGAAAGATTTACGCATTGAACTCGGAGGACAACATGCACTACACTCCATTGTAATCAAAGTAGAAAATATATAAATTAAAATAACAGCACTCTTAACAGGTAATTAAAAAAGCATTGCACCATTTTAGCACACATCTTACTGGATGCCACTCAATACAAGGGCATGCTAACAGCTATGATGTATGCTAAATTAATTATCCATTTTCAGTTTGTAATCGATGCAAATTACATAAACACCTATTAAACGTCCAGTTGAAATACAAGCACAAAGGGTGCACCCTATGCGATAAAGATGCTAAAGATCTTGAAGGCAATGAAATAGTGAAAAACAAAAAAAATCAAATCAAATCTTACCTGTGCAATCACAAACTCATAATTTCCTTTAAATCGCTTCCTTAATTCGTCCTCAGGTGTATCCAAAAGTTTCTCAGTGCAACCGTTGCTAATTCCCGATACAATAGCAATCAATGCTGTTGTATCAAAATTTATAAAATTGTCACTGGCATCATCTCCAATGAAATCCCCTGGTCCAACAACATCCACACTTTTAACTTTCAACCATGACAACTTCATCCCCGAGATAAGAGAACCAAAGCCATCATTCAAGTTTTCTTTTGTAACCTCTTCTGTCACCTCCGGCCCAGTAGGATTAAGAGTCAATGACTCCTTAACCCCATATTCAGAATCCAAAACAGCATTTTCCCTGGTACCACCGACCTTAATTTCAAAAACACATGCATCTTGAAATGACCTTGAATTTGCAACCACATTGACCCACTCACCACCTTCTAATTCCTCACACAAATCAAAATCAAACAAAGCAAACTCCAATCCAAGCTGACATGCCCCAAACTCCTCTCTAAGCTTCTCATAAACAAAATCACTGACCCCATGTGAGAAAAACAAAACAATAGAGCAAGGTTTCATTATCTGAGTAGATTGAGCAGCAACCAAAACTTGTTCAAGTCTAAATTTTAAGCCTTTACTACTTTTACCATCTCCAAACCAAGAAACATATCTCGGGTTCCTATCAGAAACAATAATCCAAACTGGGTTTTTATTAAGAGTACAGACAATATCGACATGAACAACATTCTTAGGAAAAGATTCAATATTTTTCCTATTTGGAAGTGATAAAGGAATTGGCTTGCAAACCCGTGAAACTCCAGTTATAAAAGGTTGTTGTAGAATGTGAATCACAGCCTCCAAGTGCCCAATATTAACACTGCCAAAAAAAAAAAAAAAACCTTTAGAATAGATGGCAATATTGAATTTGTTTCAATGAGTAAAAGGAGATGATTTTTTTATTTTTTTTAAAAAAGGGGAAAACCTGAGGGGCTTGTGGTGGAGAGTAGAAGTGAAGCGAGAAGAGAGGAAATGGAGCTCAGATTTGGCTAGTTTGAGGAGAGTGCGTTTGCATGATTCAGTGATGTTGGTTTGAGAAGGTAATTTGTTTATGGTGTCAATGACTCTTGAGCATCTCTTTCTTGCTGCTTCTACTTGCTCCATCATCAATCATCAAATACAGTACAACAGCTAATCATCAATCTGATCACTCTCCAACTGGTTTTCTTTGAAGAAGAAACATGTGAGAGTGTAGACCGGGAGTTGGTGTTTTCCCTTCGCAACATACATTGCTGTAGTTGTCTCTCTCTTGGTCAATAATGGACCATTGAACAATTGCAGGCCTTAGAAGCCCATGGCCCAGTTAGAAGAAAAGAGAGAAAGACGGTTGGGCTAGGGTCGGTTAGATTAGCCCATATATTTATTTTTCGAAGCTTCCTTTTGGGCTTAGAGAGGCAGAGAAGAAAGGAAGAGAAGAGGGAAAGAGAGGGATTACATAATTTACATTGCTTGCTCGGAACCTTTCAAGCATCCATCGATCTTGTGGAAGGAAGACACTAGGTAATTATGGGTTTGGAGGAAGAAGATTCAATTGAACAAGCAGCAGCGGCGCGTCGTGAGAGGCTTAAGGCTCTTAAAGCTGCTCAAGAATTGCTAGATACTCCAGATGCTGATGATTCTGCTAAGACTGCCGACGATGAAGACGATGAAGCTGCCCAAGAATCGTGAGTATAGCTTAATATATCACTATGACCCTCTTCACTTTTTAACTTCTATCATTAACCTATGCCCACAAGTTAGTTTGTTTTTGGTTTCATAAATAAAGATTGGAAAATTGTTTGCTTCTCATAGTTAGGTTAATGGTTACTGGTAATGGTTAATTGTTTATCAATGGATGGATTGAAGACAACTACTTGGATTGAAGTTATTGTTTCTTTTTCATAGCTATTGGGATAATTTACTGGGGAAAATTGCACATGTTAGGGAAAAAAGAATAGTTAATGCCTATAATGAGTATGTTCATCCCAATCTGTGGTTACTGAGGAACATATTCAGTTAATGTTTCCCAAAGATGAATTTATGGTCAGTCATTATCTAGGATCCATCTAGTCTAGAGAAGCTATTTGATTGGATATATGTTTTCTTGCTTCCAAGTAAACTTTCCAATGAGGCAATGACCACAAAAACAAGTAATTGTAATTCCATGGAACTTAAGTAATTTGAAGGCAAAGGGTTTATTGATATGGGATTTGGATCAAAGATCGTCAAGGATAAATGTTTCTTTATGTATTAATTGGTTAGTGGTTTGCTTCCCCATTTTTATGCAAAGATATTATGATATTGTCAAGGAGACTTTAGAGATAAACAGACTTTCTACCTCACACCGCCTTCCTCAGAACAAAACTAGATGCAAATAGAAATCATTAGCATATAGTTAGCCGGTTTCATGAAAGTGTGCGACAATTTGATATGTTTGTAGGTGTTTAAGTTCTGTTGTGTTGTGTGAGCGTTAATAATGTTCTAGAGTATGTTTTAACATGCACTACTGCCTTTTATTCTTTTCAGTAATCCCAGCATGAAGTTTCGAAATTATGTTCCTCAAGCCAAGGAGCTTCAGGAGGGTAAGCTTGCTCCACCAGTCCTACCAAAGTTTGAAGATCCTGTTGCAGCAGTACCTCCACCGTTAGAGAAGAAAGAGGTAATTGTTACCTTCAAATACCAAGTTTTCTTAGTAGTAGCCTTTGTCTTCGTTCTTTCTCTCTCTTTCTTCTCTCCTTATATTTTTGTATTCTGATTTTTTGGGTGCATGTTTAGGATCCTTTTCTGAACATTGCTCCAAAGAAGCCAAATTGGGACTTGCGAAGAGATGTGCAGAAGAAGCTTGATAAACTTGAAAGACGTACACAGAAGGCATTATATAAACTAATGGGTAAGTGATTGTGCGGTTTGATTTTGCATGTGATGAAATCTCTTAGGAATATTTCAACTGCTCTCTTCCACGATTGCAATTTGCCATTTTAAATTATCAAAGAAATTGTCATCTTATTTGCCATTTACAGTACCATAACATTTATCTAATCAGTGTCATTTTTGCAGAGGAACAAGAGAAAGAAAAGCAACTGGCTGAAAATGGCGACAATGGTATCGAAGATTGACGGCAGAGTTCACCAAGAACATAATTGTAGTTCAGTTGGCCAGCCAAAGTTGCAGCTTCGTGAGAGAACTAGTTTACGTCTTCAGTAATGAATCAAACATTAGAAAATTGGGAATATTAGTAACTCAGAAAACCAAGCTTCTTCATGTAGTTTGCTGTATGAGAAGTTAGTTGTATGTTTTAATGGCCGAGTGAACTTCCCTCACCACAGGCTGTCTGTTGATAACCACATGCTTGTAGTTTCTGCTAATTTTAGATTCATCTACTGTCATTCTCTACCAGAATGTTTGTTTTTATTCAGTGAAATGATATGATTTTTTATTGCAAACCAATTTATACAACTAGGTTTTTGGCACATGCATATTGATTTTGTTTTATTTTTTATAATCCCTAATAGATATTATTTTGAATTATTTATCAGTAAATGTTTTTAGAATTTATTAAATTAAAATGTTTGGTTTTTAAAATCTAAATAGTTTTATACAAATCTTGATAATTTGTAATTAAATTAGTATGTTGATTTTTAAAAAATATAAATAAAATGTGATCGCATTTGAAATATAAATTATAGACAAAATGGTTGGTAGCTGGTATGTATATAGTTGCATGCATGAGTAATGACTTGAAAATTTGATCTCTTTCTACAAATTGAAAATATATTTTTCCTTATCATATGCAGTTGTGAGAAAATTTCATATATTTTTAGCAAAAAGTAAAAGAAATAAAAAAAGAAAAGAAAAGGAGTTTTATAGTTTGTTATAATGTTTAATTTATACAAACAAAAATTGTATTCAGGGTCCGATTAACTCTTAATTTTCATTTCGATTCTTGCATTCCTATTTTCATTATTTTATTCCTGATTATCAAACAACAACTTAGTATAATAACATGGCATTAGAATGAATTTTTTTATTTTAAAGATTTATTTTTAATTATATGTGGGGTGGACAGAACTCATAAACAGTATAGGTATGAATTAAAATTATATGAATCTTTATTTTATAAATTAAAAGGAATAATACAAATTTTGTAGATAATTTTCTCCAGATGAATAGAAAGTGATAAATAAGACAATAACAGAAAAAAAATATATATATATATATATATATATATATATCCTCTGAAAAAGAAGGACCCAGTTCAATAATTTGATTACATTTGATGTGATTTTATTATTTCGAAATATATATATATATATATATATATATATATATATATATTTTTTTTTTTTTTTTTTTTTTTTTTTTTTTTGGTTCTTTCCAAACATTTTTATAGTTTTCATAGTAACAATTATTATTGTTACTTCATTGCCATTCAGAAGCAGAACGAGCGGTATCATCAGCACCACATGCAGGCAACATGAGCTTAGACTGGAAATTACTTTCAAGATGGCTATTTGATGGAGCACCTGAAGCGGAAGCTGCTCTAATGCTGTCAATCCTTCATTCAATCTTAACGATGACATTCTACCATAGAGATTTAAGAACTAGAAAAATGTCAAGTCTTGCTGGAAAAAGCAAAAACCAAGAGGCCTCAAATGGACAATAGCAGAAAATTGCTCGCTAAAAAGCGATGTCTTTATTTCTTTCCCACGCCATTCCGTTTCACAGACACACACACATACATCAGATGTAAGCAATTTTACACGCCAGCTTTCTATCTATCAAACTAGGCAAATTTTGCTAGTTTCAAGTTCAGGGAACAGAATGGCATACGGTTATTTAGGTGTTGGTAAAGAAAATCAACCCTTTTCAAGCAGTAAGTATCCAATTTGCACACAACGGGAACTTGTACAGACCTCTATATTGCATGATAACTCATGCGTCTTTGACAAAGGGAGAAGAGATACAGAAGAAAAAACAAAAAATCAAAGAGGGCAGGAGGCAGGGTGTGCTAAAAGAAAGGTTCGGCACCCAATGGAAGAATGGTTCGCTTGTTGACTCGCCATTCCTTGTCTCAGAACAATTTTTTTTGGCCCCATGCATCTTATCTTTTCTGAAAATGTCGTATGGCTTACCTTCGCTCGCCCTTCGATTGGTTGGAACCGGCTTGTCCAGCACCTACATTCTCCTCATTCCAGGAGGGATCCACTGGAGGAAGCAGAAATTCATCAGGTTTCAGCGCCAAAGCAAAATCCGGCAAGGTTGGTGCTGTCTCCATGATTCTGCTGTCAACAATCAACATCACGAAACACACAGAGTTATGGGATCATGTGACTCCACTTATTAACCAATCAAGCAATTTGGAAATAACTTCAATGAAAATTCACCTTACAAAAGCATCACTTACCTTTCATGGGAGTATAGATCGCGGTTTATCCGCACCTTGCTAGAAGTATCTTTTGGAATTTTCTCAGAGAGGTATTTCATGGTTCCCCAAAGTGGTGGGTTTCTGCACCAAAATAAATTAAAACTTAAAATGGAGATGCAAAAGTTGCTATGAAGTATGTGAAGGTATACATCTCAACAGAACAGCTGAATGAATCACCATATTAGGATTCAAATTAAAAAAAAAAAAAAGTCACATAATATGAAAGACCAAGTCCTAACATGCAAAAGACCATGGAAACAACATGGTCGGAAAACGCTAAAGCATTAATAGTTAAAGACTCTTAGCAATGTTTTAATTTTATTAATAATTAAGATCAGGAAACAAATACGTTACTGGTTTTCTTTAGTGAAGATTAATAACCCCTGAAAACGTATAATACTTTGAGATTATAAATAAAAAGCTAAATCATAAACAAAAATCAGCATCTCCCATCACACAGAGAACGTTATGAAGGTCCCAAGGAGGAGGAACTTTGGTAGATTGGTTACCTTGACAAAGGAGAAGCTGCATTAAATGCCTCACATGCTCTCTTACTTTCTTTAAAATACTCATCTGCAGCTTGCAAAGCAGCTACAGCCATCCCATGAGACTTCTCTGTGTTCCCCTCGTCAAGGATTAAGCCATGATAATAGTATGCTGCAGCCTGGTTTGATGAAAAAATATTATTACAAGAAAAGTGATTTTGATAGAATCTCTTAGCTAGAAAAGCCAACGGTGAGAACAGATTAAACCAATTTCAGCCTATTGATCCAAATTGCAACAAGTATCGTGGTACGGGAAGGTCAAATAACATAAATCATTTTCGTTGTCTGCTTGCACTTGTGTGTGTGTGTGTGTTGGAAGATTTTGAGTGCACAAATTGGTGAGGTGTTACTGAACCTGGTCGATCAAAACCATTTGTTTAGAGCTCAAGAATCAGGAGAAAATATGTCGTGCTGTCATGAGACTAAAAGTCAAGTGCAATGCGAGAGTGTGAAAGCAAGTACAGTTTCTTCAGTGCAATTCAGCTCGTTTTACCAATTACTTGATTATTGATGTGAAAGAAGGTGAAAAATTGGGAAGCAAGGAAGCAAGATAAGGAAAAGAGCAAGTTGTTTAACTTCATCACAGATTTAGGTGTTAAAGCATTGTTATAATCCCTTAGATACTCAAATATCAATCAAATGCTACCAATTAAATAGTTAGTTCATTTTCAGTAGTTTATCTTTTCCAGGCAACATTGCATAAGGAGAATAAACACTCATTTTCATAATTGTAAGATCTAAGAGCAATAGTTATACTAAAGACAGGAAGGGCAGAGGTTAATGTGAATCATGACAAAATGCAGAGAAGAAAAAAGAATGAAAGCAATTCTTGGATACCTTTCCTTCCACATATTTCCACTTTATGAAGAGTCGATGCTTTTCCCCCAACCATTTGCTAATGGAAGATTCATTATATTATCTTGAGCCTGTCAAGAAAACAGCAAAGGAAAGTATGTTATATTCCAGAATAGCAAGATTAAACTTTCTTATTCAACATGTGCAGAAGGAACAGTGTAAACATAGAAAAAACGCGAAATGTGTTCTTACAGGATGTCATTTATAGTAAACCAAGAGTTATTTCTTGGTTTACAAAAAGGGAGGAGAAGGATAAGTTAGTATTTTAAAGTGAAGGAGGGGACAGTTAGCAATTACAGAGCAGTTATTTCCCTAGTTTACGTGTATGAAAAGGGAAAGGAGACTACTGTATTTACTCATTTGGTCAGAAAATGGGACCAATGACGTAGGAACAAATATATTCTTCAAGTATAAGAGGGTGGGAGAGCAGGGGAGAGGAGGGATTATAGAACAATATTGAAAAAGCAAGTCTAACATTTAAAACCAAATTCCTTCCGCCACCAAATACCCCCCAATGGAGTATTAATCTTTTTTATTAAAAAAATTGAACGGTGTCGGTTATGATAAACTTCCAAGCCTCTTCCTTTCAGAAAAATTTTAAAAAGAAAAACCTCCCATACAAGGTTAAAAGGTCCATTCCCTCCCTTCCCTTCCCTTCCCTTGAACATTCCAACCCAAACATAGTGCTAGGCTTTTGGTACCAATATTAGAGCTCTTATCATTCAGATGGCTGCCTTATGAGAGAAATTTGATAATTAAAATTGATACTTTTTTTTTTTATCCACATTATTCTCCTATTTCCTCTCCCTTTTCTTTTGCCCCATATCTCTAGTCATTGCCTCTATTGACTGCAACCACAAATGCATCCTATTGAACAAGTAGGGCAGTTGAACAGAAAACATAAAAACAGAATTCTGCTAAAAAGGTAATTGCATGTGAATGCTTTGAATTTTATTTCTGATTGTTGTAAATACCTAAACCATATTATTTGTTGGAAGCTCAAATCAAACTGAAGGGTAATTTAATAATCATTGCAGGCCAAAGAAAATGAGCCGGAAAAAATGAAACTGCAAGGATGAAAACGGCTAGTGCCCCTCATACCTGCTGCCAGTATTTTACCATCTCACAAGCAAGCCTTCGCTTCACTGCAAGAGTAGCTTTGGCACTATCAATTGCCATTCCTAGTTGGATATCAACACCCTGCATCAGATGGAAAGAGTAGAAGGACCATAAGAGAGTGGGAAAACACCAAACCAAAACAGAGCAGAACAATAGAATCTGAAAAATGTAGAAGAAAATTCTAGTCCATAGGCACTTGCATCTCAAAGAGACAACTCCAAGACAAAAGGAGGAAGGAGGAAATCTTAATCATTCTGATCGTGTCAACTGCTAAAATGATATGTTCTAATAAATCATCATTACAATTTTATGGAATGAACAGAAACAAAGTGGTTACTCGCTCTTAGTTGTCATGTATGTGCTACAAGTCCAGTAAGAAGAGGTGTTGGGGTCCATATATTAACAGTGTAAGAAAATGATTGATATCAATTAGTTGGTAGCCAGCTTGTAAAGAGAGGTGTTTCATCTCAGATCTGCAAGAAAATCTCCAAGTGCAGCCATCCTTCATACATATCAAGGATAGCAAAGGTAGAAATTATAAGTTCATCAAACAAAATCCATACAGGAAACTAAGCTAGTACCTCCCCAAGTGCTTGAAGGCAAAGAGCTCTAAGAACACCTTCCTCAAGGTCCACTGGCAAATCTTTCCTGGAAGCAAAAGTCAGTCAAATCAGAATAATTATGCAATAAAAATGATTGTAATGAAACACAAGCAATTCAATTCTGGACAAGTCTTTCATCTATGTAAACCTTAATGAAGTAGGTAATTGTGGAAGCACATGCCGGACAGCACAATCCAGATATCCTGCAGCCTTTAAGAAAATATCAATGGATGCTCGCCTGCTCTCTGTGACAGACTCGCCAAAAAAAGCAAATTAATCTTCTGACCAGTACAGAGTAGAGATCTAATGCGAAGCATAGTAGAAGGTAACAAAAGAACATGTGTGCATGAATTCATCTACAACAATATTGCTTGTAATATACAAAACCTCTACATGCAAATATTTCATCACGCAGAAGCTACAGGATGTCTTCCTTCTGGGACCATGCATTAGTAAAACCACTAGTAGGTAATGCCATTTGGTCTTCCAATCTCAGGTAGCATATTCCATTGGGTGCCATTAAATTTTTACCCAATAGGTTGTATTTCACATCCCTCTCTTCCTATTACTCGTATTAAGTCGATCTTTCATTAGCTAGTTGCTAATTGATTAAAGGGTAGATACTGAAATGCATGAGAAATATCCTGCTGTTCTAATTACATGCTCATGCTTAAGTATACTCAGATCATAGATTCTGAAATGCATATTTATGTACTAACATGTTGCCAGTATTTATCCCATTAATTAGATTAATGCCTCTGTCTACGACACCTATCAATCTATTACAACAAATTACACTGAGTATGCAGATTATAATCAAGATGGAGCTAGGAAGTATCAGAAATACAATGAATCACTTCCTGAGTCAGCAGTTACTGTCCCAACTGCTGGACAACGGCATTACCTTAAGTTTCCCACAAGAGTTTCCAATTCTAGAAAATAAGTTTTTACAGCTTCACGTTACAGGATAGAAAGAAAATTATTAAGAAATTGCACACACACCGAGCTTCATCAATTGATGCACATAACGTTTATAGAAAACACCTACCTTCCGATACTTTTGGCTGATAACCATCAGCAGATGTTCTTGGAAGAAGTAACAAGTTGGCCTGTGAAAGTGATAGCATTGCCATCAAGTGCAAAACTGACAACACCTCATACCATGCATTAGAAATTGCTGTTTCCTGCAAAATTCCACAGTACGTATCAAATCAGTGATTCTTCAGCACAGAAAAATGGAATTGCAAACCATAAACAGAAGATTTCATCAACAGATAGGGAATAGATAAGCTAGACTGCATCCCACCCACCTCTGCTTCATCCTCTTGATTCATCCACACAAATTGCACATTGTGTTGTAGCTGGCTTCTATCTTTAACTAATCCCAACAGAACAGGCAAGTAATCTTCAAGAGCCTGATGAAGATCGGCCAATGTTGAACCTCCTGCAGACAACAAATAGCATTGAAATTCAAATGACTACGCCTATTGCTGATCTATTATGACATCTGCACCATGACAACCTACCATGTTGTGTAGCATTTTTTCTTCTTGTTCTTGAGACTGTTGGTGCTTCTTGGCCAGCCATAACTACAATACGAGTTCTTAAAGCAGATAGCCGTTCCACTAAGTTATTCGGCAAGAGGTCACCAAGTGACTGAGAGAAATCAACAGGCTTAGGTGTCCGAAAACCAGGTACATAAACAGAAACTTCCCCTATACTCCCTGGTCTCCTTCTATTTCCACCTGAATCCTGCGGTGTAGACACCAGGCATCCCATATCTTGATAGTAATTGTATACACCAGTCCAAATAATAGAAGTCGGTTACTGCAATAAAAACAAGTAGTAAGTTTAAAGAATGCGGACAGCAATCACAACAAAAAGTGGAGGATTAGCAGTAAGCAAGCTACAAATGAAGTAATTAAATGTCCCAACCAACAAAGTACAAGTAGTAGGTCACTCACGAGCAGTGCCAAAAAAAAAAAAAAAACTCTTTCTAGAACTCTCCCAAAACTTTTAAAAAAGATTGTCTGTTTTTAACAATTTCAAGCTATATATACAATATCCTTCTCCTAAAACATTTCATCACCAAACAAAAGTAAGAGATAGATTAAATCACCTGGTCCCCAATTAGAAGATTGACAAATGGATCAAAACTCCTGGTAATTTCTGCACAGAAAAAGGAAGATAACAATTCAATGAGAGTTACCACGACATGAAACCAATAAAAGTACCTGAATCACAAGAAAAGCATGATACTACATAATTCGCTCCCTTCCCCATTCGGAGAAAAGGAAAAATGCAAAGTGTTATCTAATAACTATAATTTAGAGAGGGAAAAAGTGAGGATATACTTTTTCCCTATCGCACATGACATAAAACTTTAAAAAAGAAATGTGAAGGAAAAGAGCAATTGGGTGCAAACAGACTAGAAATAACTTTGAAGAAGCAGCAGCAACTAAACAAAGGGGTAGGTAGGCAGCAAGCAGATCAGAAAACTCATAGGATGGAAATGAACATGATAAAAATGCAAACGAGTTCCATTAAAGTAATAGTTACAACAGTAGAAAATTGGACAAAGATTGTGAGTAAAGTATCTCCAAAATCAGTTTTAAAACAGAAACAAGCAACCTAAAACCCACGAAGCAAAGTAGAGCCATCTCCTTTTTTTATCCTTTTCCACTGTACTAGAAATCAATAAGATTAAAGATCCAAACCTTATCAAAACAAACGAATGCCCAAAACTCAATTGTGCCAATTCAACAGCTTTTCCAAACTTGAACTGAATTTGACAAGAAAACAGACTCCAAGAAACAAACTTTTTATCACATCCTAGTCAGTTATTATCTTCTTCACGTCTTTCTAAGCAAACAAACACCCCAAAAAGGAAAAGTTATCATTTTTCACATGTAAATTGAAAACACACTAGGAAAAGAAAGAAAAAAGGTCTCACCATCAAAGCTTTTCGTTGTAATGGTAACAGAAAGCCACAATTGAACTGAACGTGAACCCAATGTAAAGAGTGGAAAAGGGAGTCAAAAATCAATAATCAGACACTAAAATCTTCAACAAAACAAAGCTGGATTCTCTATAAAAATTGAAAAATAAAGAAAGGGAGAGAGAGAAGGAAGAGAGAGTTGTTTAGTTTAGAAGGTTCGGTACAAAATTTTGTTGCTTTTCTTGTGACGAAGAATAAAACTTTCCGTTTACATATATAAATATATATATATATATATATATATATATATAAAGAGGGTTTAACGTTGTTATTAGCAAGTAAAAGGGTGTTAGCTTTTTTATGGTTGCAACTGTTTGTGTGCTATGGAGCCATTGATTGGCGCCTCCATAAACACAAGCACTCAACACACACGCTCTTTGAAAAGCTTCAAACTTTAGTTTTGACTCTAATTTGTCTCTCAATGCTTTAACTTCAACTTCTCTTCTTGTGTTTTGTTACAAACATTTTTAGATCCCAACATAAGAGAATGTCTTTCTCAATCGTTCTCAAGTTACTAGGTTTTCAACTCTTTTTTTAAAAAAAAAAGGAAATAAAATAAGAGGAAATGCATTGGCTGAAAAGAGCAGATGAATTTATTATTATAAAGGGATTTTTATACTTTGGTTTGGGCAGTTAGTGAAATGTTTATAGTGTTAGTAGGTGGAGTTTTAAATCAAGGATAGAAACTTGGCATTGAATTGCAAAAAAAAGATAGCCTTTTTCTTTCCTAAATGTCATCCCATCCTTTTCAAGATTTTTGAACATAAATTTTCTGGATGAAAATCTCAGATTTTAACACAAAAATGTTAAAAATCATTACTTGACTTTTCCTCTCCAATGAGTGCTCTAAAGTCTTACATTAGATGAAAGCAAATCATATATCTAAATGAAAGGAAAAACAAGATCAAGCAATGCAGACAATTGGAATGAAAATCCAAGTTAAAGATGATACCAATGAATTCAAGAAAAATAACTTCATCGAAAAAAGTTCTAATTTTTTTTTTTAATATTTATATATGTAAAAAAAATTCTTTAAATAACTATATTTATTTTGTAAACCCGATCGAATAATGAGAAATTAATATAAATTTTTACACTTGAAATATTCTAAGAATTCAAAAAAAAAAAAAAAACATTCACTTGCGAGTTTGAATTTTGAACTGTGCATTAGCCATATGAGACAAAAGGATAAAAAAGTCATTAAAACCATGATGAGATACATATCACGACAATAATAATTAAATCTTGACGGCAAGAATATAAAAGTTATACTCATATTAAAAGTATATGAATATAATAGGCATATAGTATTTGTTTTCATTTCATCATCGTCGTCCTTTTAATTAATTAATTAATTAACCCTTTTTTTACTATATAATCCCAAAGAATGTTCTCCCTCGATGCTAAATTAAACTGTTAGCATCTACCTGCCCGTTCAGCAATTGCTTAGATGGTGTGCGGATTTCACAGCTTATTAACTAATCTAAACTACTGGATATGGATTGACTTGCTCCACAAACGAGAATATACTCATCATCTATTAGCCTATGTGTACAGTAATATCGATCAGGCTTCCAAATTAGAGGTCAATACTATTCGATTAAAATCAAATTTAATTGAATTAGTAATTTCGTTCCGATTGTGTATAAAAGATTTGAAAAAAAAAATCAAAACTGAAAACCGAAATAATTTCGGTTCGATTTAGTTTTGTTTTTAAAAAAATTCAGTTTCTATCAAAAACTGAATTAGTATTTTTTTTTTAACACATACATAAGACTTCTAGCGGAATTAGTATTTGAACCCATGATCTTTTGCAAGAGATCAATACTACTAGATTATAAACTCTTTGATGCCGAATTAGTTAAGAATGAGTATTTTTCAAGTCTGTTATATCTAAATTTTTAGTAGACAAAGACCACCTGGACTTTTGTTGTAGCATTTTTTTTATGATTTTATTTGTTGAAACTTCAATTCAAGCTATTTGTATTCCTTGATAATTGAAAAAAAAATTACAAAGAAGTGACATTTCAGCTTGGTATAAGAAAAAAAATTCAAATTTTAGAAGAAAAGATGCAAAAAAAAAAAGTTTTTAACCGAAAAAATTGACTTCCGACCAAAAAACCGAACTTCAACTCGGTTTGATTTCGGTTTTTATTTTAATCAATTCAATTAATCAAAAACCAAATTAAAAAAAAAAAAAAAAACCAAATGATCACCTGTATTTCAAATGTCTTATATTAGTTAAATGTGTATATTTTATATGAAATTTCATGTCCATCACCATCATAATTTTGCAACACGACATGTATCTAAAAAAAATAAACACCACACAAGTAAATATTATATAATAGTTATATATTCGATAGATCTTTTTCAATAAAATAAGTTCGAGTTTTTATAATTTTAATTTAATTTATTGTTAGATACGGAGAAAAAACTACTTATCCATGTTTCAATAAAAAAAATAAACAAACATGATTTATAGGGAATAACTAGATTTTTTGCTCGTGTTACGCTGCGAATTTGATGAAATATATAAAATCATTTAGAAAATTCATTTCACTTTGATAGTCTATTTTATGGTTTAAATTTATAAAAATATACGAAATCAAAGGTAAAAAAAATATTTATAATTTTTTAATCAAAGATTTTGTATTTAACTATTTCTTATTTGTGTGTTTCATAATTTTTTCTTTACAAAAAGGATTTATCCTTGTTAATCCATTGATTATCAACTAAAAAGAAATTAAATAATTTTTTTAAAAAAAACCTTTAATGTTTCATAAGCTCGTGTCAAAAAACAAAAATAACAATTACTAAATGTTTACATAGAATTGAACACACTTTTATTTTTATTTCTTGTCGATGAGAATATCGATTTTTGAACAAAAAAATGTGAATTTAATTTTTACATAATTATTTACAAAAGAATGAATAATATTAAAATAAATCAAAACTCGTCGAGTAAATATAATTTTAAATTAATTGGATGAGAATTTAAAAGAAATAAAAAATTAAAGTAGTAAATTTTAAATAATAAAAATAATTAATAAAAAATATGAAAACAAATTGATACCAAATCACAATACAATTAAAGTTTGAAATTAAAAAAAAAATGTATGAAAAAATTGAGGACCATATAATTTTAAATTAATTGGATGAGAATTTGTTTTTAAAAAAGAAGAAGACAAATTAAATAAAATTAAATAAAAATTTTTTTATAAAGCTTTAGTATTTCATAAGATTGTGTCGAAAAAATAATTAAAAGCTCACATAGAATTGAACAAATAATTTTTTTATTTAATATTGATGAGAATATCGATTTTTGAAGAAAAAAATATGAATTTAATTTTTATATATTTATCTACAAAAGAGTGAATAATATTAAAATAAATCAAAACTATCCTTAAATGTAATTTGAAATTAATTGGATGAGAGTTTGAAAAAAAAAGATAAATTAAAATTGTAGATTTTAAATAATAAAAATAATCAACAAAAAATACTAAAACAAAATGGGACCAAATCATAATTTAATTAAAGTTTGAAATTAAAAAAAAATGTATAGAAAATTTTAGGACCATATAGTTTTAAATTAATTAGACGATAATTTTTTAAAAAATAAAAAATTAAAGTAGTAAATTTTAAATAATAAAAATAATTAACAAAAAATATTAAAACAAAATAAGATCAAATCAAAATATAATTAAAGTTTAAAATAAATATATATATATATATATATATAATTGAAGATCAAAGGATTAGAAAAATAAATAAACAATAAAAAAAATAAAATTTATAAATATTTAAATAATAAAATGTGAGTGTATGAACAATATTTGAAACATTAATTTCGTGTTTTGTTTTAGTTTGTTTTATAATTTTGGGATACCTTCCCTTGGGGATTGGGCTGGCTGTAGGGAAGGAAGAAGCAAGCAAAGTGTGACACATGGCAAGGAACAATGCAATTATAGGGTAGGCTGGTTTTGCGCCTAACTGGAAGCAAGACGTGATCAATTCTTACAAGCATGAACAATAATCAAAAGACAAGTGTCATACATATATGCATGCCTCCACCTACCGAGGAGAAGTTTGTCAGAATAATCACGATCATCAAGAACTTAGCTAGCCACTAGCCAGCCTGAGTCAGGTCAAGTTCGAAGTTAAAAACAAGAACATGGCCAAATGCAGGGATGTTGCTATCTTCGGTCACCGTGAATGTGTGAATGACACCTTTGAACTTTAATCCCACTTGTCCACGAGCCTACTTGACCGTTTTAGCAAGTGGGAAGCTCAGACTTTCTCACAGCTTCACAGACCAGATACAGTTCGTCCATGTTCTGCTCTTCCCTACTTCCTCCTACCAATAAAATCATTAATTACTATGCATTAATATACGGATTAAAGGTATAGCATTTCTCTCTATTGTTTCAAATATTTTATTCATGTTCTCATGTTAAAATTTTTAACTATCGTATATTTTTATTTTTAATTATGTTTATATTTGATTTCTTCAATTATTTTTTCAGACATAAAAAATAACTAACAAAATAAAAAATATTAAAATTTATATTTATTGTCTGAAAAAATAATCAGAAAGATTAAATACGGACACAGCTTAAAAATAAAAAGACATGATAATTGAAAAATTTAATAAAAAAACACGATTAAGACATTTGAAACAATAGAGAGACATCATGAATCTTTAATTCATTTATATACCAATTTCGTGAATAGATTGTGGGCTTATCGTCCCACTCTTTTAGAAAATACAGACATAATCATAAATAGAGAGACATGATAGATTTAATAAAAAAATACAATTAAGATATTTGAACCAGTAAAAAAATATCCTAATCTTTAATTCATTTATATAAAGATTTCGCAAATGGTCTATGTCCTTATCGTCCATCTCTTTTGAAAAATGTGACCTAACAGTCCAGTACGGTTAGCTGGGAAACAAAATACATAAATTTATATAGCAATACGGTGTTTTGGGGCCTTGTGTGCAGGCGAGATCAGTTCGTCAGGACAAAGTTGAGGTCATGATCTTTTGAAGAAAAGGACATAAATAAATGGGGTATTTAGCTGTCACAAGCATTCAAAAAAGGGTTGATGCATACTTCACAATCCAAACCATATATTCCTATTACTGTTCCCTTTTTGTTCTGCAACTCATCAATTTCTTATATCTGCATGAACAGATGAATCTTATATCATGGGGTGGTCAAAGAAATCTTGTTTAAGCTTAATTTGCTGGATTTGATTCGACTAGATCATCAAGAAATAAAATACTCCAATACTTTGATGTTAATTAATGGATGGAAGATTTAGCAATATCTATGTAAATTGTCCGAATTAGGATGGAAGATTCATATATCTCTTTCATCACTTTTTCCCCGAAAATAAAAATAATTTTAAATTATCTCCACAATTTGTTCACTATCCACATTAACTTATACTAGCTACATTTTTTTTGTATTTTTTTTTTAATTATCTCCAATAATAAAGAACCGATCGAATCAATAAGCAAACACAAAACCATTAGTATTTCAGGTGTAGAGAAGCTACCTTATATATAGATATAGTGGTTAGATTAACTCCTATCATCAAAGCAAGCAAGGATTCAATCCCTTGATTTGTTAAGACAAAAATCGAACAAATACTTCTCCTCCTTTTCTTCGTATATTCATATCTTACATTAAAAATAAAACTAATTATATTCGGATAAGGATTTAATCATTTCTTCATATATTCGTATCTTACATTAAAAATAAAACTAATTATATTCGGATAAGACTTAATCGTTTTCAATAAATATAATTTTAAAATTCAAACTTTGAGTATTAACATAAATTCGCTTGGGGACCAGACTCGTCTATCACAAATTAACAACTTAATGGTGGAACAAACGCTTTTGATAAAATGAAAACAAATAAAAACTTAATTATCAAAATTTAAAATGTAATTAACAATTTACAAATTAATGACATAATTCAATGCTATCGTTTTCAATTAATATAGTTTTGATCATATATTACATTTTGTTGAAGTTCACGTTTCTATTTTATTGCTTCGTTAATTCACTATAGAAATTCGAGCTCTCGTGTATAGAAGAACCTAGATAGTTATAGTTCATGTGATCTTAACAAATAACCAACATGAGACTTTGTGGTTAATAGATATATCGAACAATACATTTCTCAAAAATATGATCATGATCATCTTAATCACTTGAATCAATCCATGTTGATGATATTTAATTTTTTTATATTTATTCTCATCAAACACGTTAATTGGTCCCAAAGCTCTTCTTTTTTAAATAATCTTACTTCTTTTTTTCCCTACGACAAAACAAAATCCACGTCATGCATGAAAAAAGAAAAAAAGAATGGATGGATGAACGATGTAAACAAATCCTTACTTTCTCTTTCTCAGAGAAAGTAAAGATTTGGCAAGCAGCAATGAAGTGGACAGCACAAATACGTAAAAATCCACAAAAAAATATTGCAAGTATGATGAGTCTTATGTTGGTGGGTATAATTAAGAAAGCAACCAAAGAGAAAGGACCAAACATTTTGTCCTAACAACAACACAAGTCACTCTCTAATCCCACCGTCCACGACTCATCTGCCTTCCACGTGGACACACCTAGGCATGACGTCACCAAATCACGTCTTATCGATATCTAATCCTCCTCCCTCATTGGTCCATTCATCGGGTTCACGTCTCAGGCCGGTGATCTGATTCTTTAAATTAACAGGATAACTACACGTGTAATGTGGACACGCGGCGGACGACGAGGTGCTTGATTCTTGAACAGCACGCGATTTTGCCATTTTTGGACGGTGACTTTGTGTTGCCGCCACAGCATTATTTGAAGGGATTTTCTTGGAGTCATTGAGAATTGCCACGTGTGAGAGAAATCACTGCTGCAACGGTCGGATGACGTTGAAGAGGCAGTAACAGGTAACACGTGTATCCAAGCTTGTGTGTGGGTCATTCATACCTTTGTTTTGTTGTTGCGTTTTGGGTTCAACGTTGCCTGTCTTGTCGGGTGAGATGAGATGACACTCTCGTGGGGGAAATTCTAAGATTTTTTTTTCATGTTGTCTTTATTTATACAATTTATTATTGAATTTAATTACAGTTTTTATGGAGCCCGTCACAAGAGTTTGTTGATTAAATTATAAATTAGTCCAACTGATTTTTAGAAATGAATGAATTACTCCCTTTCAGTATGAAAATTAATTATTCGGTCCTTTTTATCTATTTTATCCTTTTTTAAATTTTTTTTAGAAAAAATAAAAAATAGGTATTATAAAAAAATTAATGAGAAGATAAGATTTTTTTAAATAAAATAATATTTAATTAAGCATTGTCAACATTAATAAAAAGATTATATGATTAGTTTTTAAAATAAAAATACTAATCAATTCATTTTTAAAAAATAAAGAAAATAATTTATTTCTAAAAAGAGGCCCCTCGTCTAGTAATTAGATTTTTGTTTATTTATTTATTTTTTCTCCATTTCACTTTTACTAAGTTGTTAGCGGCCCAAACACATATAATCCGCAAAAAATATTGATAACTATTTACAACTCAAAACATAAAATTTGCTTGTTTTAATAATATTATAACTATTTAATATCAAATTAGCATATCTTTTTCATAAAAAAATAAACAAAACGTAATGAGATTACTTTTAATGTGATTGAAATAGAAATAATTAATTGATAATTTTTAATAGTTTAGGAAGCCAATTGAAATATAAAAAGTTTCGTATTATTAATTATTAATTATATTAGTTTAGTAAATAAAAATAAAGAATTGATAAAATCAAAAATCTTGTAGTCTAATAATAGTGGTCTTTTATAATAAAAAATTATAAATTCAAATTCTAATAAAATAGAGAAATTGAGAAACTCCTCAAGCCTCGTGACAAAGTACGTCTCCTTTGTTTTTTTTTGGGCTTTTATACTACAGGCCACTTTCGCCCCTTTTCCTTTTCATGGGCTTTCAGATTTTGGGTTTTGGGATCAAGTTGGATTTAGACCCAATTAAATTCCCAATCCAATAAACACATAGAAAAAACGAATTTCTACAATAATAAGAAAAAAAATTCCATTTCATTTCTTTTTTCACTGGTCATTGTTAAAATCTCTCTCCGAGCTTCTTGTTTTACAGTGTTTAGTGAGCCTTTATTACATGCTTGGAATGCAGAGTCGGATGAATGTGAGAAGTTTAGGACCAAATCTGAATACCCCGGCATATATAGGTTTTTGTTGTGCAAAACTATATCTTAAACATATATATAAATGTCTAGTAAAAAAATATTATCAAATTTAGTTTTGGAAATTCCTTAAACATATAAATCAATGTCTAATAAAAATCACTAACAAAATTTAATCACCAATACCTGCTTAGAATCTAATTAAACGTTGAAGATCAAACGGCACTCATGTATCCCGGCCGGCCGGTGTCTACATGCAAATGGTTCCACAACAAGATTAGTAATTAAAAAAAGGAGGAGAAATCAATCATAAACTCCTTTGTGTTGATCATGAACTTGTAAATAAGTAATTCATGATGTTTACTTACTTAGCACATATGAGCTTTGATCACGCTTAGATGAATCAAAGCCACGAAGAAGGTGAAGGAAGAACAAAGGAGAAGTTAGTAAAGAAAAAGAAACTTAGCGAGGAAAGACAAGCTTGCTTCAGATTTGGAACTTGATCATCGCCAAGTTGCCGTTTGGTTTCAAAACCGAAGGACAAGGTGGAAGAACAAGAAGCTAGAGGAAGAAAAAGGATTTTTGATGGTTCTTAATATTTAATATTCATGTTCACGGTGAGAAAAACAAAAGAAGCAAAAAATAAATTCAATACGTGGCTATGTTTTGACTAAATAAATATTCAATTTTCAAGAGCTACGTAATTAACAAGAAGCTACGTAGTTAAGGTTTTTTTGTCTATTTCAATTTTCTTTGTCTATGTCAATTCTAACCTATAACTAATCTTATATTCATATAAACTAACATGTCATTTTCAAATCAATTGAATATAAAAGATGTTTTATCTAAATTATGAAAATATCAAATAAATATTTAATTTCCAAATGAATAACTTATAGACTCTAGCCCACTCATCATGAATGGTCTAAAAGCTGTCGTAAAATTTTAACGATTGTCATTTTACCGATGGTTTTTGGGCCGTCGCAATTCCGTCGCTAATTGCTAATTCTATTTTTTTTTTTTTGTAGTGCATGCTATATTTCGATTACCGCATACTCGCTACCTTTTTTTATATATATTCTAGACCTAATAACCAAAGGATAATGACTTGTTGAAGGAAAAAGCCATGTCATTTTCAAGTTGATAATTTTTTCTTAATTTGAGTTTAACCCTAACCTTATATATATAAAGGTACGTAACTAATCGCATATATATTTTAGTAGGAGTAGGACATTGTTCTCATCAATCTTTTCTAATTGGATTAATTTCTCGGTATTTATCTCATTCCAGTTTAAACGAGTACAATAATCTATCTATATCTATACAAAAGTTTCTATTTTTTTGTCCGTCTTAATTTACAATAAATTTATTTATTTATTGAGTAAATTTTTATTATTTAATTGTGTTCTCTTTTTATGTCCTAGAAAAATGTGTGTGTATATATATATATATATATATATATATATATATACACCGATAGCTGTGCCAACCAAATAAAAAAATATCCCTTTTTTTATTGTAGTGCATGCTATATTTCAATTATCGCATACTTGCTACCTTCTTCTTCTTCTTCTTCTTCTTTTTTTTTTTTTTGGATATTCTAGACCTAAAAACCAAAGGATAATGACTTGTTGAAGGAAAAAGCCATGTCATTTTCAAGTTGATAATTTTTTCTTAATTTGAGTTTAACCCTAACCTTATATATATAAAGGTACGTAACTAATCGCATATATATTTTAGTAGGAGTAGGACATTGTTCTCATCAATCTTTTCTAATTGGATTAATTTCTCGGTATTTATCTCATTCCAGTTTAAACAAGTACAATAATCTATCTATATCTATACAAAAGTTTCTATTTTTTTGTCTCGTCTTAATTTACAATAAATTTATTTATTTATTGAGTAAATTTTTATTATTTAATTGTGTTCTCTTTTTATGTCCTAGAAAAATGTGTGTGTATATATATATATATATATATATATACACACGATAATTGTGCCAACCAAATAAAAAAATATCCCTTTTTTATTGTAGTGCATGCTATATTTCAATTATCGCATACTCGCTACCTTCTTCTTCTTCTTCTTCTTTTTTTTTTTTTTTTGGATATTCTAGACCTAAAAACCAAAGGATAATGACTTGTTGAAGGAAAAAGCCATGTCATTTTCAAGTTGATAATTTTTTCTTAATTTGAGTTTAACCCTAACCTTATATATATAAAGGTACGTAACTAATCGCATATATATTTTAGTAGGAGTAGGACATTGTTCTCATCAATCTTTTCTAATTGGATTAATTTCTCGGTATTTATCTCATTCCAGTTTAAACGAGTACAATAATCTATCTATATCTATACAAAAGTTTCTATTTTTTTGTCTGTCTTAATTTACAATAAATTTATTTATTTATTGAGTAAATTTTTATTATTTAATTGTGTTCTCTTTTTATGTCCTAGAAAAATGTGTGTGTATATATATATATATATATATATATATATACACCGATAATTATGCCAACCAAATAAAAAAATATCCCTTTTTTTATTGTAGTGCATGCTATATTTCAATTATCGCATACTCGCTACCTTCTTCTTCTTCTTCTTCTTTTTTTTTTTTTTTGGATATTCTAGACCTAAAAACCAAAGGATAATGACTTGTTGAAGGAAAAAGCCATGTCATTTTCAAGTTGATAATTTTTTCTTAATTTGAGTTTAACCCTAACCTTATATATATAAAGGTACAGTAACTAATCGCATATATATTTTAGTAGGAGTAGGACACTCGTTCTCATCAATCTTTTCTAATTGGATTAATTTCTCGGTATTTATCTCATTCCAGTTTAAACGAGTACAATAATCTATCTATATCTATACAAAAGTTTCTATTTTTTTGTCTGTCTTAATTTACAATAAATTTATTTATTTATTGAGTAAATTTTTATTATTTAATCGTGTTCTCTTTTTATGTCCTAGGAAAATGTGTATATATATATATATACACCGATAATCGTGCCAACCAAATAAAAAAATACGATTTTCGATAAACATTTTATTGGGGAAGTAAAGCTTGTTTTTGGATGAATAAGATCAGAAAGAGATTTTAACAATGTCTGGTGAAAAAAGAACTTAAATGGAAACCTTTTTTATTATTGTAAAAAAATAAGTTTTTTTGTTTTTTTGTATGTATTTATTGGATTGGGAATTTAATTGGGTCTAAATCCAACTCAATCTCAAAACCCAAAATCTTAAAAGCCCATGAAAGGGAAAAGTGGAGAAAGTGACTTGTTGTATTAAGAGCCCACAAAACAAAAACAAAAGGATAGCTAAAAATCAGAAAGCCCAAATGTTACTCTGTTAACATTGGAGAAAGTGGCCCATACTACTAAAGCCGGCCCAAAAAAAAGGAAAAAAAGACAGGGATTCTTTTCATTTTCATTTTTTTCATCGTCTGTCAATTTCCTCACTAAACTTTGTTATTTGGTAACAAAAAATACTTTTATTTTGTTATGTAAACTTCAACTTTCGTAAAAAAACAAAAGGATAGCTAAAAATCAGAAAGCCCAATTTTTACTCTGTTAAAATTGGCTAAAGTGGCCCATACTACTAAAGCCCTCAAAAAAAAAAAAATTTTTTTTAAAAAATTTATATATATAAATATTCGAACTCAAAATTATTTATTTAAATTATTAAAAAAAATTTCACTCAAAACTTTTTACTCAAGCTCCTTTAGCCTCTTTACACTCCTCCTTCCTCCTTGGTGATTCAAATGTATTTTTAACAATACATAGCATGTACTTGCGTTGCCATAATTTTGTATAGCTCGATGAAAAATGTGGACAATCTTATGCAAATAAGTAACTACGTGGCCGAAGTCTTCATCAAAATCTGGTCGGATCTGCACAAATTTTAAGGTGTTGGGATGTCTATCCTTGAATTAAGAGCATATCAAATTGCCTCTGCTACTGCTGATGGGGTGTCCAATTCTGCAAGGATAGCTTCCAAATTGCCTGTGAGAAACATGTTGGAACTTGATGAACAACGCTCGCTTCTGCCTTATGTCTGGAACCAATCATCTGAACCGTTGGTTTTTGTTTTTTCCATACTGATCTGCTCATCAATCTGGCATGGGGTCTTTTGCAGAAGGAGATACAGAAACTGCTCATGAGATACAGGATGAATTGTTCTCGATCTCGTATAACGAAAGATAGTTAATGTGAGTTGTAGATAATCACCTAAAGGGTTTTGTGGTGGAAAAATAAACAAAAAATATATAAATTTTTTTTATCTTTATAAGCAGCAATGTATCTTACATATTTTGAACAAAAGACCATTGCCGTCTCTAACTTAGAGCAGATTCATGGATTGTTTTTAACACTTGATTCTTACTCAAATTTGGTAGCTTACATATTATAAGAAAAATGTTACCTTTTCTTTTTGAGAATTTGTAGTCCAAAACATTAACAGAAGAATATTATATTGAGAGAAACTAAACATTAGGGATAAGATTAAAACAAAAAAAGAGTAAAGGGACTTTGTAAAAACAAAATTAAAAATAGAGGGACCGGGACCCGTGCACGGCAATCAATCCAACGCACAAACATAATTTTTAAACGAGATCTTGCCTTAATATGAGTTCATTACCCTTCAAATATTAAAATTAAATACGTACAATTTATTTTTTACTCTCAATATTCCTGATTAAAAAAAAAAAAAGTAATTAAACCTTGTAATTTCTAGCCCACTGGACATGGCCCACTTGGTAATTGGGCCTAAGTAACGGAATTATTGATTAAGGCCTAATGACCAGAAGGGTAATTTTGTCTTCTGCGTAGAAACACTAAATATTATATTTGAGAACGTTTTATTTCCTTATTATTTCCCTCCCATCCTTCACTCTCCACTGTATTTCAAAGTCACCAATCGTTTCAATTTAGGGTTTCCAAATACAACTCTAACGGTTACAATTACAGGTTTGCTTTTAAATCCTACAAGTCTTTTAAGCGAAACCCATTTCTTAATTTTGCTCATTGTTTATCTAGAGCTCTCTAATTGCATTGTTTTGCAGGTGTTGAACGGTATATTAGACTGTTATAAAACATGGAGCAGGGGCGGTGTGCAGAGGAAGGGCAAAAAGTTTTGGACTTTAAGTGTAAAAAGACTGATAAATCAACTAAAAAACCAGAAATTATTGAAACCCAGAAAAGTCTGGAAGCTGATATGTTTGCATCTCAAACACCTGCCAAGACGAATGAGTCTTTGAATACCAAATTCAGAGAAGGAGAATTTCAACTTCTAGAAAGGTGGGTTTTTTATCCAGTTGATGCATTCTTTCAACTAGTAAGAGATTTTCCTTTTCTTTTTTCCTTTTTCACTTTTTGGTTGTTAATACTAGGTAGGGATGTTTTTGTTTTTCTTTAGGTACAATACAATTGTAGAGCTCTTTGATGGTATGAATTTTTCATTGAGGTTGCTGGGTCTGAGTAAAAAGTCACCTACTTTTCAAAATATATCTGCACAAGTTGAAGTCTTGACTGAAAGGTATCAGCCACTTTGTCCTAATTTTGTTTCAATTCCTGTTTTGATTGTTTTATGCAAATCGTCTCCTTTGGTTTATTTAAGGTTATTTAAGTTCCACTGTTCTTTCTTTCTTTCTTTCTTTCTTTCTTTCTTTCAGGAAGTTCTCTTACGGACATCTTGCACAGATAAAATATTTACTTCCTGAAGCTCTACAGATAGATAGGATTCTTTTACATGACAAGAAATCACTATGCATGAAGCCATACATTAAAATTGGATTGCTGCTTGATGTTGTTGAAGGTCATGATGAAGAATCTGATTTTATCGCCCTGCACCAAATTTTTTCTTCTAGGCTTGTTGATTACTTTATAAAGCATCCTGAGGTATTTCTTCATCACTGTATCAGTTTTCTTATACATTTCTCGCTGCCGCAGTTTTCATTTGGATTGATTATTGCTGAAGTGTGAATTAGTTGGCCCGAATAAGGATTTAACTTTGTGATTTATCTGATTAATTGCACCGTTTGTAAGTGTGCAGCAAATGCTTTGTTTCAGCCTCAATAGAGTGTTAGATTGTTGAAGTTCAAAGTATGGTGGGGACTTATTGCTTGATAAATCATGGTTACCATACATAGAACCAAAGATGACATGCTTGTAAACAGCTTCTGTCTATTTAATACTTGCTCTGGAGCTATGAGCATATAAAGGCTTCGGCTGTTTTGTAATGTCAGGTTCCATTGATGACCTTAACATTGTGGTTCTTTTAAGCTTAGCTCTATGGATCTATGATCTTTAATAGATTAGCTAATATAAAATTTCATAACATTTCTTTTACCTTTGGTTACAAAGAATGAAAAGCATTGATACAGTTCTTTGTTTTTCTGCTTGCTAGGCCTGTGATATTCCACAGGCTATATTACCAGGTCCATTTAACCAGTGTAAGGGGCCTGCTTTTGTGGACAAGGCTGGTGACCTTTCAGAGGCTGTCTTTTGTGAGCCTTTTAACGAAAGAAGTGAGACCATAGCTACAGAGCAAATGTTCGCAGATCAATCAAGACCATATCTGCCAGCTGCCACTGAAAGTCAGATGTTGTGTAATCCATCCCATCTACATCCATCTTTCAATAGAAAGTTCTCTCAGAAGACTCGTTCTGAAGAGGATAAGACCCAGCTGTTAGGTTCTCCAGTTCCTCCACCAGTTTCACTGTCTGGCAATCTGAATAATGAGCATCTCAATGAAGCAAGAACCGGAGAATCTCCTGAGTTGTGTTCTCAATTTGATGGCCGGACCAACCTTGACATCAAAAGCGAACAAGCAAAAGAATTTTGCATTCCATATTCCAAATCTATCTCTTTCAATCATCTGCCTAGCCAACCAATCAATCCTGAAGTCTCTGCTGATGTCAGTACTTTTTCCAGCCCCAAGTGTATGCCTGACTCATCTGTTGATAAATTACTGTTAGAAACACCTGCACAGTCAACTCCAAGGAGAGCAATGCCTAGCTCTGATGACAAGCACAAGTCCACTGCTGGCCAATCTTGTAAGCCTGCAAAAAGGGTGTTAAATTTCTCATACTTGGAAGGTGATAAAGGCACATCAGAAGGCTATGAATTCTTAAATGATAGTATCACTCAAACTCTTGCTGGCTCTTCTTCACTACTGAAAAAGGTGTGCCTTTTCCTTTTCAACCTAGTCGTATTTGAAACTTCATTTTAGAAGTCAATAAATTTCTTGGGTTTGAACCTCTAAATGATGATCATTTTGCTTATTTCCTGTGCTGACATCATCAACAATACATTCCTTCTCTTGCTAATGAACAAATTCTAAGTAACTGAAAATAGTTCAGCCAGCAGCTATTCAAGATCCTTGATGAGATGATAGTTGTTTAGTCATTCTTATGAGGTAGATAAATATAGGATGATATCCACATTTTTCTTATTTTTTCTTTAGGTATTTTAAATAGACATATTTGGCAAAATTAGGAATTCTGTTTAGGATTAACTTTAGCATAGCAGCATGTATGTCAGACATGCTGACATACATGCTGGATTTTTCCTTGTGCATTCTTTACTTGTGCTGCCATGCATTGATTGCATTTTGTCCTTGGAGCAACTCTATTGATCAAAAGTCTTATACTTGATTCACTTTGTAGGTGGAGGGAAGCCACGGTAACTCATCCATAGATCAGAAAACCTGCCAGTCTGATACAATGCACCTGCAGATGTCTATTCACTTGCCTGACCTAGTTTCTCTGATTCACCACATCTTCCAGTCTGTTAACTTCTCTCCAATCACAAGGGAGGAACTTGTGCACAAGATAATTCTAGATAGTTTAGATATTATTGACAGAAGTATGTCACAATGGCTGTGTCTTTATAGCATGCTTCATGTTTTTTTTCATTGAATCATTGGTTAGTGAACTCACGTAGTCTTCTTTTACAGGGGAGGTTGAAGAACAGATTGGGATTCTTGAAAAGCGAGTTCCAGATTGGATTTGCAGGATACCAGCACCTAGTGGCGATGTCTTGTACAAGTGGGTGTATCATACATCTTTTTGATCTTTTCTGCGAGTGGGTGTATCATACATCTTTTTGATCTTTTATGCAACTATCTTTCCATGAAGAGAACTGTAATGCAAATAATTGTGTGAGGCACCTAGACATTAGGTGGAATATGCATGTTTCTCTGTATATGTGAATATTTTGCAAATGCTTATTATACGTTACAACTAAACTTATCAATCTATTTGTTTTTATAGTAACAAAGTTGTACCACAAGTTTTTTCTAACAATAGTGTTAGTTCCATTGGGGCATGTCATGTGGAGGAGAAAATATGCTAAAAAATGTCAAAAATTGATTTCTAAAACAGCAAGAGCTTTCGTGTCCAACAAATAAGCTTCCAAAACTACTTTTCTTCAGCAACATCAAATCTAGTCATGCTGTCTTATTTTTCTGTGGACATAGATCCTTGGATGAAAGCAAACTTTGATGATGTGGATCAATATTTATTATGTGCATTGCTTTTTGTGATTGTTTTTTCTATTATTGTTAAAGTAAACTTCCTTTTGATTTGGCCCTGTTGTCATTCCCTTATGCCTTTCTGGCCTTGTGCAGGATCAAGAAAATGTCAGACTTAGACACAGTTCAGGCAATGGTTATAGCTTTGAGAAATAGATGAAGGCATCTTGATTTAATACAAGTTATTCTGGCACTGGTAGGGAAATGTAATTTGATGCATGGACTTGGACTCCGAGTTCTCGCTTATCCAGTTCTTGCCCAATTATTTCCTTCTTGCTCAATTATATAGAGACACAATAGATTTTTAGTCGTAAAGGGAGGCCTCAACTACATGGTGCAGAAGCAGGACTTGTATTTGGCTGGAAGGATCATCTGTTGTTATGTTTGTAGATGACCTCTGATCCCATTTTTATCCGCAGGCTGTTCAATATTCATTGCTGGATACTTACAGATAGTAACAGTTCTACTTAATTTTTATGTATAAATTGTACCGAGCAGCTGCAACCCTTTTTTAATTTTGATTCCTTCTTAGTTTTTCCCTGTCCTTGTTTCCTTTTCAAATTGTTGTCTTGGTTTTTAGCAAGACATAAGACTTAAATTTTCTTCAAAGAACTACTTAACGTGAAAAGAAAAACACTATGAAAAGTGAAATTTTTTTCCTTATTTGATCATATGACCGAAAGATGGGATCTTGCGACATGTTGATTGGTGCCTAATTGGGTTGATGCGTTACCAGGAATTGTTTTTTGTAGAAGATTTAAGAAAATTGTAATGTGAACTATTATTAATATGGGACTTATTTGTATGTCTGGTGGCAGTATGATAAATAGGCTGTCCTCTGATACTTCCCTGTATACTACAGAGGAATGAAACGCCAGAGCTTACAGCTTTTGCTGAAAAATTGTGCTAACCTCGTTGGTCTTCAGCAAATCCATGCCCAAGCTTTGGCTCAAGGACCGCTCTATACTGACCAACCTTTAGCTTGCAAATTATTGAACAACTACGCTAAACTGGGCAACCCACAAGCTGCACACAAGGTGTTTGATTATATTCGAGACCCAGATATAGTATCATATACTTCTCTAGTCAATCTTTACTTGAACACTCAACTTCCTAACAAAGCCTCTTCAGTTTTTTCAGAGTTGATAAATAAGGGTTTAAGGCCTGACAGCCATTCAGTTGTTGGTGCATTATCTGCTTGCGGAAAGAACCAAGATTTGTTTAATGGGAGGATAGTTCATGGGATGATCTTTAAATTTCAATTGGGGGCGAACGCAATTGTTGGCAATGCTTTGATTGATATGTATTGTAGAAATGGTGAAATTAAGATAGCCCAGTTGGTGTTTAAGCAAATGGATATCAAAGATGTGTCTTCTTGGACTACTTTGCTTCATGGGTTTGTGCTGTGCAATGATCTAGAGTCAGCTAGACGTGTGTTCGATGAAATGCCTGCGAGAAACGATGTTGCGTGGACTGCGATGATAACTGGTTATGTTCGAGGTGAGATGCCAATTTGGGGTCTTGAAATGTTTAAGCAAATGAAAGCTGAAGGGGAAAACCAGCCTACAGTTATTACGATAGTGGCTGTTCTCTCAGGTTGTGCCGACCTTGGGGCTCTTCATCATGGTCAAGCAATTCATGGTTATATCAGCAAAGTTAATCTTGATAAGAATGTTACTGTGAGCAATGCTCTAATGGATTTGTACTCAAAGGGTGGATGTCTTGAGTCTGCTAGGAAGATTTTCAACAGATTGGGGAAAAAGACGTGTTTTCGTGGACTTCTATGATATCAGGGTATGCATCTCATGGGAAAGGAAACCGTGCTCTCGAGATTTTCTATGACATGTTAGAATCTAGAGTCATCCCGAATGATGTTACATTTCTGTTGGTTCTATCAGGTTGCAGCCATTCAGGATTGGTTGTCGAGGCAAAGAAATTGTTCGACGGAATGATCCAACACTATGGTTTTGAACCCAAGATTGAGCATTACGGATGCATGGTAGACCTTCATTGTCGAGCAGGCCTTTTGGAAGAAGCAAAAGAGTTGATTGACAATATGCCTGTCAAGCCAGATGCTGTTATCTGGCGATCCTTGCTTAGCGCTTGCATGAACTACAGGAACTTTGATTTGGCTGAAATTGCTGGAAAGAAGATAATTGAATTAGAACCGCGTGATGATGGAGCATATGTGCTCCTTCGGAACATCTACCATGCAGCAAATAGGATCGAAGATGCACAGAAGATGAGGAAAATGATGGGTGATCGAAAAGTAGAGAAAAAACCTGCAAGTAGTTGGATTGAGGTAAATGGTATTGTTCATGAATTTGACGCTGAACATGCAACTCGTCAAGCTTCCACCAAGATTTACATGTTGCTAGAAATGATCAATCAGCATTTGAGATTGGATACTGATTATCCCTTGTTGGAACTAGACTGACGTATACTCAGGATTGCTTTGAAATTAAGGTGGCTGTGGCTCGAAGCGCTTTGTAAATTTGAGATAGTTCAATTTTTTAAGGTGGCTATAAATTATTGAGATGTAATTGCTTAGTTATTTGTCACATTTTGGAGTCTTTTCTGTAGTTTTTTACAGGACTTTACTACTTAGACATGGAAATGTAACTGAAATATAGCAAAGATTATTGCTGGATCTGCTCTTATATCCTCTGAATAGAAAAAGTAACTCAGATTTCTGCCAAGGGAAGATACTACTGTTCACATGTACAATAAGGCTATCAGGTTTTGATTAGTTGCTGCTCACAAAATCATGGACAGCTATTGCAAACAAATGCTTCCAGCTCAACTTAAAAGAGGGAAAATGTTGACCCTAACGATCGTGTTCATCTCATCGATAAATTCTTCATCGAACAAGCCATGGCCATGTGACGAGAGTCATGTTGACTTGAACTGCAAACTAAAAATTAATCAAAGGCCAAATTGTTTACTCAAAAAGCCACAGAAACCCGTAAACTGGTGGCTCTGACTTTGGATTCCATACAAATCTTTGACATTGCAACTTGGTCAACACGCAATCAATTAATTACCTTAAATGAGCAGAACTAATTTTTAAATATATTAAAATTCAGGAGGTGTTTTGACCTATTTAACCAAAAGAAAATAAAAGAATAGGGAGAGCATAGAAGAGAAGGAAGCTTGCATGCTGCGAGACAAGAGTGATACGAGGGAACACTGTAACATCCAGACCGGGGCTGGAACCTTGTTTTGGACCCCAAGCCTATAGGGCAACAGCTAATTTTCTTCAAGTTACTTATAAATTAACAACACAGATTATCTATACAACTATAATTTATTACCCAACGAACTGTTTCCTAAAACAGGATGTTGTTTTAGACCAGCCCTTTTCCATCAAGTAACTAGATCAGATCGATCATACGGTAAGAGCTACTCAAAACTACAAGATGATCAGATTAGGTTTAAAGAAGACTTTGTATCTGATTGTATGGGTAGTCAAGCTACCAGTTTTAGATGTCACTACACAACTCCTTCAAAAGTTGTTATCAGCATCCATCCCATTGAATTGCTAACTCTATAAATTCAAGCCTCTTCTATTACATTCTTCACAAACACATCAAACACAGAAAATAACACATAACAATAATGAGAGCTGCATTTGTAGTATTGTCTTTCCTTCTATTTGCCTTAGCTGCAAAGCCATTGCCTAGGGTAGCGGCTGATGCTGCCCCGAGCCAGTGCTTGACATCGCTGGTAAGATACTTAGAACAAATACAGATTACTACATCCTGCCAGTGATCCGTGGTAGAGGTGGTGGGCTCACAATGGCCAGCACCGGAGACAAAACCTGCCCACTTTATGTTGGCCAAGACCGATATCAGTTCTCAAAAGGTCTCCCACTAACGTTCACACCTGTGAACCCCAAGAAAGGTGTCATTCGTGTTTCTACCGATCTTAACATAAAATTCTCTACCGGCGCAACGGTCCGTGGCCAATCAACGAGTGTGGAAGCTTGACGAGTTATGACAAATCGACAAAACAATCGTTTGTCACAACTTCCGGAGTTGAAGGAAATCCTGGTCGTGAAACGTTATACAATTGGTTTAAGATTGAGAAGCTTGAAAATGAGTACAAGCTAGTTTTCCGTCCGACGAGTGTGTAATCACTGCAAAGTTATATGCGGAGATATTGGCATTTATATCGATAAGCATGGGGCAAGGCGTCCGGCACTTAGCAATGTGCCTTTCAAAGTTATGTTCAAGAAGACTTGAAGATCTTTTGTTTTCTGAGAATAAGGGTTGAAGATCTTTATGGATCATGAATGCTCAATTACAACTACAATAAACTAAATAAAGTGACTTTTCTTCTATCATTTGCTATTGTGTCTCTTCATCTTTTGTTGTATATGCCATAGCCTTTTGAAACAATTGATTAAAAAGGCATCATCAGATTCATCCCCTATAATTATATAAATTGAATAACAATTTATATAATTGAGGTTAATCAATGAATCTAAATTATCTCGCAGAACTCAACAAAAGGAAAGATACAGACAAAAATGGAGGGTTTCATCATAATTACTTTATGCTTATAGCACCTAATAACAATTTATAGAATTAACAAAACAAACTCGCTCTCTATTACGTGTGTGCTTATGTTTGTCAATGCGTTTTTGTAAAACCATCTAAAGAATCATGGATTTGATATTTTTACACTGAAACATGATACAAACACATCAACAAACAGACAAATATTCAGCGGTAGCAAATGTCAACAGGCCCAATACCATATCTGGCTGAAATCTCGAAACCTTCTTTGGTAAACTTTTCGTGGGTTCATGGCTTGTTTACACCTTATGAAGTACTACAACTTGGTTTATTTTCTAGGTTTTGGGGTCGAAGGCCCAAGTCTAAAGATTCTCATGGATTAGGTCCTTACTGACCATCCACTACCATCCAACCAATATCCTCTTAAATTTGGAACGTACAGTTTTTCGAATGCATATTACTTTATGCTCATTTTGAGATGTGCTCATCTATGTTTGTTAAAATTAATTAACAAGGTATATATGGGTTTGGAGGGTTCTGCGTTCAGTGGAGATTCATGGGATTCATTAGAGAACATTAATACACAATGAGCCCAATGAGACCCCAAGAAAGAAAAGATAAAGCCATACAATATCACAACGTTATATAATTAAGCTAAATTAACACAAAAAGGGCCTCATTATTATTGTTATTTAATTTGGTAAACCATACATGGATTCATGGAAACATGTATAGGTGGCTCTGCCTGGGGAAAGACATTGAACCCAATGAGACCGCATGAAAGAAAAGATAAAGCCAAGCCAACAAAGAGGAGTGGAGACAACTGGAGCTAGCCTAGTCCCATCATTATTTAGCGTCCAAATACTTTTAGCGTTCATAAGGATGAACTTAAAGAGCTGTCGACCTTCCTAAACTGAACTAGGAAAGGTTGTAGTTCATCACTGAGAGACAAAATTCTACGTCTATTATTCTCAACATAAGTCCCAATATCTCTGCATAAAACTCCGCAGTACTGACAAAGGTCTGAAGGACAGTAAACTAGCTTGTAACCTATTTGAGCCTTCTCAATCTTGAACCAGTTGGGCAGCGTTCCACAACCAGGATTTCCTGCAACCCCACCAGTTGTCACAAACCATTGTATCTTCGAGTTAGTAGATTTCTGAATCTTCCACACTGATGAGTGCTTGCAGGCCTTCTTAGAAGAAAACCTGATGTTAAGATCTTCAGATACTCGGATGACACCTTCCTTGGAGTTGGCAGGTGTGAAGGTCACTGGAAGACTGTCGTCTGAGATGGGCCTGCCTCGAATAACGTCAAGTGGGCAGAATTTATTGGTAGCTGTAACATCACCGCCTGCAGCCCCCCTGCCAACTGACAAGATGCTGTATTCCGTGCCTGCTCTAAGCTCTTCGCCATCAGTGTCAAGCACTGGCTCAGTCGCAGCTAAGTACTCATCAGCTGCTATTGATGGCTTTGCGAAGACAAACGTAACAAGAAGAAAGGACGACCACACTAACAACGTAGACTTCATTGTTGTTTGATGCTATTGAGAATTTTTGTTGCTGGATATGAAAAACAATGTGGAGAAGCTTGCATTTATAGAGCTAGAATTTGGATGGAAATTGTAGATGACTCGTTTTTTCCCTTATATTTTAAAGCCTCGTGTTCTTCATGGGAACAGTTTTTGTTTTGGCGTCTGCGTAAAATGTTGCTGCAATAAATATCGTTCAATGGACCACTTATCCATAAAGAACGGTCACATGTAACCACTCATTCATCATTTCATTTTATTTTTTATTCCAAATTATTGAAGTAAAACTGGCTCCGATATTTTATCCATATAGTTGAATAGTATTTACATATTGAAAGATTAAATTATTGTATATGTATCACTAACAAATAAAAAAAAATTTAATTTTTAAAATATTCAAAAAGTAATTATTAATATTCATTCTTCATTAGCAATGTTAAAAACTGATAAGTTGGAGATCTAAGTAGATGTCTCACTATTTGATATATGGACCTAGAAATAGTTTTCATGAATAATCTAAAACATAATATTTTATCAATATAGTTGAATAGTATTTACGAATATGTTATTGAGAGATTAAATTATTCTGTATATATCATTAATGAATAGAAAAGAATTATACTTTCTAAAAAATTACAACGATAAACATTTTTAAAATACTCAAAAAGTAATTACTAATACTTATTTTTAGGTCTACTTTAAAGAGATAAATAAATATAAAAGAGGATAAAATTGAATATAGGCAAAAAGAAAGAAAATCACCTCCAAATCTATAAAAAATGATAAAAATATATTTACTTACATATACTTAAATTTGGAATGGACTAGACATCCTAACAAATTAAGAGAAAAATGGTCAAACTCATATTTAATAAACTCATATATAATTTAGACCCAACATCCAATTTAATCTCAAACTCTTGACCCAAAGCCTAACAATTATCTAAACCCAATTATTGAATCGGTTTTTCAAAACCCAACATCAACATCTGATTGGAAAAGTCTGAAGAGATAATAACGAAAATAATGGTTTTTTGGTGAGAAGATCATGGAACATAGACTTTTAAATAGATTGATTTGTTGTTAAACAAAAGAGATTAAAAGCCCTAACAACTAGGAGACCCCTTAACAAAGTAATCATTAAAGATTGAACAAGCATTTAGCATTGGTAAGATACAATCAAGACGACAACAGAAAGATTAAGAGCATTACAGCACAAAAGTGAGAAGTTGTAAGGGAACATGAAGTATTATAAAGATACATGATGAAGTGTAGAAGAATGAGGTCCATTGCGGAGATCATGGATCAAAAGGTTTATAAACTCCAACTATAGTGAAGGGAAAAGAACACACAAGAGATTATACAAACTAACTCAACTTACAATTTGCAAGAACCTCCTAAAGAACACTTCCAAATTTTAATACACTTGAAAGTAGCAAAAA